AACCACTCTGTGTGTGAAAAATATTATCCTAACCTCCCCACTTGCTCGTTTACTAATGATCTTAAACTGATCTAGTCACTGACTCACCAATCCGTGGGAATTAAACTACAGGGGTGTGTGTGCACGGTGGGGGTTGGGGGTTGTACGTCTCACTCACTTGTTGACAAATCTCTTACAGTCTGTATAAAGCCAGACATTGCTGCCCGAGACTGGCCACATGGGTGTGGCTCTGTGCTGTCAACACCAATGACTCACACTCACGTCTCCTGGTGACCTGCTCAGCGTAAATAACATTGAGCATGCCCAGACCATGCCTGTTAATTACCCGCTCACCACACTAAGAGCTGCTGAATGGCCTGGCTCAGCAGCCACAACCCCCTGGCACGTTGCCCACTGAAATCTCAGCTACTCCATCAACGTGATGCTCACCCACGGTAGCTAAGGTCAGCACCAACACAGCAAAGGGAGAGGTCAGGAGATTGTTCACCCAGGACTTGTTAGGGTGTCGTACACCTGACCTGGAGATGTGGTCAAGGTAAAATCTGGATTGGCTTTTAAGAGATAAATATCAAAAAAAGAGAAATGCATAGAGGAGAGTGGAACTGAGTGGAGAGCTTGTTCAGAGAGCCCAAAGGCACCATAGGCTGAATGGCCTCCTGTGCTTATGGTCCTGTCTTAGGCGGAGAATGTAGTGGAGAGTACATGTCAGGTTACATGTTGTAAAGTGATTCTGTACGTTAGAGGGAAGCTCGGCTTTGATGAGAAATAACTTTCTCCAGTCAATGGATGTCAACAAAAGGATAGCGTTCATAATCATCATCCTCACCTTCAAAGCCCTCCACACCTTGCTCCTCACTACCTCGTGCTTGGCTCAAGTCAGCGCCTCCATACCTCAGGTGCTGACAGCATCACCATCCATGGATACACACTCCACCTCACTGAGTCAGTCCAGAACCTCCTTGTTTAACCTTCAACTGTCCTTCAAAATCTACTTCTCTGCCATGACCCATTCCCTCAACTCCGTGATATCTCCCAGCAGGTCATGATACGGATCTGGAATAGAAAGGATAGGAAGTATTATTACCCAGAGGGCAATCGCGATGTGAAACAGGGTTAATAGGAAGAGTGGGTATGGCTAGGAACCATCCATCAAATCTTCTTCATTATCTTCCTCCATCATACTTCTGATATCTGTGTCCAGCTGAGACCAGGAAATCCCAGAGATAGATTGTTGGAACGGAATGCGCACACTCTCCCTATAGGGATGCAACCTGCTGACCTAATTTTGGAAAGTAATAGGCGTAGGTTGGCAGGCACGAAGGCTTCAAGACCACAGAGTGTACATTAGGGTACTGCTGGAATCTAACCAGCTAAAACCGCATAGCTTACAGCTATGTATTTGTGCATGAAACATGGTAGCCACTTGTACAGAGCAATGTCCCACAAACAGCCAACAAAGAGGATGACAAATTTTATTTTGGGGATTGTTGGCTTGGTTTAACGATTCATCTGAAGGACGGCGCCTCCAAAAATGCAACACCCTCAGGCGCTGCACTGGAGCATCAGCTTAGACCATGTGAGTTGGGCTTGAACCCATAACCTTCTGACTCAGAGGCTAGAGTGCTACCACTGAGACAGGCTGACACAAAAAGTACCTCTTCGCCATGGAACTCATTATATCGACCATGAAAAGAGTTAAGGGCTGAGTGAGTTTCCAAACTCAGGTCCTCTCAGCCTCCTGATCCGTGTCGTATGACTTGTGAATATGATCTGAAGACAGTTATATCACTGAACAAGTTGTTTCTCTGGCAGCTTGATTGCTGCATTGCTGCCGGCAGGAGGATGGTCTTGGCTGCTGTGCCAGTTTGCACCGTAACTGATGGGCTGTGGAAGTGCAGCTCAGCAATCCTCAAAGCTTCAGGTAAAGATAAAGCTTTCAGGGCAGGATAAAGTAGTTAGCATTATCCTCCTGTGGAGGGGGGGTGGGGCGGGGAGAAAAAAAATATGGGACTATTTGGAGCTGAGCTGGAATGTTGGAATCAAATCAGCTCTCTGTGGCAGTGCCAGATGTCCGGCTCGTGAGCCAGGGCTAATACTCCACACAATTAGGTAAGTAGGGCTCACCCTCCAGGGACTGGCTTTAGCTGGTTAGACTCCAGCAGCATCTCAGCATACATTCTACTGAGGAGGTCCCCATGCCTTGGCTCTTGCTAACCTGCACTTAATACCCTCCAGGATTACGTGAACAGGGTGTGTCCCTCCAGGGAGAGTGCGCGTATACCATCCCACACTTGGGCACATTTCCATTGCTGCTCTTTGTAGTTTGGGTTTCAAGTGTTCCAGGACGCTACCCTGCATGAGGACAGCTATATAAATGCAAGTTGTTGTTGTTGAGATGTTTAAGCATGGCTAGAGGTCTCCATGTGTGTCAGACACCCGGCTGAGAGATAAACAAAATATGCTGTTGCCTCCAAGGTTGTGGATTCAAGCCCTACATTAAGCCTTTGAGTTCACAGTCCAGGTTAGCACTCCAGTGCAGTGCTGGGGGAGCACTGCAATGTCAGAGGTACTGTCCTACAATGAGATTTAAACAATGGATGTTAAGGATCCCCTTGCACTGTTGGAAAAGAGAAGAGTCCTGATCAACAATCCTCTAGGGGTCAGTGTAGTCCAACAGATGCCAGCGGCCTGGCAGGTGATTTGTATGAGGCCCACGACCATTTCCACCATTCCAACTTCTCCCTCTAAGGACATGGTTGGTAAGAGAGGCGTTTGCTTTCTTGACAGACTGCAGTAAACTCTCTCCGCGCAGCGTCCTCCCAACCACCGGCTGCTGCCACTGCCCTGGGAGGATGTTCACCAGGGAGAGGGTTGGAATGTTGGAAATGTTCTCGGGCCAGAAGCGGCCCCAGGGACTGTCCGCAGACCTTTTTCAAATAGGGAATGCAGCCCACGGCAACCAAAAGGTTGGACCACCCTGATGTAGGTACATTGATCACTCACTTAATGGCTGTTTCAGGGACATTGCTAGGTGCAGATAGTCTGCTGTGTTTGCCCACAAGATACATGTTTAGTAATTACTGCGATGCCTTTTGAGGATTTCAATATGATTAAAACCTGTAAAAAATCCTTTTAATAACAATCTTTACATTTGATACCTCGCCTATGGTGTTGAAACATCTTGAAATGCTTTATTGGAACCGTGAAGCACTACACTCAGTGACTGTGTATTTGTAGGTAAATAGTTTTGCTGGCTGCTTGACTCATCCTTTGACATTTTCACTTTCTTAGTTGGTATTCATGTATTTGTTTGGTCAGCCAAGTGTCCAACACACACAGACACCAAACCAAACGGAGAGTTCCATGCATCTAACCTACAATAGAAATTCCTGTGCATTGGAATGGATCTAATTCCGGAACATGTTAGACACAGGTTGGCAAGAGCCAAGGCTTAGGGACTCCAGATTGTTATTTGGGGTAACTGCTGGAGTCTGACCAGCTAAAACCACATAGCTTGCCATTGAGAGCACTGCCTGGCCAGCTTTCCACAGTTTGTCCAGCTCGGACTTTAGGGCTTTGGCCGCAAGGTTGAACAGGCCCCAGTTTGCATGAAGCAAAGTATCCATCCACACGAATGGATATAAAATGAGAAACCTCTCCACAAACTGCCAGACAGCAATGACACAGACCCATCTCAGAGCTCTAGCACGGACCATGCAAAGCCCTCACCATGGGCTGTGCCAAAGAACGGGCTCAGAACATCAGCGTTTAATTTTCTGAGAACAAACTACATTATATTAAAAAATACTCATTGACCACATTTTAACAGTATGATGGAAGATGAATGGGTTTGACCTGCATTTAATTTTATGCATAATTGTGCCATATGGAAATGGGCCAATATTGCCTCTCTGTTGTTTGATTAAAGTTCAGGTTATTGGAAGCATGTGTCAGCAAGCCGCGAGGCAGGACCTGCTCGCATCGCCCTCCCCCCTCTCCCTCCCCCACCCCACCACAACGTCAGTGCCTAACGCTCCTGGGTCACCTCTGCCTTATACACACAAAACTGCTCATTCACTTTGTGGCCATTAATGGGACATTGCTGTGTACAAATTCATTGAAGGGTTCACCTAGAAATAAAAAATAAAGAATAGTCCTTAACTAGCGTGCCGTGTAGGAGCTGATGTCATCCTTGTTGAGTCTTACACTCTGGCCTCTGAATCAGAAGGTTGTGGGTTCAAGCTCAACCTCAGGACTTTGAGCTTATTGGTTTTTGGGAATGAGACAGGAAAAGGAGGTCCTTTCTGCCTATTGAGGCGGATGCTAAGGATCCCATGGCCATCTGAGCAGAGAATGGAGTTTCTGACAGTGGCCTGACCAGCAATCCCTCAGAGAAAATTGATCATTCGCTTCATGGCTGTGAAGCTTTGTGACATATCGATGACTTGAAAGCTGCTGAATCAAATGCAAAGATTATTATTTTCCCCATTGTAGGTACTCTGTGTAGGAGCTGATATCTCCATATGTGGGAATAACTTTATTACTCGATGTGGGAGGCCATTATTACTCGGTATCAGGGAGCTGATTTTATTAGTGTGTGAGTGTATATTATTGCTCAATATGGGGGAAATATTATCAATCTGTGTGGGAGTAATATTGTTACTGTATGTGTGTCAGACACCTAGCTGACCAAAAACAAAATGGGCAAAACAGCCATGAAAGAGGGACCAACTTTATTGTTGGCCAGGATCCTGGGAGAAATTCCCTTTTTCAATTGAGCCATGGGATTCTTAACATCCACCTGAACAGGCAGACTGGACCTTGGTTTAATGTCTCATTTGAAGGATGGCACCTCTGGCAATGTCAGTGCTCCCCCAGAATTGACCAGAAGCATCAGCTCAGACTGTGAGCTCAAAGTCCCTTATGTGGGGATTAAACCCCCAACCTTCTGACTAAAGGTGAGAGTGAGACAGACTAAGCCAGGCTGACACTAAAATAACTCTTATTAGAATTACTTGTGATAAAGTTTATTTGCTTGTGTTGAGTTGTACAATCTGTGCCAGTTATCAACCAGAATGTGTGCTATCAACCAGAATGTGTGCCTACTGTTGTGTAAAATCAAACACTCAAACTTTCACATAAAAGATCATCTGAAACAAAGGGATGGAATGAGATGGAGAGGAACTTGGCAGTTCACGTCCTGATGAGGGCTGAATAAAAAGACAGCAGGACTGGGAGACCAACCCACAAACAGCCACAATTTTACTTGGGGAATTGTTGGCCAGGACTCTGCAGTGGAGAACCTCCTTTCTCTTTTCCTGATAGTGTTGCAGGATTGTGAATGTCCACCTCAACAGACAGACAGGTGAGAGAGAAGAGATGCTCGTTCAGCAGGGAGTGAGAGTGTCCTCCGGAGGGAGCCCGTCTGAGCAGTCGGCAAAGTGCTGATTGATGATGTTGTACTGCCACTCTGTGAACACCAGGGACAATTCATGCTAATGCAGAGGATTATTACTGGTCACTGAGTGCTGGAACAACAATCCACAACAACTTGCCTTGATGTCATGCTTCACGATGAAACCACTTGAAATGCTATGACGAGAAAAAAATACAAGAAAAAAATGCATAAAACGCGAAAAAAAAAGCTTTGAAAAAATGCGCGGCACAATGCAAAAAAAAACATGAAAACTCGAAAAGTGCAAACAAAAGATACAATTATACGCCGAGAAACATATCCACGTATAGGTGGGATGCATGGAAACCTTTTGTTTTCAGCGCCTTGGGACGTCCTCCTGACGTGAAAGACATTCTATAAATATAATTTTGTTTTATTGTTTGGTTTGGGATACTCTTAAGCACGGTGATTGGTTTATGCATGTGTCAGACACCGGGCTGATCCAAAAATGCCCCAAATATCGTATTACCAAGAAAGAGAATAAATATTAAAAGCCAAATTAAATAGAAGCAAATGTAGATTGCATCATAAAGAATCCCACACTCAATTGGCAAATAATCAAAAAGCTTGTGTTGCAAAAATCTTTCCCAATATTTCGAATAAGGCAATACATTCATGAAGTAAATTTGACAAAACTCCAGTGCCTGAATGGTCCGGGAACACACCTTGTCTAAAACTGCCCCCAAAATTTAAAAAACGTAAACTCTAACCTCTCAACAGACCCTGACCTCATTCAGATCCCCCGCACTTCCCACCCCACCATTGGCAGTCGGGCATTCAGCACCTCTGCCCCGACACTCTGGAACTCTATCCCGCAATCCCTCAACCTCACCCCATCTCTTACCCCTTTCAAGTCCTTTCTGAAGACCTTCCTCTTTGACCATTTTATTTATAATAAAAGAACCATATTTTATTAAATGGTTCTGGGTTGCCATTGAATCTTTTTATTTGATATGGTTTCATTATGGTTTGGGTTGTGTCTCGGCTTCAATGAATTTGATTGGAACCTAATTAAAATTTGCTCGTAGGGATTGCCGGGATGAACTGTTGCCTATTTTTAATAAATTTGTCCACCTCCCAGGATGTCCTGCTCCTTTCTCTCCAGGTAATCTCCATAACCCAGCCTGAGCATTGGAGCCCTTTGCTCTTCAATTTAGTGGTCTTTTTACCATGCCTTCAGCTCCCCTCTCGACTCTCTCCCCCCTCCCTTCCCTCCCCTCACCCTGACCATTTCCCCCCAATGCTCGGGTCCTGACCCAACTGTACAGCGCCTTGGGACGTCCTCCCGACGTGAAAGGCACTCTGTAAATGGAATCTTGTTGTTGTTGTTAATGGAGACTGCTGTCTGCCTTTGTTTGTTTTCCAGGTCCCCATTAAACTTATACATAAGAAAAGGATACCAAATCTAGTATGGCAGGCTCCCTTGTCAATTCTAAAACTTATTGATCCAGAAAACTGTCCAGAATACATTCTAGAAATTTGTTGCCTTTACTACTTGAGCTGTCCGCTTCTCCCAGTCTACGTGAAAATTAAAATCACCCATTACAACTACATTGCTTCTGTTGCATGCTTCCCTGATCTCCGTATTGATACATCCCCCCAACTACATCACTACTATCTGGAGGTCTGTAAATAACTCCCACCAGTCTTGCCTCAGTTGCTGATCCTTAATTCTACCCATAGTATTTCCACGGTCTGATCACTCTTACTGAAATCCTTTCTTTCTACTGCTGTAATTGTGTCTTTTATCAATATTGCTCTCCTCCTCCATTCCCAATTTCCCTGTCCTTTCTAAAGATCTTAAAGCATGGAATATTTAGCCCCCAGTCATGCCCAGCTTGTAGCCAGGTCTCTGTAATGGCTACTACATCATACCCTTTAAGCTGAATTTGTGCTTTTAACTCACTTGTTTTATTTCTTACACTACGTGCATTCATGTGCAGAACACTTACTTGGGTAATTGCCGATATGCCCTGAGGTGTTTTTCTCACACTTTTCGACTTGTCACACTTTTTGTGATTACTTGCTACAACCTTTTTTCTTCCCGGAGTATTTATGTTATCTTTATCACTTCTTGTACTCCGACCTTTGATTTCATCCCTTTATTTTCTTATCTTTAACTTACTGTTATTTTCATCCAAACCCTCCACCCCTATACTGGTTCAAAGTTCTTTCTACAGTCCTATTTATCCTTTCCGCTAGGACCTTGGTCCCAGGCTTGTTCAGGTGTAGCCCATCCCAGCAGTACAGCTCAGGTAGGAGTGGGTGGCGTGCCATTGCCTGTAAAAGGTTAAAGTACCTTAAACCATTTCACTCTCCCAGTTCAAACCCTCTGCCAAACATTCACCACATATAATAATCATATATATATCTCACCTTGATTTCTCCAATGACCGCCTCGCTGGTCTTCTCCACTCCGTGTCCATTTTTTTGGGGGGTCACTCTGACACATGTGGAAGCCCATCACCTTGCTTGAGAATATCCAAATCAAACTGAAAATTCCATGTATCACACCTAAACATGGAAATTCCAGATAGATTGTTGGAATGAAATGTGCACTCTCTTCCTAGAGGGATGCATCCTGCTTACCTACGTCCGGAGAATATTAGGCACAGGTTGGCAAGAGCCAAGATTTGGGGAACCCAGAGTGTGCGTTGGGGTAACTGCTGGAGTCTAACCAGCTAAAACCGTATAGCTTCCCATTGAGAGCACTGTCTGGCAAGTTTTCTTGCTGCTTATCTAGGTAGGACCACCTACCCATTAGGGCTTTGGCTTGCAAGGAGCTGAGTGTGTGGATTCGCTGCCCCAGTGACTGGTCTGCCCTTCCAAATCCTGCCAATGAGCCAGGCTGGCTGTGCTGTCATCAGCAGTGCCCTGGAATACTGCGGACATGCCTCACGCAAGGACTGGGCTGCTGAGACCCCCACAGAGAGCTTGCACTATTCTGACACTGTTGCCAAACACGTTACCTTGGAGCCAGTTCAGCTCCAAGAAAGGAGACCCCACTTGCCTTCCACAACCACCTCCCCCTATGTGGAGGAGAGTCATTAGTTGGTGGTTCAACATCCAAGTGAGGGTTTCATCCCTTACTAGGTAGTTGTTAGGTACTTTGTGAGCTTCCTGGCCTGAAATATGTGAGAGCATTGCTATCATCTTCTTATCTGTAGCTCAGGCACACGTCCCTTCCCATTGAGCGATGCCTCCACTGGTTGGAGGTGTGGAGTTTAAGCAGCAGCTACTTGCCTCTCTGTAAGTCAATCAATTTGGATTCTAGACGCTGGACGTACAAAAGTGTGTTCACAAACTCAGACTCCAGGTAATACCTTCCAGCAGCTGTCGCCCCAAGCCTCATAGATTCCTCATCAGGTATCTGATAGGCATCTGCCTTCAGTGTGGTGGGAGGACCTTGATGTTCTCAAGGTCAGCAAGTATCAAGACACCCAACTGTGTGCAAATTAACTGCTGTCTTCACCTATAAATACATTAAGTGACTTGACAAGAAACTTTAATACGATCGGACCAATAAAAAGCACCCAAACATTCAAGTGGAGTCCTGTAGCTCAGTGGTTAGAGCGCTCGCTTTGCAAGCGAGAGACCTGGGTTCAATTCCAGGCAGAGGGCGAAACCTTGGGCAAGTTTCCTTACTCCACACGCCTAATAATAAACAAAAACAAAAACAATAATAAATTGGTCATTTTCAATCTACGACAGTTTGTGGGACATTGCTGTGCGCAATTGGCTGTCGCGTTCGCCCACAAATATACAGTCAATTCACTTTACAGTATATTCTGTGAAGCGCATTGGGACGTCCTCCCGACGTGAAAAGCGCTATATCAAATGCAAGTATTATTATTATTAAATAGCATTCCGCCCACAAAATATACAGTCGATTCACTTTACAGTAGATTCTGCGAGGCACTTTGAGATGTCTCAAAGATGTGATGAGGCGCTATATCAAATGTATGGATTTATTGATATTGCCTGCGATTCATGTATTGTCCACAAAACATAGTCAATTCACTTTACAGTGTATCCTGTGAAGTGCTTTGAGACGTGTCGAAGACTCAATAAGCTGCTATATCAAATGTAAGGATTATTATTATTGTTATTATTATCAAAAAGCAAGTGAGTGCGTGAGCGGAGCTGGAGGTTGGGTTCTAACCCACAGCTTGTTTTATGTGTTTTACACAGAAGTCACTGGGAACACGCAGTAGGTCAGGCAGCATCCACGGAGAGAGGGAAATGAGTCAACGTTTCAGGTCTACGACCTTTCGTTGGAACTGGGTGAGGGGGGGACGTTGGGAGGTCGCGGATTATAAGGACAAGCAGGGAAGGCGGGGGGTGGGGCGGGGAAAGAAAGAAAAAGGAAACTTTTTTTTAGATGGGAGGACAGAAGATGATGAGAGCAGAGGTGATGATTCTGCAAAACATAAGGCAATGGGTGGTGGGGGGGATTATAGGCAATGGGGGGGATTATAGGCAATGGGGGACTATAGGCAATGAGGGGATTATAGGCAATGGGGGGACTATAGGCAATGAGGGGATTATAGGCAATGGGGGACTATAGGCAATGAGGGGATTATAGGCAATGGGGGGACTATAGGCAATGAGGGGATTATAGGCAATGGGGGGGATTATAGGCAATGGGGGGACTATAGGCAATGGGGGGGGACTATAGGCAATGGGGGGACTATAGGCAATGGGGGATTATAGGCAATGGGGGGATATAGGCAATGGGGGGGCTATAGGCAATGGGGGGGACTATAGGCAATGGGGGGGGACTATAGGCAATGGGGGGGACTATAGGCAATGGGGGACTATAGGCAATGGGGGGACTATAGGCAATGGGGGGGACTATAGGCAATGGGGGGGACTATAGGCAATGGGGGGGACTATAGGCAATGGGGGGGACTATAGGCAATGGGGGGGTATAGGCAATGGGGGGACTATAGGCAATGGGGGGATTATAGGCAACGGGGGGGACTATAGGCAAGGGGGGGACTATAGGCAATGGGGGGGACTATAGGCAATGGGGGACTATAGGCAATGGGGGGACTATAGGCAATGGGGGGACTATAGGCAATGGGGGACTATAGGCAAGGGGGACTATAGGCAATGGGGGGACTATAGGCAATGGGGGGACTATAGGCAATGGGGGGGACTATAGGCAATGGGGGGACTATAGGCAATGGGGGACTATAGGCAATGGGGGACTATAGGCAATGGGGGACTATAGGCAATGGGGGACTATAGGCAACGGGGGGACTATAGGCAATGGGGGACTATAGGCAATGGGGACTATAGGCAAGGGGGGACTATAGGCAATGGGGGACTATAGGCAATGGGGGTACTATAGGCAATGGGGGGGACTATAGAACGAACAGATGCGTCTCTGAACCAGAGGAAAGGGGTACAGAGGAGGGGGAGGCGAGGCGAGGAGAAGATGGCAGCTGCGGCGGGCGAGGGGCTGCCAGCGGTTGGAATGGCTGTTGGGGGCGGTTGTTGTGATGGGGGCCTCACATGGCGCGCGGGTCGAGAGGCCGCCGACCAACCGCCGCCTGGTATCGTGAGGCGCGACCAATCCGGGGGCGCGCGGCGAGGCGGGGCGGGCACGGCGCGTGCGCAGAGCAGCGCGCCGACACAAGATGGCGGTAGCGGCGGCACAGTGAAGACCGAGCGCGGCGATTTCCGCCTCCACCGCACGGTAAGCGGCGGCTGCTGCCCGAGGCGAGCGAGCGGGCGGGCGGGCGGACGGGGCGCCTCAGCCCACGCAGCGGCGTATCCTCGCCGACACGGCGCGCGGCGTCCGGTACTGAGCGAGCGGAGACCACGCCGGCCCTGACGCTCTCCCTCCCTCCCTCTCTCTCCCTCTCTCCCGCCGGCCGCCACCGCCATCTTACTGATTTTTTTTTTTTTGCAGCTATCCCTGCAGGCGCGGCTTCCGCGGCCCCTTCCCGAGGCCAACCGCCTCCGGCGTAAACCCCCGCCGGTTCGGAGCCGGAGAGCGCCCGGGCTCCGGGAGATGGCTTCAGCCGCTCAGGCCTCAGGGCCGCTTCCCGCGCAGCAACTGTCCCCGCCCGAGCATGCGCACTGGGCGCCGCACTCGATCCCAGAGACACAAACAAACAGAGGCGCAAACACACAGAGACTCTTCAGACCGACACAGAGAGAGAGAGAGACACACACAGACTTAATACAGAGACACCCACACAGACAGATGCACGCACAGGCCGACAGGGAAAGAAAACGCGTAGATGCATACACAGTGCAACATACACGGACGGACAGACAGAGAGAGAGAGAGAGACGCGCGCGCGGGCGCACACGCAAACGTGTGCCTGTCTTATATTTGTAATTATTGCAGGTTATGTTTTCGCTTTAATCCCATTCTAATTTTGTGCTATGGTGCGCCACGGATATTCATGTGGTGGGATTGATCTGAAGGAATCTTTCAGAGAGAATAATTAAATCTGATAACCATTTACTTCTCCCGCACTGAGCGGTTTTCCGAGCCATGCATAGCCTGGAGTGACCCTTGTTTTGGTTTTATTCCCAGTTGCGGAGCAGATGCAGAAAGATGGCGAGTGAAAACCACAGGGGTGTGCAAGCTGAACCCGTGGTGATTCTGCACTCTGCGGGCACCTCTGATCAGGCACAGCCTTCGTCTCCGAAGTCCATTAAATTAGTGCAGGATCTATCAGGTGAGAACTGGGAACATTAGCTAATTCTGTATGGCAAAATACTGTAGATACTGGAAATCTGAAATAAAAACAGAAGTTGGTGGGAACATCCAGCAGATCAGGTAACATCTATGGAGAGAGGAAAGTGAGTTAACATTTCAGTCAATAACCTTTTGTCAGAACGCTGATGAAAGGTTATCCACGTGAAACATTTTCCTCTCACAATAGATGCCGCCTGACCTGCTTCATGTTCTCAGAGACTTTTGCTTTTATAGCTAGTTCTGTATGTTGCATTTCAGTGCCTTGGGACTTCCTCCTGACGTGAAAGGCGCTATACAAATGTAATCTTGTTGTTTTAATAATAGTTGTAAGCCTTTTTTTTACCGTGAGTTTATACAGCAGTGCATATCTTATTGGTGTGTAGATTTACTGACCATAAACAGATATGCCTATTAATTTAATATGCATTGTTAAGAGGGGCCAAACTTTTTTTAGTCAGCTGGCCACCTGACACATTTGGAAACCCATCACCGTAGTTACCAGTATCCAAGCCAAAATTCCATGTATGCCACCAAGACATATAAATTTCTTTGTTTCTGGAATGGAATGTGCACTCACTTCCTGGAGAAACGCTCTCTGCTTACCTTTGTGGAGTCCTGTAGCTCAGTGGTTAGAGCACTCGCTTTGCAAGCGAGAGACCTGAGTTCAATTCCAGGCAGAGGGCGAAACCTTGGGCAAGTTTCCTTACTCCACACGTCTAATAATAATCCCTCCAAAAAACCAAACAATAATAAAATTGGTCATTTTCAATCTACGTCTGTTTGTGGGACACTGCTGTGAGCAAATGCAAGGATTATTATTATTAATAGACACAGAGAATTAGGAGAGAGTATTAGGCGCAGGTTGCTGAGAGCCAAGCCATGGCTCAGAGGGTGCATTTGGAGTACCTGTTGGAGCTTAATCTGCTAAAACAGCATAGCTTGTCATTGAGAGCACTGTAGCAAGCTTCCAGCTGCTTGTACAAATAGGTCCACCCTATCCATTGTAGCTTTGGCTTGCAGGGTTGGTAACGACAAATTGCATTTACATAGTGCCTTTCACATTGGGAGGACGTCCCAAGTTGCTGGATAGTCAAGGGGTTGCACCTGAGTTGTGGGCTGGAGTCGAGAGGTGGAGGGTAGGAGGGTGGTGGTGGGAAGATGACCGAAGGCAAGGTTGAAGAAGAAGGTATTCAGACAGGCCGCGGAGGGGCTCTGCAGGGAGTTCCAGAGGGTGGGTGCAGAAAGGCTAAAGACCTATTGATGGAGCGGGCAGTGTTGGGGACGTGAAGCAGGCCAGTACCCGCCGAGCTGAAAGAGCGTTGGTAGGGTTTTAGGAGGTCACAGAGGTAGAGTAGAGTAAAACCATAGAGGGCTTTAAAGGTGGCAACAAGGATGTTAAACTCGATCCATTGGGGCGATGGGGAGCCAGTGAAGCCAGGTGAGGATGGGGATGATCAGCTCATGGAGCTTTGTAGAGTCTTGTAGCTCAGTGGTTAGAGCACTCGCTTTGCAAGTGAGAGACCTGAGTTCAATTCCAGGCAGAGGGTGAAACCTTGGGCAAGTTTCCTTACTCCACACAGAGCCTAATAATAATCCCTCCAAAACCAAAAACAATAATAAATTGGTCATTTTCAATTCACGACTGTTTGTGGGACATTGCTGTGCGCAATTGGCTGTCGCGTTCGCCCACAAATATACAGTCAATTTACTTTACAGTATATTCTGTGAAGCGCTTTGGGATGTCTAGAAGACGTGAAAAGCGCTATATCAAATGCAAGGATTATTATTATTTGTGAGAGAGGACACAAGTTGTAGAGTTCTGAATAATCTGCAGCTTGTGGAGGGAAGAGTTGGGAAGACTGGCGAGCAGCTAGTTGGCATAGTCAAGCCTGGATGTTACGAAAGTACGGATGAGGATCTCAGCAACCTGAGGGGAAAGATTGTAACCTCGGCCGCCTCTTATGTCGAACAAAACGTTCATCCCCAATGTATCTGGCTTAACCGGCATCCACTGTATTGCTTCTGCGGCCCACATAGTTTATCAAATAGGACATCCGGCCATCGGCGGCAAAAGGTTGGACCACCCTGCCCTACATGAAGGGCGCTATGTAAATGCACGCTATTGTAATGACCTGGATTGGCAGACCCAGTGTAAGGTAGTTACATTTGCAGGTGACACCAAGTTGGGGAAAACTGGAATTAGAGGAGGCAGTAAAGGTCCAACAAATAATAATAATAATAATAATAATCCTTGCATTTGATATAGCGCTTTTCACGTCGGGAGGACGTCCCAAAGCGCTTCACAGAACACACTGTAAAGTGAATTGACTGTATATTTGTGGGCGAACGCGGCAGCCAATTGCGCACAGCAATGTCCCACAAACAGTCGTAGATTGAAAATGACCAATTTTATTATTGTTTTTGGTTTTGGAGGGATTATTATTAGGCTCTGTGTGGAGTAAGGAAACTTGCCCAAGGTTTCGCCCTCTGCCTGGAATTGAACTCAGGTCTCTCACTTGCAAAGCGAGTGCTCTAACCACTGAGCTACAGGACTCCACGAGTCAAAGAGAACTTGATAGAGTTTGTGCATAGGCTGATAACTGGCAAATTAAGCTTAATACTAATAAATGTAAGGTCCTACATATACTACATATAGGAACTCATAAAAATAATCATCCTTCTTTGGTATAGCGCGTTGCACATCTGGAGGACATCCCAAAATGCTTCAAGGCATATGTAAAGTTGGTGATCGTCTTGTTGCTGAACGCTGCAGCTAATTTTGCGCACAGCAAACACAGTGAATGACTCATTTTATTGAAATAGTTCCGCTATTTTTTATTGGCTCTGGTTATGAGCAGCAACTGGACAAGCTAGGGCTCAGTGGGCACTTCATAGAGGTGTATAACATTTCAAATGGGATTGAAAAAGTAAAGCAGAACAATACTTTAGGATGCCTGAGACAGTAGAACAAGAGGACATCACTCCGGTTTTCCCCTAACTGCCAGTGGTTTGACCTCTCCATCTCCCTCCCTCGACAACCCCGTCTCAGTCCCCTCTCTTTCAATCCCATTTTAAAACCACGCCAACGCTACCTCCCCTAGCCCCTCTCACTTTTCCCTCGCACAATGTACAACATTGTCTTAGGGAAGAGTTCCCAAACCATATTCTACGTGAAAAATGCTATATCTATGACAGTATTAAGAAATTGATACAAGAATGGTCACGGAAGGCAAATTTGTGGTTTGCCTTCACATCCACTGATTCAACATTGCCTAAACTTATTGCTCAGAATCCTTATCAGTTAGGAGACGGTGATCAGAGGAGATCTATATCCCATGTTTCCTCATTTGTGAACTGTAGAAAAAGATCTATAAACAACCCAGTGAAACTCCAGTCGATCAGCCAACTTTTTCCCTGAATTCGAACTGACTGATGGCCATTTCCCCTTCAAGAAGGGAGGACTTCACCCCTTTGTAGGTAGTAAATGTGTAGGTCCCAGACATTGTTGGGATGACAGGAATTGTTATGGAGTAAAGTATGGAGTAAAGTGGAGTGGTGGGATTAAATTGGTTACCTTGTTCTGTGAGCCAGTGCAGACTCCATGAGCAGAAAAGCCACCTGAGCTGTAGGTTTCTATGTTTGTATCTGTCCTATGTTTGTATCTGTCCTATGTTAATAGCAACTAAGCACTCAACGTGGAGCCAAGATATTAAAATGACATTCAGTAAAATGTACTTCAGAACAAATTTCACCAAGTTACTACCTAGAGGTATTTAATTGTTACTAAGAAGGTGTCTGAAAGTTGTACTGAAATGTGTTTAATTTCAGATGAGTTGGTTCAGGCAGGATGGGCAAAGTGCTGGAGCAGGAGAGAGAACCGGCCTTATTACTTCAATAAATTCACCAACCAATCGCTCTGGGAACTTCCTGTGTTTGGACAACATGATGTCATTGTGAGTAATTGAAGCTGTTTCAAATATATTAAATCTCCTACATAAAAGCCATATCTACAGAGGGTGAGCAGTCTGCCTGTGCACCTGAAAAAGCTTGAACATTGTATAAGATTTGAACGCCAAGACAAAGATTTTGATTCACTGGTCTACTAGGCGAGAATGGGTGCAAGGCTGAGTTAGAAGAAAATACTAACTGAGGAGTTCTGGGTGACTTGGAGTATGTAGCAGATTGCAAAAAGGCTGACAAGCGTTGCTGCAGGAATCGACCCACGAAAGAAGCGAAAAGGTTCAGCTTTTGAGAGAGTGGTATGGAAACACCTTCTCAGGGAAGCTAGGATTGGACAGTAAATATCAGTCCTGTCTACATCCCGAGAACCATTGTTTTACAACAATCCTGACTTCATCCCTCTGTGTCAGGATTGTTGTAGAACAGTGGTTCTCGGGATGAAGACAGGACTGATATTTACTGTCCAATCCTAGTTTCCCTGAGAAGACGGTATATTATTATAATAACAGTTGGCCTTCTCTTGAAACCACTTGTAGTCTGTGGAAGTGGTGTTCTCACATTGGTGTTAAGAAGCTTCCAGAATATTGATACTGATTTAGTGCCAATGAAATTGCAGTGATATCTCTGACTCTGTTCCTACGATCACTGTGCCTATGTTCTTTGGATGGTTGATGGGGAAAGGCTGAGGAAATGTGAGTTGTTGCACGGCTTTCTTTCAAACCACTGACCTCCCTACTCTGAGCCAGACTACATGACTGATGGGAAGCCCAGCACAACACGCCACACCAAAACACAATGTTAAAAAGAAAAATTCTTAAACGCACAAAAACAAATTCATAAGAAGGTGCTGAAAAATGTTACAAACACAAGGAGGAATATAAAACCTGTTACAACACACAAGAAGGAATAACTCCACAACCAAATAAACAAATGTATTGCTGCCCTCTCCAGTTTGGTCCCAGCTGCATCACTCAAACCTCCAGTGTTTCACTGCCTGCTTGGGAGGCAGGATTCTGATAGGGGCAAATAAACCCGCAGCTTTCTCTTGTTAGTTTTTACAACAATGTTTTTGTGCACGCTACAAATTAGTTCATGAAACTGATAATCATAGCAGTGACTTAGATAATGTCCTAAAACAAAGAAATAAAACTTTCAGCATTCAACAGAGCACCTTATCACATTGTTGAAATGTCTCAAGGTACTTCACAGCATGTCCTGTAAAGTGTAGTGACTGTATATTTGTAGACACTCAACAACGCAGGAGCCAATATGCACACAACAATGTACATAGAATAGCAATCTGACTTTACTGAAACACTGTCTAAGGGCAGTATAGCAACAAACTAGTTTAGAACACGGTTTAAAATGTAACCTGAAATGCCAGGAGGCATGCCCTGCCAGTAATCTTAAAAACAGAACCGTTTATACAATATGTTGTAATGAATGTTACCCCGCATGAAGGGCACTATATTAATGTAAATTGTTGGTGTCTTTGTTACTGAACATGTGATAGAACAGAGGAAGTATGTGAGAAAATCACAGGGCCATCTCAAGAGCAGGTGATAGCACAGGACTTACAATAGTTCCAACACATGGTATACATTGCTTAGCTCATGGTGTATAATAATTGCATGCTGTGTTTATAGTATTACATATGCTTATTGTAATTACATGACATGTTTCCTTAAATGTATTTGGTATAGCACCTTTCACCATCCAATGTCCCAAAGCACTTCACAGGATGTACAGTAAAGTGGAGTAACAGTGTTTTGTGGAGTCCTGTAGCTCAGTGGTTAGAGCACTCGCTTTGCAAGCGAGAAACCTGGGTTCGATTCCCGACAGGGTGAAACCTTGGGCAAGGTTCCTTACTCCACACGCCTGTTAATAATCCCTCCAAAAAAAAAAACAATAATAAATTGGTCATTTCAATTCACCACTGTTTGTGGGACACTGCTGTGCGCAATTGGCTGCCGCATTTCGCCCACAAGTATACAGTCAATTCACTTGACAGTATATTCTGTGAAGCGCTTTGAGATGTCTAGAAGATATGAAAAGCACTATATCAAATGCAAGGATTATTATTATTATTTGTGGGTTAACCTGTAAACTGCTCTGGGGTGCTACCCTGTGTGAGGGGGGCTATATAAATTAAGTTGTTATTGTTATGGTAATTTAGCTGGACATCTGGAGCCAGGTACAGTCTGGCTCGGTTGTTAGCTCATGCTCTCCCGAGCTAATGCTCTAAAAATACACACTATAAAATCATGTGAAGCACCTTGAGATGTCCAGGTCAAGTGATTAAATGCTAAATTAAATGCAAGCATAATTTTAATTAAATGTTACGTTAATGGTGAATACATGACAAAGTCTTACAGGATTATAAGGCTGAAAGTTGTTCAGTTAAATGTTCTCAGTGTTTAGCACAGAAAGTACTGGAACTAAAGCTCTAGTGTAACTGTCAATGTCTGTTGTGTTATAGTCAGACCCTCTTGGTTTGAATGCTACAATGGAATCAAATGAAGGAGAAGCTACAGCTGACAATGGATTGCGGAAGCGCAGGCATTCAGAAGAAAATCAACAACAATCAGCAAATAGCTTCAAAAAACCCAGAGTAAGTAAATGTGTGAATTTGGGTTTGGGACGAGAGCCTCTGTAATAATAATATTTTCATCTCTCTTGTCTCCAAGCACTTCTCAGGATTCACTGTGTATCGACTGCATATTTTGTAGGTGAAAAACTCATTCCATGATCTTGAACTTACTTTTTTGGGGGTCAGCCGAGTGTCTGACACATGCAGAAACCCATCACCATGATTAAGAGTATCCAATCCAAGCTGAGATTTCCATGCAGCCCACCTACACATGAAATTTCAAAGATAGTTTTTTGGAGTGCACATTCTCTCCCTGGGGGGAATGTATCCTGCTTACCTAATTCCGGAAAGTAATAGACACAGGTTGGCAAGAGGCAAGGCTTGGGAACCCCAGCGTATATGTTGGGGTAACTGTTGGAGTCTAACCAGCTAAAATCACACAGCTTGCCATTGAGAGCACTGTCTAGCAAGCTTTCCCTCTGCTTGTCCAGCTATGACCACCCTACCCATTAGGGCTTTGGCTTACAGGGTTAACTGGAGCTGAGTGGAATGATTCTCTGCCTACAGTGACTGGTCAGCCCTTCCAAGTCCTGCTAATGTGCAGTCATCAGCAGTGCCCTGAAGTACTATCTCAGGAACTGGACTATCAAGATCCTAAAGAGGGTTGGTTGTATGTCTGCAGACATTCCTGCCGATTTTAGCTCTTTTCATTCCCACATTTACCTTTCAGCATTTTGCTCCTGGTATCCTCGACAACAGTCCGCAAAATAAAATTGATTTTGTTCCTTATAACGACTTGATTAGGTGCTCAATCAAATGCAAGGGTTATTATTATTAAAGTTTTACACATGTGGAAGTCGCATTAGTCTGGTTTGAAGAGTGTTAAGACCAGCGATCGGTTTCCATGTGTGCCAGGCACCCGGCTGACCAAAGAAAACATTTAAGATTTGATATTCTAATTTTTTTCCTACAGGTAGAAGTGCCATTAACCCCCACAACGCCAACAATTCCGATCTCTCCAAGTGGTCCAGGCACTCCCAGTGTCCCACCTGTGTCCCGAGTTCCCGGACCCAACTCAGCTGAAGAGAAACAACAGCCACTGCCTGTGCCGGCAGCTACAGTCACACCTACACCTAGCCCTGCACTGACATCGGGCCGTCCCACAGCGTGAGTCACACCGTCCACTTAACGAGCTACTTGATGGAGCTGCTGCTTCAATCACATCTAAATTGTGATATTTAAAACCAATTCATTGCAATTCCCAGTTTGGGAATACCAAAATGGGAAATCCTCTTCACTGTTTTTTAAACTTTGCCATCTTCCAGGATAGCCAACTCACCATTAGTGAGTCTACCAAATCAAACAGCTTCAGCTGTTCGAAAGTGTAAAGAAGCAATGAATCCAACAAAATATCATAACTTAGACCAGTGCTTATCCAGATAGATTTCATTCAGCAGAGTGAGAGTTAATAACTTCTTCACTGGATTACAATGGATTTCACTACTATTGTCCTTACCCAAACGCCACAATTACTTCTATACTGGAACTGGGCAGTGCAAATAGTCTACTAGCCTTAAAAGAAGGTTCTCTGAATAATTGAAGGCCGAAGTTTGTTCAGAGAACACAGAAGATTAAACACGTGGCACCTAATCCACAGAGTAAAAAGTGTCCAGAAAGCAGTGGGAAGTTCCATTGCTTACGTTCTGCTCAACCAAGATGAAACTGGGGATTGGTCTCTTGAAACATAACATACTGTGCTTACAATCAGCGTGTGTGAGGCAGGTACAGGTACCTTTAACATTGCGTAAAAGGTTGATTTTCTGTCAGTGTTATTTGCTTGGTTCCCAGTGATAGCCAGATATATTTTGAAAACTGGGGGAGCTTTGTTGGAAAGCATGATATGAGTAGCACAATGTAAACACAAATCTTTTTGTGGTTTCAGTGTGTACTGGGACCTCGATATTCCAACAAACGTAGTAATTAAAGAGAGTGCTCCGATTGAGGCACTGTCTCCACACCCAGAGGTGGAGCTATTACGAGCACAGCTGACGGTAAAACTGAGACAACACTACCAGGAGCTTTGTCAGCAACGAGAAGGTAACTGCAGTCTTTCCCTCCCAGTTTCCTGGCTAACAATCCACCAGATAGAACAATTGGTGTATCATTTCATGGCTGTTCGGGGGACATTACTGTGCACAAATTGGCTGCTGTGTTCACCTACAAAATACAGTCACTGCACTTTACAATAAATCCTGTGAAGCCCTTTGAGACCCTTTGACAACGTGATAAAACGTTATTTCAAATTGTTTTCCTTTCTAAAGATCCTATAACCCGGTATATTCAGCTCCCTATTGTGACCAGGCTGTGTATCCATGTCTCTGTAATCATCATACTCCACAGGTGTGTTTGTGCTTTTTATTCACCACATTATTTGTAATCAGTGTAACGCTTATCTTCCTACTTCCACTCTCATTTCCTCATCTTCCTTTCCTTGTTCTCTTTCATCCTACCTTCCAAGAATGGTGAGATCTTGAACAAATGGTTAATCTATACAAAACCCCCAATACAAGCTCATCATTCATTGCCCAAAGATGAGACGCTGAGTTGCCACATCTCACTGTCCTGCAAAGTGAAGATGACCAATACCGTTATTCTGGGTTCCGATCCTAAAGCCCTATTGACCCCCACTCTATATTCTCAGATTGTATCCACATACGAGTTATCAAAGATATAGTAAATAACACTAATGGGCCCCATCTGGAAATGTGAACTTTGCAGATAACAGAAAATGGTACAAAATCCAAATTGGCTACAGCTCTAACTAAAATCCTCTTCGGTCACTTCCTCCCTCATTTCTTGACCAAGATATCACTGATGCACCACTCCTTTACATTCTGTCCCAAGTTTGTACGGCTACCAAATGAGAGGAATGTTCTGAATTCTGTACTGAAATGGTTAACTTCCGTGTGTTCTGACAGGTATTGAACCACCTCGTGACTCATTCAATCGCTGGCTTCTGGAACGCAAAGTGATCGATAAAGGCAAGGATCTTTTGCTTCCCAGCGATTGTGATCCTATCGTGTCTCCTTCTATGTTTCGAGAAGTAATGAATGACATTCCTATCAGGTACTTCGGGATTTCTTAACATTAGGACAATGACAAATATTTTGCTTTATACGGTACAATTTGGAGCATTGTGTGCTAATGAGAGTTGTTTTTACTGATGTAATTTGCACAATTGCAACAAATGAAAGTAGTTATCTTTATGCCTCTCCCGTGGTACTCTCCTCCTTGTATAACACCTAACCATATCGATCCACCTCTACCTACAACTGCAGGATCACAGCTGTTCTGTGATCAACAGGCAACCTTGGGCAAGTTTCCTTACTCCACACACCTAATAATAATCCCTCCAAAACAAAATAATAATAAATTGGTCATTTTCAATCCACGACTGTTTGTGAGACACTGCTGTGCGCAATTGGCTGCCGTGTTTCGCCCACAAATATACGGTTAATTCGCTTTACAGTATATTCTGTGAAGCACTTTGGGACGTCTAGAAGACGTGAAAAGCGCTATATCAAATGCAAGGATTATTATTATTAAAGTAACGCACACCTCCATCTCTGCTCTCACCCAAAGCAGTTGAAACTTGCCTTTGTGGAACATTGCTGTGTGCAAATTGGTTGCTACATTTGCCTATAAATACAGTCACTCCACTTTACAGTAAATCCTGAGAAGGGCTTTGAGGTGTCTTCCCAAAGTGAAAGGAGCTGTATCAAATGCAAGATTATTAGTATTATTTGTCAGACAGTTCTTGATCTAGACCTAGCCAGGTTTGTGCTGGGCTACTTTCTTCCTGAAACCAGACACGCTGTGTTAAGAGAATGCAAGTTGAGACAATCAAATTAAGTGCTCTGAAGAACAAAAGTAGCATCTTGACCAGTACAAAGATTGTGATGTTCTTTTGTTGGCAGCAATAGTGGAGCCACAATACAGTACTACTTGCATCACTGCAGCAGATTCAACACTCTATGTTGTTATCTACACATGGAAATTCCCACATCTAGAATGGGATACGCACTCTTTCTGTGGAGGGGCTGCACCCTGTTTACTTAATCCTGGAGACTATTAGGCACAGATTGTCAAGAGCCAGGCTTGTGGACCTCATAGAGTGTGCATTGGGGATAACTGCTGGAGTTTAACCAGCTAAAACTACATAGCTTGCTAGCAAAAAGACTGGCAATCTTTCCACTGCTTTTCCAGCTAGGATCCAGCTACCTATTAGGGCTTTGGCTTGCAGGGTTAACAGGAACTGAATGGGAAGAGTCCCTGCGTTCAGGCAGCTCCAAAAGTTTTACCAATGAGCCCGGCTGGCTGGACTGTCATCAGCATTGGAGTATTGCGAACCTTCTTGGCAAAACACTACTGCTACAGAGGATAGACTCGTTTCCAACATTCCAAACGTCACCTTGGAGGCCAGTTCAGCTCCAAAGAGACATTGATTACCTCTCCCCCACACACAAGTGGAATCAGTGTTTCTCCCATTATCTATTTAAAGTACCGATTCGGGTTGATAAGACCACTAGTCTTCCATACTTGATGGTGCGATATTAGAGCAGGGAAATTGCCTTTCTGGCACCATGGTCGGTAAATCAGAGAATTGTCTTGTGGTTTCTGCACCAAACTGGTATTTGCCGTATTTTATACAGACAATAATTGTTGTAATAGAGCTTGATATGAATTGTTCAAACAGTTTTAGGTATTATCTAACTTTGCAGTCTCTGATTTGCAGATTGTCACGAATTAAGTACAGGGAGGAAGCTCGAAAACTGCTTTTCAAATATGCAGAGTCAGCGAAGCGGATGATTGAATCAAGGTAGGTCGCTGTAGTGATGGAGGTGTCACTTCAATCCTCATCCTATTATATTGCCTGCTACCTCCAGGGACGGGCAATATGTAGATAATTCATTGTTGATTACAGAGAATCGGTGGGAGTTATAACATGCAGCCTGATATCTCTTGATTAGAGTCAAAAGTGAGAAATTATTTCTACTGATAGGTGAGTCAGTGACATGGGGTCATCAGTTTAAGAGAGTTAGTAAACAAGCAAATAGGGAGGTTAGGAAAATAATTATTTCACAGGCAGAGTGGTTATGATATGGAATGCTCTGCCAGTAGCAGTGGTTCAGGCAGAATCCATATTGGCCTTCAAGAGGGAACTAGACAAATACCTGAAAAAGTCAGCTATCAGGGTATGGGGAAAGGCAGGTACATGAGACTGAATGGATTGCTCTCACACACATGGTCCTCAGTAGATTCGCCATCGCACGTGTGTTTGTGTGAGAACTCTGACAAAGGGTCGTGGACCCGAAACGTTGACCCACTTTCCTTTCTCCATAGATGCTGCCTGACCTGCTGAGTGTTCCCAGTGACTTCTGTTTTTGTTTCAGATTTCCAGCATCTACAGTATTTTGCGTTTCATTAAATTATTATTTGGAATCATGGCGATGCTGGATTGAATGGGATGTCCAGAAAGCAGTTGATAGCATTTCCCACAGGAAATTGATGGTTAAAATCAAGGTGTAGAGGAGTGAGGTATTCTGATGAGTACAGAGAATTGTTCAGAGTGGATAAATCAGAGTGTGTGTCAAAGGAATGTTCTCAAGCTGGCAGGTTGTGACAGGTGGAAGTCCCCAGCATTCAGCGCTGTAAACAATGATCTGGACTTGGGTATCGTAAATGAAGATTCTCATTGGGTGAGAGTGACAGTTCAGCAGGAGGCTGTGAAATAGATCCTGTGTTCAGTGCTCCACCGTAAGGATCTTGAAACTGATAACTTGTTTAGGTCATAAGCCTGTTTGGAATAAATTTGATGTGTGGGACAGCTAACATTGCTCAGCTCACTTTCAAACAGGAACGCTTCCCCAGATGTGAGGAAAACAGTGAAATGGAACGTTGAAGATACTTTCAACTGGTTACGAAAGGAACCATCTGCAACAAAGGAAGATTACATGGTGAGCTCGGTTATTGGCCACAGTTCATACAAGAGGCTAAAATTGGGCTTTTTCCATTAATTCCTTAGGGTCTCATGTGTTTTTTAGCAGGAGTCTGAGACAGGCGAGGAAAGCACGGCTTCTGATCCTTATTTACTTGGGTCAATACTTGGCGAATTGGGCTACCGTGCTTATCTACAAATACACTGTTACACTCACACACACACACATATATATACCCACACGCTTTCAATCATATGCACACATTCACACACAGACACAGACTTGTATATTCATACATCCACACAAAATCATTCACATACAGACTCACACGTACACTCATGTGTTCATTCACACAAACCATGCATACAATACAAAATTATATTTGTATAGCACCTTTCACATCGGGAGGATGTCCCAGGTGGGCATACACCTTCACTCGTATTCATTCACAAACACTCAAGCATACACATTCACATGGACACAATCACTCTCACACAAATGCTGACTAACGCATGTACACACATGACCTGTGGTGAACAGTGAGGTGTTTTATCACTCGGTTTTGTTACCTGTTTGCAGGAGAGGCTCGATCACTTGCGGAAACAGTGTGGGCCCCATGTGGCAGCAGTGGCAAAAGAATCTGTGGAAGGAATCTGTGGCAAGATCTATCACATATCATGTGATTACGCTAAGCGTGTCCAAGAAAAGCATTTAGCAATGCTCAAAGAATATAATATATCCGGTAAGAGGCAAGCACGGCAGGATCACATCACCAGTCCAGAATCACCAAAATTAAACTGGAAAGAAAGCATTAATAATTTTTTTGCAACTATCTAACTTGTTTTTTCTTATGTTTAGTTTTTATCAATAAAATTAAAAAATGTAGGTAAAATGAATCTCTCAATAGCACCAATCAACACCCTGCAATTTTCTGCAAAATTTGGCAAATTTCCCCACAATATTTGGCAAATATTTTCATTGGAAGATACTTTCTCTGATTTCCGCTTTCTTATTTTTAGTACCAGCCTTTCATGAGGAACTGTATCAAAGGCCTTAACGAAATCCAGATATACAACATCCACTGCTTTACTCTTATCAAGCTCCTTTGTCACACAGTCAAAGAATGCCAGTGAATTAGTTTGGCAGGATCTCCCCTTCATGAAACCATATTGGCTATCATTTATGATTTTATTATGTCCAGATGCTCCATAATTTTGTTTGTAATAAGAGTCTCCATAACTACCCACAATGGACGTCAAACTCATTGGTCTGTTGTTTCCTGGGTTGCTTTTGCTACTTTCTTAAAAAATGGGAGTATGTTTCCTTCTCAATCTCTTGCAAATTTTGGAATTGAGGACGATTAAGTTCTCAATTCTTGCCCTGTTCGAGCCAGGTCTCCCAATAATGTTACATCAAACCCTCAATAGCAATTTATGCCTCCAGTTCACCAATTTTATAATTTGTACCTTAACGTACATAGAGACAGAGTGGGAGAGAATGCGAGAGGGGAACCCTGAGAGAGATCTTTTAAAGTCTATTTGATCATCTTCCTATTATAATACAGCATCAAGTAGGCTGTCAACTGACTATCCACTAAGAGGAACACAGAGAGACTGAGAGTGACTATTTGAGAGTTGAAGGACAGAGAGCTAATATACACACGTCTTTAAAGGTGGGAGGACAAGTTGATAAACATGTAAAGAAGTGAGTGTAATCCTAGATTTTTTAAATAGGGGCATAGAATTTAGAAGCAAAGGGGTACGAAATTCTTTACCCACAGGCTAATCAACAAGTGAGTTACTGGGAAGGGTGATTGAGAAAGTTGAGAGCCTTTTTATCATCTTCCTATTGTAATATGTGATGCAGCAGGACAATGGGAAGATGATCAAATAGACTTCAGGACATTTATCATTCTGCCCATTCTTTGATCAAATATTTGTTTCACTACTGGTGAGATTAAAAGCACTGTGTTGGTCTATAAGGCAGCTTTTTTGCCTCTTGGATGGATTTAGATCAGCAGTTTATAAAATGACCAGCCGAGGATGGCAGAATGGGTGTCGCTCTTGCCTTGATGTAAGTTATGGATGTAACTTGGATAACGAATGTACAACCAGCAGAGAGCAGTGAAGGAAAATGAGATTAGAATTAGCATTTGTGCCTTGCTGAGGTAATGGTAAACATAAAATTCATTGGACAGCCTGACCTTGGAGTAGATTGTCCAGTTGATGCCGCACTTTAGGAAAGTTCTTGGTTCACTCTGGTGTCAGGGATGAGAGGCTTTAATTATAAGGAAAGATAAATAATCCTTATATTTGGTACAGTGCCTTTCACATCAGGAAGATATCTCAAAGCCTTTCCCAGGATACACAGTAAAATGTGACTGTATTTTTGTGGGCGATCGCGGCAACCAATTTCACATAGCACAGCACTTCCCCAGCACTGTTTTGGAGTGTTAACCTAGACCATATGAGTTCCAAGTCCTGACGTAGGGCTTGAACCTACAATCTTCTGACTCAGAGGGTACAGTGATACCAGCTCTGCCAGACTGACACACCACAGAAAGTGCAACTGTTTTTACTGCCCTAGAAATTTGTAGATGGACACAGGCGATGTGCTGAATGGCCCCTATTCCTACCTTAACTGTTCAGGATGGTGTTTGACAATAAATATCTGTATTTAATCTGCACTTTCTCCAGTGTCTTTAATAACCTTTAATTTCAATAACCAATCTAGAATTTTGGTATTGCCTATAGTTTCAAATGAAACAGATTTCTTCTGCTGATGCTCTATGTTCACTTCCCTCCTTTCACTTTCCCACAGAAGAGGTGGAGAAGCAGGAAGTGGTAGACAGACTGGTGTACTGCTACCCTGTGAGACTTGCATTCCCCTCAACCCCACTCCCACGCGTTGATTTGCACTTTGAGACTGACACTGCCTGCATACGATACAAAGGAGAAGTTAGGAAACTAAGTCGCAGCTACTTAAATAAACTGGTAAGTAGTTTGTCTTTTGTCTTGCCAATTGTGAGATGGAGTTGTCATCCAAATGCCAACCAGTCATTCTAACTACCCCGTGCACCCATTACATCAGGGAGAAGTTTGGAAAACATTGTTCCCAAATCTCTCAGCCCCTCCCATTAATCAGCTGAAGCTTAAAGCTCTTCCATGTCCCAAAGACACTCAAAATTCTTTCAACCCTTGGATCAAATCAGTCCTTTGAAGCCTCCCCTTTAACATCAAGCCTGGTGAGTGTGGGAAGACATAGCCCAAGAGGAGAACAGCAAGTCACCATCTGATAGATCCTGTTCTTGAAAAAAAGTACCATTTTGCAAAATTGGAATTGTGGGCAAAAGTCCTCATTTGAAAGCTGCATAAAGCTTTTGGAATTGAAAGCGTATTTGTTATGGAAAAAGAAGTAGTGTGATTGCTGATATATTTCTGTCTTGGAGGTGGGGGAAGAGATTTACAGGTGTTTTATTGTCAGCCTGGGTTAGTCTGAGCTTGATAGTTTGTACCTATTTAATTAGTGTGGGGCATTCGATAAAGACAAGCCAGCTAACCATAATTCAGTGACACCTTTAATTATTTTTGTGATTATGATAAATTTGTGCTCGCTTGTTACTGACTTGAGCTCACAGTCTAGGCTGACAGTCCAGCTGGATAGTCCCATCCATCCTTTGCATGAGACGTTAAATCGAAGCTTTGTCTGGCCATTTCAGTGGATGTTAAAGGTCACATCACACTATTTGAAGAGTGATGGGAGTTTCTCCTGGTGATCTGTCTTGACAATAAATTTGTCATTTACTTGTAGATAGTGCAGATAGGACCTTTCTATGCATGAAATGGCTACTATGAATATACGTTCAGAAAACAGACATTTCAAGACATTTTGTCTACAAAAGTGGTCGTATACACATGACAATAATTCCCTGTGAAGTGCTTTGAAATGTTTTTGACATATAAGGTTGTATAAGAAGTTTATTTTTTTGCAAGGCATTAACTCTCTTTGGGGAGCAGGGCTTAACTGCAGCTCAGATTGACAGGAGGAAAAACAAGTGATGAAAGCACATTGCAGAATGCCGATTACTGGCGCCAGATTGTGAACTAAATTCTGATACATATTTTGTACGTTTTTTTGCATAAAAATTCACAGTTGTTAACAGTATTTTACCTGTTTTTCTCAGGAACAGCTGTATCGCTACAGCTGTGTTGATGATGCACGTTTTGAAAAGTTCCTTGCGAGAATCTGGTGCCTACTCAGAAGATACCAGGTGAATTTCTGTTCAGTGTAAAAGGGGAAGTTCTTACGTAACTAAACAACAACAAAATTACATCTCTATAGCGCCTTTCACATCAGGAGGACGTCCCAAGTGTTTCTGACCCGAGCTGGGGGTCAGGATCAGGAGGGTGGAGGGCAGGGGGAAGGAGGGTGGCCGAAGGCACGGTCAAAGAGGAGGGTCTTGAGACGGGTCTTGAAGCAGGCAAGGGTGGGGCCGAGTTAATACTTGTCAAAGAACTTGATGAAGTAGGTCAAGCATTATCTGGCCTTCACAAATCAATGCTAAGTATCCCTGATTAACCCATGCCTATCTAAGTACTTGCTAACCTGGTCCCTTATTATCGCCTCCAAAAATTTACCGACAATTGACGCAGGCTCACTGGCCTGGAGCTCTGTGGCTTAATCCTGACGCCCTTCTTAAAAAGAACACTACATCTTGCCACCCTCCACTGCTGTGATTCAGAATGTATTGATGAATATTATTAAAAGTAGAATTAAAAGAACAGCTGTTAGAAAGTTATTTGCTGATTCACCGCAATAGACCTCAGAGATCTGTAAACTGCAATGTTAGTATAGGGCTGCCCGCACTCAAGTCAACAAAGTGGTGTAGATCAGTAATGCTTTTATTGACTGTTTCTGGTTTTCAGTCCCTGTTTGGTGTTGGGGTACATGAAGGCACTGGACTGCAGGGGGCTTTGCCAGTACCTGTCTTTGAAGCACTCAACAAACTATTTGGGGTGAGTTTTGAGTGCTTCGCCTCGCCCTTGAACTGTTACTTCAGACAGTACTGCTCTGCGTTCCCCGACACTGATGGATACTTCGGCTCCAGGGGGTGAGTCCAACACTCTCCATCCTGTTTCTAGTCATTGTATGCAGTGTGTTTATTTAGTAGGTTTTTCCAAATCAGTACACTTCACCTGCTAACAGCTGAGAGGCTTTGTTGTGATTATTTCTGGGTGGATTATTTTTGTCATTACACAGACAGAACATCTCTTCCTCCTCCGTAAAGCAAAGTTGTGTGTGTATTTCCTTCTTGCTTCTCACATCTCTCTAATAATAATAATCCTTTCATCCTCTTAAATGCCCCAAGAATCTACCCTGTGTGAAGGGTGCTATATAAATGCAAGTTGTTATTGTTTCGTTTTGATTATGTCTGTGTGTTTCTTCTTCTACCTTTCTCGATCTCGCTCTCTGTTTGTCTGGCTGAGTTTTTCTATTTCTTTCTCTTTGTTTGTGTGTCTCCAGCGCTCTCCTTTTCTCTGTGTGTCTTGGTCTTTTTTCTCTCTCGATCCTGTGGATTTTTCAAATGCCCTCCTCCACTGCTCCACCATTCATAAAATCCAATTAATTCAAAACTCCGCCGCCCTTATCCTCACCCACACCAAACTCTGCTGTCCCATCACCGTAGTTCTTGCTGTGCTCTATTGGCTCCCTATTGCAGAACATATTGATTTCAAGATCCTCACACTCATATACAAATCGCTTCGCGCCTTGGCACCTGCCTACCTCTCTGATCTGTTTAAATCCCACTCTTGTACCCATCTCTACCCTCCACTCACTCAGCTGGCGTCCTGCACATACCTCGTGTTTATCCCCCCGCTTAACCATCGGCAGCAGTACCTTCAGCCACTACGCCCTAAAGCTCTAGAACCCTGGCTCAATCCCTCTGCATTGCCTTGTCTGTCTTCAGATTGCACCTGAAGACCTTCTCTTTGACTGTGAGTATGGTCATCTCCATCTCTCCCCAACTCAGCGTCAGGCTCCTCCATTTTTAAGTGCTTCGAGATGCTACCCCTTGCGATGGGTGCCATACAAATATAAATTGTTGGCTTTATTCCTTTCCTCTATCTTTGTCTATCTGTTTCTCTCTCATTTTCGTTCTTTTAATTCTGATTCTCTCTCTCTCGCTTTCTCACTACTCTACAACCTAGCATGCCCTTTCTGAATTCATGCTGTTTGAATTTGCTTGACCTGAACGCAGTTTCTTTAACATTTTAAGATTCGCTGAATGCTTTGAACTTTGGGAGTTAATATCAGCACAGAGCACTCAACAATAACAACAGCTTGCATTTATATAGCACCCTGCACACGGGGTAGCATCTTGCATCTCGGAGTGGTTAACAGTGACATTACCTGACGCTGAGCCAGGGGGTAGGGAGCAGGTGACCATAAGCAGAGTCAAGGAGGAAGGTCTTAAGTGGTGATGTGAAAAGGAGAAAGAGGTTTTGATTTCTGACAAACAAGTTGTCAGAACATCAGGAAACCTGGACTTGCAGCTGGGAGAGTAGATTTGAGTGTCATTCGCATACATGTGGAAGTTGACCTGTCTGCGGATGACATTCACTAAGAGGAAACATGCAAGTGAGGAAAAGAAGGGGGCCACAGGTGACTACTCCAGGACGCTGAGAATTGGTTAGATGCACAGGTCCTTTTCTCCTCAGAATCAGACACTCTAGGGTTAAGGCAGAGTAAGGCTTACTGTAACCAGCCCAATAAGTTCCTATGCTGGGGTGTGAGGTTGAGTTGCTGTAGTGTGGTGATCATGGTGTCTGAAAATGATTTTGAACTGAAGCTGAACACTGAAAGCTGCTTGTTTTTTTTTCTTTGCAGATCATTCTTGAGTTTCTCACCGATCAGCGGTTCCTTTGAAGCAAACCCTCCATTTGGGGAAGAGTTGATGGATAGTATGGTCACTCACATTGAGGTGAGGGTCTGTGGTGTTTTGCTAAACTGTGCAGTGCAGCACTGCTGATATGCAGTTAAATTTGGAGTACTTTAGCGTATTGGTTAGAGCAGTAAATAGGAACCCGATTGATAGTCGATTTCTAGTTCTGGGGATAATAATCCCTTCAAATAAAGAGATTAACAAATTATTTATTCACTCAATCTACGGTGGTTGCTGTGTGCAATTGGTTGCCGTGTTTCTCCCACAAAATATACAGTCAATATACTTTAGTGCATATTGTGAAGCGCTTTGCGACATCTCAACGACGTGATGAGGCATTATATTAGAATTTCATAACGGTTTCTTCAAAGAGGCGGCTGAAAGTGTGGAATGCATTGCCCAAGGAGGCTAAAAAGCAGAATTGATTGAAATTTTTAAGGGAGAAATATATGGGTTACTTGGATATTAAGGCATGAGGTTAGAGGCTAAAGAACAGCCATAAACAAATGAAATGGTGGAGCAATGTGCAACCAAGCACAGTGACCGACTCCTGTTCTCATAGAACTATAGAATTATACAGCACAGAAGGAGGCCATTTGACCCATCATGTCTGTGCCGACTCTTTGAAAAGAGCTATCCAAATCAATCCCACTCCCCCCATAGTCCTACAAACTTGTCCTCCCCAAATAATTATCTAATATTGACCAACTATTCAGTAAATTATTCTTCCAACAACTTGCATTTATATATTCCCCCTTCACACAGGATAGCAGCTCCCAATGTTTTTAGACCACATCTTCACTTGGTCAATGCAAAAGCAAGGGGCAGAAACCGATACATGTATCCCATGGAAATTACTTGTTGAATTCTACCCTATTAAGTTGTCCCAATTCCAACATCTCCTACTGAGTTGGTGGTCCTGATATAAAGGATGTAAAAGAGCACTGGCTTTTGCTGAGAATTAGAGTTGTTAATTTTCCCCAAAATGCTTTGGACAGAACCTCTTGGGTACCTCAAGTGAGCCACTGTCGTTCATTGTCTTCATCCCGGAGTGGAGGAACCCTCCCACACCTGCCCTGGTCCGCATGGAGGAGAGTAGATACAAACGTCATCAAGTGGTTGTGCCAGCATATGAACACGAGTACAGGAGTGGAGCCCAGCACATCTGCAAAACGTAAGTCTTGTCTACTGTTTCATATCTTAACTCTGCGAGAAAAAACACTGACATTACCCCTCCCGCTCCAAAAAAAACCTATTCTTGCTCCTTGTCACCTTGCAAGCTACTAGCCCATCTTAAACTTGCCCTTTATTTCTAAAGTCCTGCAATGTGTTGTTGTCAACCAACTTCGCTCACACCTTTCCCTCCATTCCTCACTCAAGCACCTCCAGTCTAGTTTCCACCTGGGCACAGCACCCAGGTATCTGTCTGGGTGGCTTGCTGTCAGACTCCGCCATTGTTAATGGATTAGAGTGGAAAGCTCCAGTGGGGAGCGAGCACCAGTATGGACATGATGGGTTTACAGGGAATGGGATTAGAGTGGAGAGCTCCAATGGGGGAGGGAACACCACAATAGACTGAATTCTGTAAAATGTCATGACTCTGTGTTAAAAATGAAATGCCATTTGTTTTGTTTGTTTCCAGAGAGGATATCTATTACAAAGCAGTGCACGGAACAGTTCTCATCTTCTTGCAGAATGATGCTGGATTTGGAAAATGGGAGCCAGTACAAGAGCGAGTACAGGAGCTGATGGAAGCGTATAAGAGAACAGGGAAATCATCGAGTTCATCTTGTGTGACATCTGCTGATAGAGACCTGGAGCAGAGTCGTGACAAAAGCAGCACTACAGAGCAATAGACTCTTTAATCAGTGTCAGGTCTGCAAAGTACGGGAAACTGGAAGCAGTTGACACATGTATGATTTTAATAGAAGAACTTGATCCAAACTACAAAACTATTGTCATCACCAGCAAGAAATGTACATATGTACAGCCACTTTCTAACCCAAACCAGCCTCTCGGTTCTTACTGTTTCCTTTGTTTTATTTTTACAAAGGTGTTTAGAGGAGAAAACCAGGAGATGTTTGTGTAATATATACTATGAAATGTTTCATAACAGATACCGTGTCCGTTTCTCAGCTTTCTTATTTGTTTTTCAGATTATGCGATCCCGCCTAATATTTTTTTAAATTTTGCTAATAGTGTCTGTAGATTTTTTCCATTACAATGTCAAAGTGTATATACTGTACCTCTTTTAATGTTGAGAATTAAGTGAATGTGTAAATGTAAAAGCTGATGATCGGAATCAATAGATATCTGCTTTGACCTGTGTGGACTATATCTCCAAACTGTTCAAAGGCAACTTCACAGAACTGCATTCCAGTACACAAACCCTCTATTGTGTTAAAGTGTTACTGATAATTGGAAGAAAACACAAGCAACCAATATGCACAGCAAGGTTGGGGCAGGAGGGAAGCAGCCAATTAATGTGCAGTATTGTTGGTCAGGACCCGAGTCTCCTGTGTGCTGGCTGGTGCTGTACGTGAGACAGCATCATACACCACCTCTTGGAGCCTGTGCGGAACCTGGCTATCTAGTCTGACTCTCGACTAACCTTTAAACCTCTCACTCAAGCTCTGACTTGCTCAGCTTTCCCCCACCTCCGGAACATTACCTGCTTCAGTGACAACCTTGGGCCGCAAACTCTAATCCACGTATTCATCACATCCAGGCTTGGCTATGGCAACACTCTGCTCACCAGATTTCCAAACTTCCCTCCACGAGCTGCAGTGTGGAGTTCTCTGCTGCAGTCAGTTGTTGTGCACATTCAAAACAAGACTGGATATATGGTTAAGAGAGAATAATGCTGAGGGATATGCGGCGGAAAGCTGGGATATAGGATAGGCATTCTTATGGAATACAAACACTGTCCACACAATCGTGGATTGAGTGACCAAATGCTTTTTTCCAAGGGATTATTGTGTGGAGTCCTGTAGCTCAGTGGTTAGAGCACTCGCTTTGCAAGCGAGAGACCTGGGTTCGATTCCCGGCAGAGGGCGAAACCTTGGGCAAGTTTCCTTACTCTCCACACGCCTGATAATAATATCTAAAAAAAAAACGATAATAAATTGATCATTTCAATCGACGACTGTTTGTGGGACGCTGCTCTGCGCCATTGGCTGCCGCGTTTTGCCCACAAACATACAGTCAATTCACTTTACAGTCTATTCTGTGAAGTGCTTTGAGACATCGAGAATACGTGAAAAAGCGCTATATCAAATGCAAGGATTATTATCATTATTGCCCCCCTGGAAAATGATCTGCTAAGCGACTTAACAACCAGGTTCTTGTTTACTGCTAGGTAAATGTGTGCGGAGTAAGGAAACTTGCATAAGGTTTCACTCCACCTGGGATTCAAACCCCGGTCCTGTCGCTTGCTAACTACTACTTTAAATACTACAATCTAATCTACTTATTCCGTGACTCACTGTCTCCCTAATTAGGGGGCCTTTTATACTAACTGTTCCAAGACCACTTGCGTACTTATTTATAGAAATATACAGTGTGCTCGCCAGCGCTGTTCAGTGATAGTGCTGCGTGCTTGTCGGTGTAGCTCAAAAGTCAAAACTTTATTCAAGGCTGTGCTGTGTGCTCATCAGTGTTTTATGTAAGTCGGTGTTGTCCTTGAGCCAGTGTCCGTATCAGCCCTCTAACAGACATCTGCCTTCAGCATGATAAGAGGACCATGACAAGACCACTTGTGACGTGCTAGCCACCTTAAATGTTCTCGAGGTCCACGTGTAATGCTTTCTCAGCACCAGCTGCTTAATGCAGGACTTCGTGTGAGGGGCCTTATCAAATAGACCAGCTGGAGCCCACCCCTCCCTCCACAGCCACTTCCCCTGTTTACCACAAATCCACCTCACTGCTTGATCTTGGACTTAACAAATGGGCGAGAGGAAGCCTCTCTACTGAATTCCCAGGAACTCAGAATCCTGAAAACTTGCACACAAGCCTTACATGCCATAAGTTTGACCTGCATTGGGACTTTGATCCTCTCTCCACAGGCTACAGATCATCCAGAACTTTGCAGTCCATGTCCTCTTCTGCACCAGGCTCTGTGACCTTATCACCCCCATCCACACCCGACTCCACTGGCTTCCCATCACACAGGATACAGTTCAAGATCCTGGTCCTCACCTTCAAAGCCCTCCATGGTCTTGCATCCCCCTACCTCTGCAATGACCTAATGCCATACCAATCTGCCTGCTCCCTCCGCTCAGTGGCCTGCTTCATGTACCCCGCCTCACCCACCCCACCATTGGTGGGTGGGCCTTGAGCCAGAGTTCAGCCAACTCCATCCCACAGTCACTCCACCCCCTCCCTTGCCTCCTTTAAGACCCATCTCAAGACTCACCTCTTCGACTGTGACCTCGATCACCCTCCTCCCCTGTCCTCCACCCTCCCTGATACCGACCCCCAGCTCAGGTCCAAAACACTGTCCAGCACCTTGGGATGTCCTGACGTAAAAGGTGCTATATAAATGTAATTTTGTTGTTATCCTCGGAGAGAGATGATCCAGACCAGAGTGCTCTTCCCTCCTCAACGCGATCCTTCAGAACATGTTCAAACAATGGTTGGTGTCCACCACAACCCCAGATACCGATGAGAATCAACAATTGGGATTGGCGTCCCATGTATCTTCCAATCAATATTCCTGATGCAGAACCATGTTTCCCCACTTGGAGGCACTCACCACCATGTCCCACTGGGTGGCCCAGTGTTCAAGATGCTGTATGTTATGCGACATCTCCAATGAGATGAAAACACTTTCCAAACTTGAAAATGCCTCAATTTTATTGTTGGCCCCACAGCCTCTACTCTCCTCATATTATTTTATCTCTCGGCTTTTAATCTGTTATGTGCTCTCTTATTGGATCTACTCGGTCACATCTAGTACAATATAATACAAAATTACATTTGTATAGCGCCTTTCATGTCGGGAGGACTTCCCAAGGTGCTGGACAGTCAGAGATTTGGACCCGAGCTGGGGGTTGGGATCGGGAATGATGGAAGGCAGGAGGGGAGGATGGTGGGTAAAAGGATGACCAAAGGCTCGGAAGAAGAGGAAGGTTTGAGATGTGCCTTGAGGGGGTCAAGGGACGGAGCAAGGCGAAGGAATGTAGGCTGGAGTTCCATAGGGTGAGGAGAGAAAGGCTGAAGGCCTGACTGCTGATGGCCGGGCTGGGTACATGGAGCAGGCCACAGCCTGCTGAGCAGAGGGAGCAGACAGGTTCATATGGGGTCAGCAGATTGCAGAGGTGCTGTCTGTGTGCGATAGTGTGTGTGTGCAAGAGAGAGAGTGCGTGTGTGAGCGAGAGAAATAGAGACAAGATGGTAAGTGCAGTGCAGAAGGTCCGCAAACCGAAGAGGCCTGGAGCACATACATCAAGTCGTTACCCCTCAATGCCATCCAACATGCCGTTGATGAACACATCAAACAAGGTGGGTGACAATGGGCAGCCTTGCCTTACAACAACAACATCAAAATTACATGTGTATAGCCCCTTTCACGTCAGGAGGACGTCCCAAGACTCTGGACAATCAGTGTTACGGATCCGAGCTGGGGGTTGGGGTCGGGGAGGGTGAAGGGCAGGAGGTGAAGCAGGGAGATCGAAAGGTAGGTGGTTAGGAAGTTGCAGAGATAGGAAGACCGTGGAGAGCTTTGAAGGTGAGGACCAAGATCTTGAACTGTATCCTCTGTGTGATGGGAAGCCAGGGGAGTTGGGCAAGGATGGGGATGATAGGGTCGTGGAGCCTAGTGCGACCCTATCACCCCCATTCTTGCCCCTCTCTTTCCAGAGCGATGGGCTCAGTGAGTCCGCAGTCGATCCTTCACAGATCTTGGAGCTGGAGCACACATTCCGGATAAAATCCAGGATTCGGCCATGTACTCCCGCGGCTTCCGGTTTCATCGTGAGGCACGAGGTCAAAAGGCTTGCAGTAGTTGACGATAGGGTGCAACGTAAGTGGGTTTCCCCTCAGCCTGACGCACCTCCTGAGATCCATCACAGAGCCACGACCTGCCCCACGGATTCCTCACGGGATCGGAGGCCCGCCCGCTCCTTCCCGATCGCACCACGAGCCTCCAAATCGTGCCATACACGTGCAGCAACGACCCAAAGCACCAAATCAGTGAGATCCCTCTGCAGTCATCGCCGGACTGACAACTGCGTGTCACAGCTCACGGCGGAGCGGGGGCCGGGGGAACGGGGCCTCAGGGTTGGGAGGCCACGGTGCTGCTGTTGTTGATGGGGTTTCCCCCACCCACCCACCCACCCACGGGGCAGCCGCGGAGGAACCGGCCGCCGGCGCCGCAGCGAGAGGGGAGGGAGGCGGGCGGGTTTGGGGCAGGTTCTGACCAGCGCGATCTGGTCTCTGATCTTGTTTTTTTTTTAATTGTGTGTGTGTGTATATATATATATAGATATGTGTATGTATAATAAATAATAAAAAAAAAGTTGAGGCCCCAGCGAGATTTGAACTCGCGACCCCTGGTTTACAAGACCAGTGCTCTAACCCCTGAGCTATGGAGCCGCGCTAGGGGAAGATGGCGCCCGGGCCGATGGGAAAACCCTGGCGAACGGAAGTGAGCGGCGATGCAGCCGCTGCCCCGCACAAGCATGGCGTCCCGCCCGGCCCCGCCCCCTCCCCTCCCCTCACCACCCACCACCCCACCCACCGCGGCCGCTCGCCGTGACGTGCGGGGACGGTGACGTCATCGGGCCGGAAGTGGGGAAGCGCGCGGGCCGGCGGGAGCGGGTGTGGAGCGCGTTACCATGGGAGCGAGTGGAGAGAAGGAGAACCAGGGCCGCGGCCTGCAGCAGGACCCCGAGCAGCTCAGCGCGGTAATGGCGCCGCTCGCAGCGGGTGGGGGTGCGGGGGGGGGAGACTTCCTGTCACAGGGAACCGCGGCCCGTTATTGTTCGGCTCCTGCCGGTTTCCGGCCGCCCCGGGGGCCTGTGCGTTGTGCTCTCCCCAGCGGCCGGTCATCCGCATTGTTATTGTTGTCATCTCGAGGACGGAAAACGGTTCCTCAGTGAAGAATAATAATAATAATAATAATAATAATAATCCTTCGTTATCAGCTATTTGCTGCAGCGCCGCATCACGTCTTCGAGACGTCTCAAAGCGCTTTCGCAGACTTTACTGTGAAGTGAATTGACTGTGCATTTTGTGGGCGAAACCCGGCGGCGGCGGCGGCGGCCGATCGGCGTCCCCGCAAACAGCCGTGGGTTGAAGGGGACCGCAATTTTTTTCAAGTGTAGTGACCGTTCGGAGGCAAAATCAGTCGCAACTCTACGCTCGGCAATGTCCGCCTCACACGCCCGCGGGTGGGGGTAAATTTGGGTCTTCTTGTCCAGGACACAGAGCATAAGAAACTTCTGACTCCCCCCCCCCACCCCACCAAAAGTGTCTCGGGAACTTTAACCTGTGTCCCTCCCTTTCCTCCTTCAAGGCCGGTCTCAAGACCTTTCTCTTTGACCGAGCCTTCAGCTCCCCTCTCGACTCTCTACCCCCTCCTCGCTCCCTCCCTTCCCTCCCCTCACCCCGACCATTTCCCCCCAATGCTCGGGTCCCGATCCAATTGTCCAGCGCCTTGGGACGTCCTCCCGACGTGAAAGGGGCTCTATAAATGAAATCTTGTTGTTGTTGTTGTTGTTTGGTCGCCCTCCCATCTCTCTGCCTTCCTTCCCCCTACACCACCCTTCCCCCATGCTCCCGTGGCATTATTAATTCCTTCAAAAGAAAATTGTTTGTGGGACACTACTGTGCGCAATTGGCTATGGTGTTTCGCCCACAAAATATACAGTCAATTCACTTTACAGTATATTCTGTGAAGCTTTCAGATGTCTCGAAGACATGATAAGCCATTATATCAAAGGCAAGGATTATTATTATTATTATTGTTTGGAAAGAAAAGGCAGTTTCTCCATGTGTCCTGGCCAACAACAACAACAAGATTACATTTGTATAGCGCCTTTCAAGTTGGGAAGACGTCCCAAGGCACTGGACACTGGACAGTGTACAGCATTTCAGACCCAAGCTGGGGTCGGGGGGGGGGGAGGTGAAGGGAGGTGGCCGATGGCATGGTCGAAGAGGAGGATTTTGAGGCGGGACTTGAAGGAGGCTAACGAAGGAGTGAGGCGGAGTGATTGGCGGTTGGAATTCCAGAGGTTGGAGGTAGAGTGGCTGAATGCTCTCCCGCCAATGGTGGAGCGTGTGGGTCGGGGAAAGTGGAACAGGCTGGAACTGGTTGAGCGAAGGGAGCGGGCAGGTTGGTAGGGAGTTAGGCGATCGCAGAAGTAGGGTGGGCCGAGGCCATGGCGGGCTTTGTAGGTGAGGACCAGGATCTTGAACTGGATCCTCTGAAGAATAGGGAGCCAATGGAGTTGGGTGAGAATAGGGGAAATCGGGTCACGGAGTTTGGTGCGGGAGAAGACACGGGCTGCAGAGTTCTGGATTATCTGCAGCCTGCGGAGGGAGGAGTTGGGAAGGCCGACAAGCAGGGCATTTGCATTGTCGAGCCTGGAGGTGATGAAGGCATGAACAAGAGTTTCAATGGCCTGAGGGGTGAGGTAGTGGCGGAGTTGGGCGATGTTACGGAGGTAAGGGAAGGCAGAGCGCGTCATGGCTTGGATGTGGGGAAGAAAAGACAGTTGAGGGTCGAACAAGACACCTAGGTTCCTGACTAGCTCAGTGAGTTGAAGTGTGCAACTATGGCGGTTGATGCTGCCAAAGCCTGAGGTACAGAGGCATGAACCAGTGGACAAGGAGAGGTTGATGATGTCGGACAGGAGAGGGGCCAGAAGGTGGAACTGGGAGATGAGTAGAGAGGTGGGGATGGGATTGAGGGAGCAGGTGGTGGGTTTGAGTTTGCGAACGATGGCCCCGAATAAAATTTGCTAGTTCACTTCATGTCTGTTTGTGGGATATTGCTGTGTATAAATTCGCTACAGTGCTCGCCTACATGATTTGGTCATTAGCTTAACAAAAAAATCCTGTGAAACGTCTGAGATGTCTTGATGGCATGATAAGGTGCTGCAAAGATTCCAAATATATCTGGCAATGGCACTGTTGATGACAGCCACTGGTGGAACCATCGTACAATGGATAGGTGGGCAGGAGAATGGTGGCAATGCGTTCACTCACCCTCCTGTGCGCCCACACCCGTCTTTCCCTCCCACATTGCCCCCCGCCCACCCCCTTACCCCACTTGCTCTCCTGCCCTGCCGCATGTGTGATGCAGTTGGAATGGAGCAGTGCCTTACAATGTTTTTTTTCTGTTTTTCAGAACCCTTGGAACATCATGATCAAGCACCGTCAGGTTGCCCGTAGGGGTCGTCGATCACAAATGGCAGTAAGGTAAGCCAACCGCAGGTATATCAAAGTTGTGAAACAAGGGAGTTCACAAAATCCCTGACATTTTCAGTAAAATTGTGAATTTAGGGATTTCAACTTGTGACCGAACACTGGCGAGGGAGTGAGTGGCCAGATCCTGGTGGGGGACTATGGCATTGGGGAGGCGGCGAGCACCTGTGATGGAGCGAGATGGTGCGAGCAGGAACCGGCGGGGATCAATGGTGAAGGGAGGAGCCAAATGGCAGCAGGAGCGAGGGAGGGGAGGGGGGCTGAGGTCCAGTGGGGAGCGAAGGGATTGGGGAGCGAGATGGTGAGGGGGTGGGGAGTGATGCCCAGAGAAGGAAGGGAGGATGGTATTGTGGAAGGATGAGATCAAATGAAGGACTTCTTTACCTGATTCTCTGGTTGGTGTAAGGGCAGCAAGTTTGTAGAAACAACCATCCAAATGCCAAGATCTGTAACATATTTATGTTTAATGGATATTCAGCAGTTTTGTTTTGAGGTCACTTAAAGGCTGTTTCTTGGCATAGGGTATATCTCAATATGGTTTGTTGTGTTTATTTTATTCTTTACATTTAAAACATTACACTTTCTCCACAGTTTTACAGATCCAACCATATCCATGGATTTGTTACGAGCTGTTCTGCAGCCTCACATTAATGAGGAAATCCATGCAGTTATCAACAAGTACACAAAGGTAATGTTTTTTTCTGTCTGGCATCCTAAGATAACAAATGTGTAAATAACTTTGCCAGAATATTTTAAGCTTTCGTTCTATCGTGTTACCTTGAACGGTCTGCGCATATCCCAAATTTATTTGAATGCTCCCTTGAGTAGGTTGACTGTTCCCTCTCCCATGAGAATCGTAGAATATTATGACACAAAATTGAATGTCTCTCTGAAAGACTATTTTTACTCACCCATACTTTTTCCATCTTGGATTTTGTTTACATGGCACCTTACAAAACGCCTATTGAAAATCAATTTTTTTAAGGGATTATTGCCCCCGGAAAACGATCTGCCAAACCAACAAACAAATGGGTTCCTACTTACTTCTAGATAAACAGAGGTGTGTAGAGTAAGAAAACTTGCCTAAGGATTTGTCCTGCCAGGAAATTGAACCCAGTCCTATCACATGCGAGGCGAGCGCGCTATCCAGATGACAACCCAGCCAGCCTGCCTTACCAGCAGTACTTGCCAACCAACGCGCTATTACTCTCTGGAGTTAGGCAAAGAGGGTATATCCCTCCGGGAAGAGGCTAAGTATTCCATTCCAGAAGTGAACATTTCCATATGTAGGTGGCATATGTTGAATTCTGTTTGGTTTGGAGACTTGTAAGCGAGGTGATGAGGTTCTGTGTATGTCAGATATTGACTGATGGGGTGGAGGGGAACAAGTTTTGGTTTACAAGACTGGGCTCTACAATAACCAGGCCCATGTTTAGGTTGAATAAGGTTGTACTGTGCCCTGGTCTTAATGCTTTATTCTAGCTGAATCCCGCACATCCAGTTACTGTTTTATTATTATTGTTCATGACTAAATTTACTTTTGCAGTTTTTCCAAAAGGCAGCATGGAATGTGAAGGAGAATGTTGGGGAAGAAGTGGATCCAGACCAATTGGTGCAAGAAACCTGTAAGAACTGCTTAGAACAGGTAGGAAACAGTCTTGAGCAGTGATAGGCCAACCGTTATGGTCAGCTAACAAAATACATTTTCTTGATCGAATATTTCTTGATTTATGGATTTATCAAGGAATATTCAATCAAGAAAAAGCTGAAAACATGGACATTGAACATGGACTTATCTAGACTTGTGCAATTTTCGGGGAGTGGGTGTGTGCTTCTTGACAGCCTCCCAGGCCACTTCCAGCGTTGGGCCACAGGTTGGTCACCACTGATCTAGAGTATGAGAAGAGGCCATTACACACGAGGGGTAGAGGCAAGGGGGGTTGGTGGTGGGAAGATGACCAAAGGTGTGGTTGAAGAGGAAGGTCTTGAGACGGGCCTTGAAGGGAGCAAGGGTAGGAGGCAAGATGGAGGTGCTCTGGAGGGAGTTTCAGAGGGTGGGTGCAGAAAGGCTGAAGGCCCGACCTCCGATGGTGGATCAGGCAGGCCGGGAGCCATGGAGCAGGCCAGTACCTGCTTGGTTAATAGGGTTTTAGGAGGTCACAGAGGTAGGAGCAAAACCGTGGAGGTCTTTAAAGGTGAGGACAAGGATTTTAAACTCGATCCTCTGGGGGTTGGGGAGCCAGTGATCGGCTCACGGAGCTTAGATTCCAAAGGTAGGGTGGAATGAAGATACAGACAATGATCTTAAAGTTGACCCAGAACTGGTGGACCGAGGTGAGGATTAAGCGATTGGCTAGCCTAACACAGAAGAGGATGCCGAGTGTGGAGTTGGTTATGGTGTGGAGCTTGGGAGGGTTGGGGGATTCCTGGTGAGCAAGGCATTGGAAAAGCTAGGATTCCTGTAACTGCCTTGTCAACTTGGCCAAGTTGTGCATATTAACCTCTGGTTATGTCTCTTGTATAGAGTTACATAACTTGATGTTGCATGAAACTAGGCAGTTTGGCTCAATGAGTCCATGACCAGATTCACACCTATTCCCCTCACCTCTACCCTTCTATTCCCTTGTCCATCGTATGCAAATCATGTTTTATGATATTTAGTCTGATTTTTCTATGAAAGAAAAAGAGAAAATTGGTTTGGGAGGTTTGCTTTATTTGTAACTCCATTATAGCTCCTAATCTTTATATCGACTTAGGCAAAGATGATGTATTCGGATGATGAGAAGACAATTGCCAAACCAGTTGGAGAAAATTCCGTCATGAAGGTACATTTTATTTTGCTACTTTGTAATCTATACTAATAAAACAACAATGTCCGATTGACGTAGAGACATGATGTATACCTCATTGGAAAGGTCTTGCATGCCCGAGTGTCATGAGGATATTTTTTTCGGGGATCTCCTATCGTTGATGAGCTATATTTTAAAAATGCTTTTATTAAGCTCCAAAATATGAGATATGCATACAGCAAAATAGCGACATAGGAAATCACACATGGTTCCAGAGAGATACATCTGTACTAATATATTCTGCAACAGTGTAGCACCAGAGAAAAACATGGGCATATTTTTGGAGATCTATCGTTATATAAAGTATAATAATCTAATATAAAGTATCCTAATCCAATATAAAGTAAAATATAAAGTTTAATAATACTGAAGTCTACATTCCATATTGGATCCTTTGGTTGCAAGCATAGCTGCAACAGATATCATAAACTCTTCAGGACCCCTTCTAGTGACCATTCATATGTGAAGCATTGGTGGTGAGGGAGGAAAGAAAGGGATGATGAATCCTACCTTTTTCCTACAATAGCAGTGTATTAGGGTCAAATCCTTTGACATTGCTGGCTGGTCACCCGAGCTGGGGATGTGGGCTGACGTGGGTGGGAAGGAGAAAGATGACCAAAAACTTGATCAAAGAGATGCAGCTTGAGCAAGTGAAACCTTAAAAAGGATTGAGTGAGGGAGAGAGTTGTAGGGACTCTGCGATGGAGTTCTAGAGAGCTGGGGCAGAATAGCTGAAAGCCTGCCTGCTGATTGTGGGGCAGAGCTTTCACTCATAGTGCATGTAATTTTTCTATATTTGTCTTCAAACTTGAAAATAATTGATTTTGCATTTAATGAAAATATATTTTTTTTACAGCGTGCAAGACAAACGGAGGATGACACAAATCTGCGGGGAAGTCCTGTACCAAAGAAGGTATATGTGCACCTATGAATAATGTGTTGCAGGGCTAGAGGAGGACAAATTGTTGAATAATGGCTGAAGTGTGGGGATTTGAGAATAGGTGGCATATAATAGATCTCACACTGATCAAGGGAATAAGTTGGTGATGGTCTACAGGTGGTGGATACAACTAACACATTTACACTTAGTTGACTCATACTTATGACTCTTAGTTGACTCATACTTATGACTCTTAGTTGACTCGTACTAGTTGACTCATACTTTCATACATTATAAAACCTCATAATTCTTTGGCAGACATTGACCTTTTACCTGAACAGCAGTGAATATCGTGGGATGCTTTTATACACCTGTGGGTAAATTACCAGTGGAAGTTGTTATCCTTTTGTTTTGGGCTGGAGATTTCACAAAGCTTTGGTTAAAGGAGATAGATTTATACCTGGGTCTTCTCGTGAACTTGAAAAAGCCACAGTTAGAGTTTCAGTATGCCCTTTCCCACTGCTTTTTGCATAGAGTGCCCAGTGGATTCTCACAAAAAGCAACTTACTATGTGAAGTAGACCTGGTAGCTTAGCACATAGTCAAGATCATGGTGACAGATCAACTGAGCAGGACCGAGGTACCACCACTCCATTGAATCAACAAAGAAAGGAGTAAGCAGACTTGACTCAGAAGTGAAATCACTCAGAAACAAACCAATGCTCTTCATCATAATATTTGACATTTTTATGTTTGGTGTTGGCCCTTGACACTTGTGGACAGCGTGGTAAGTGGGTACTGAAGTGCAAATTTAAAATGCTTGTATGGTTAGAAAACATTTGAATATAAAGAAGTCACACGTGGTGAAAATTTAAACCTATGGCACCAAGATTGCTCCACAATGCAGAACGAGAAACTAGACTCTTTCCATTCCAGCTGCTGAGGTCAAGGGCTTGTGGCTCAGGAGGTAACTGGTGCGATTCATGCCCATGAACACTGGGAAGCAAAGGATCAGGATTAAACCTTGTTGCCAAACTGGTCTTTGTTTCCTGCTTCCTAGATGTGGCACATGAATCAGATAAGCAGGGTGCGTCCCTCCAGGGAGCCATTTGTGGACATGATTTTTATGTGCAGGTGACATACATGTGACTTGATCACAGCGGTGGGTTTCCCGGGTCAATAATAAAATGTTTTGTCCAGCGGATTGAGACAGAAGAAACTTACTGGGCAAAACTGCAGCCTTTTCCCTTTCTATACTATGTGGCTGTTGTCTTGAGGACTGCTAACCTGTAAATATATCTACATGGCGATAGTACTCAACTTTGATGCAGTGAGCCACACAGGTTGGGATGTGTAGTGAATTTTTATTTGTGAAGTTGAGTTCCTGTAGGGTAGTACTTGGCGTGCTTGCAAGCAAGCGAGAAGACCCAAGTTTGATTCCCGGGTGGAACAGGGTGAAATCTTAGGCCAATTTCCTTACTCCAGACACATGCTTCTGTTCACCTATTTACTGCTAGGTAAACAGAGGCTTGTGGAGCAAGGAAACTTGCCCAACGTTTTGACCGGACCAGGAATTGAACCCAGGTCCTCACTTGTGAGGCAAGTTATTGTTATTGTGCTTTTTCATGTTCTGTGACGCATTTTAAATGTCCACAAGAACATGAGGGAGGGAGGGAGTGAGTCGAGGGACTCCAGCAATGGAGCTCCAGAGAGAGGGGGCAGAATGGTGATGATGGGGCAGATGCGGTGCGGGGACACAAAGCAAGCTTGTTTGCTGGGCAAAGGGAAAGGTTGCGTCGGGAGGTCGTAGAGTCAGGATTGTGGATGGTAGAAATGTTGAATGTAGAGATATTTCTCACTGGGGAAGAGCTTTCTGTGAGGAAACTGCCCGGCACAGAGCTCTGTGTCTGTCCTCGGTCGCCCCCGTCCCAGTGGCGAGGGGACACTCATACCAGTTACTCTCTCACTGCCCCTCTTTCCCACACACACTCTCTGTCTACCCTCTCACATTCTCTTATCACTCTCTCACTCTCTCTGCTTTTTCGCACTGTCTCTACTTTATGCAATTTGTGCTGTATGGTTGTGCTTGGTGGGGCAGTCTGTGTCTAATCCTCACAATTTTGTGTCTGGTTTCAGCTTTTATAGTACTCTCAGTTAACCTCTTCAGCTCAGAGCCAACTACGTCCTTTCAGACACCTCATAAAACCCATATGACATGGGACAGTCTGGAACCTTGGGGTCCTGTTTGACCCTCAACTATTCTTTCTACCCCACATCTGTGCCATTACTCTCTCTGCCTTCCCTCACCTCCGCAACGTTACCCGGCTCTGACACTGTCTCACACCAAAGGCCGCCGAAACCCTCATACATGCCTTCATTACATCAAGGCTCGACTACCAAACTCACTGCTTGTCGGCCTCCCCAACTCCTCACTCCACAAGCTGCAGATCATTCAGAACTCTGCAGCCTGTGTCTTCTCCCATACTAGGCTTTGCGACCCTATAAACCCCATCCTCGCCCAACTCCACTGACTTCCCATCACACAGAGGCTACAGTTCAAGCTCCTGGTCCTTACTTTCAAAGCCCTCCATGGTCTTGCTTCCCCCTACCTCTCCGACCTCCTAACACCCTACCACCCTGTTCGCTCCCTCCGCTCAGCGGGTTCCAGCCTGCTTCACCCCCCACACCTTGCTCACCCCACTATCGGCGGGCATGCCTTCTGTCACTCTGCACCCACCCTCTGGAACTCCATCCCGCAGTCCCTATACCTCACCCCCTCCCTTGCCATCTTCAAGACCCTCCTCTTTGACTGTGCTTTCGATCTCCCTGCTTCCCTCCGTGCCCTCCACTCTCCTTCACCCCAACCCTCCGGGTCCGGAACTCTGTCCAGCGCCTTGGAACATCTTCCCGACGTGAAAGGCGCTATACAAATATAATTTTGTTGTTGTTTATTCCTAAAGGTGCAAACAATATTGCAGACTCTCACCTGGACAATAAGCCTGGGCACAAAATTCAGTTTCTTTAGCAGGTGCAATATTAATCTCAGATGGTGGTAATGATTTGTCCTACTTTCAATTCTTTACTGCTACAGAATAAATGACTAAAATACATTATATTTCCAGAGTAAAAAGAGCCAAGTAAGAGACAATACAATTTTATTCAGAAAGTGACATAACATAGTGCACTTTCAAAATGTCCCAGTTCACGATTCTTCATAATGTTTTGTTCCTCTCTCCAATTAAGGCTCCCTGCATTTTATACTTGAAACTCAGTCTAGACATCTTCAATAGTTGAAACTTCAGTAGTTATTTGTTTTCCTTTTACTTTTTGAAGACATTGATATATGAATAATTGTTATACTGAAGTACCTGATCAGGAAGTGCCAGAAAGGACTGTGTAGGAGGGCTTTACTCAGTTTTTACCCGTGCTCTATCTAACCTAGGAGGTCTGGGAGTAGATGAGGGGTATCCAACACATTTGGCCTTCAAGTAAAGATGGATCAGAGCTGTGCAGGCTGGTTTCCTGTAACAATGACTGCCACTGACATCACTTTCGGTGAAATGACTGTCGGTGAAGTTGCTTCCTGTGTGCTGTGTGTGCATCTGGCGTTCAGGAAAACCAGCAAACGCTCTTGTGCTTGTGAGTTCACTGGAAACTTGAGTTATAAGTGGACTTGCACAATATCAAGGTGCATTATAATGAGGTTGTCCTATATTTAGAAGTTGAAGCAGAAAAGAGATTACAAGAAGATCAATGTCAGGTGGGTTCAGCTGTGCTGAGTTCACCTTTAGAAGTGAGTTGAAGTGGTTCTGTGCCAATGTAGATTGGAAGTCTTTGTGAATTTCAATCACTGTGAAGAGGTGTTTCACACAAATATCTGTTCCCATACAAGGGATCAGTTTTGTTCCTGACAATAATTTTGTTTATTTGCAGGACACAAAATATTAAGAGACATAGACATAATCTTTGAAACTTATTGAGACATAGCCATTGAAACTTATTTTCGACTCAAATATTGTTGTGCTGTGCTTTGAGGGAATTCACATGTATTCATCCTCCATAGTCAATGCCACCATCAGCCTGCAACCCACATCATTAGAAATTGCAGATTTAACTGTTGATCACTTAGATGTAGTAGACATTTGGTTAGACACAAAATTCAAACACTTTCAGGAAGCTTTCCTCTTTGTCTCACCTGTAATGTAGCTAACTTGGGAGTGCTCTACAGCACAGTGTAGAGGGAATGTTCCCAATTATTCAGCTAGCACCTCGTGGGTGCCAAGAAGACCACACTAAATTGTGCCACTGAACATTATGACTTCTGACACCTCATCTATATTAACTCAAAGATCCATACATTCATGGCATGCATGTTTACTGTACATCTTTTTGACACCTATCATTAACATTGCTTAGGACTATGTCCAGTTCAAAACATCATTGCTGTTATGTTCTGTACAGAAGAGGACTCTATAATTGCCATGAAGTTCCATTCCCAAAACAGAGACATAAAACTCCTATGACTCACAAGCTGTAACCGTAACCATGTCTGCAAAAGCTCCAGATACCTTGAAATTTGTGGACATTATTTCATGAATATTGTGACAATTTGCTTTTGTGAGCATTAACTTCCTTCACTTGACCAAAGGGATTTGTTTAACGGAAAAATGTTAGAATGTAGCTCGGCATAGGCCGTATCCTTCAGAATTCTCTTGTCCCTGATAACGTAATAACGTGATACATCAGGGTGCCAGGGGATATAAATTGTGTACCATTTGAAATGTTATTCAAAACAGGGCTACTTCCTCAAAACAAAACATCTGAAACCATACCCCTTTTGGAGACAGCTATCATCTAAAGTAATGTTTCTCAGGTTCTCTACAAAATATTGCTAAGATGTAGAAATGAAATGGTGCAACTTGACTTTTCGTAGTCTGATCTATGCCTAGAAATCCACATTTCAAGATATATCATTTTTCCAGTTTTCCTACCTTTGAGCAGTAATGGAAATCCACATGTGGTTGTCTGAAGTGCAGAGATCACCAGTCTGGTTCAATGCCTCAAACCTACGATCACAATTACCACTTTGCCTGCAAAACGCTGTTACGATTAGTCACCATGTTAAATGGCTGTGTCAAGTTCCATAGATGAATGTTAAAAGTGCCATTACCTTCACCTGACACCATATCAATACGAAGCGAACATTGGATCTAACAGCCGGACTGATTTCCAGGGTGATGTGGATGTGCATGCAGATACAGTAATATTAAAAATATCTGAAGTAGAGCAACCTTCTGATGTATTTTGACATTGATGGAAAACTGGGCTTCAGCATGTTTTCAACATGGATGAAGACGCACAAGACATCTGAAGATAACTGGAAAAGTGCATTCTCTCTGAGCAAAGATATTGAACTCATAATTCTGAGCAAAGATATTGAACTAATTCACCCTGTAATTTGGAAGAAAGTTTGAATGGTGTGTGAAGCTCAAGGCTTCCACTCAAAGTATCCTCCCTGGACTTTGCTATAGTATGTTGAACACTTCTATCATGTTCTTCATTTACTTTATTGCTCCTCTATATTATACAGATCCTTTTTCCTTGTGGGTAGTTTTGTTGACTCCAATACCATACCAAACTGCATCATATTTAATATATGTATTGGCTCATCTTTTTCCACATGCCTTTTCCGTATTTCTAATGACATTTTTAATATGTAGCAGGCAAACTATATCTTTGTCTGGCAGAAATCCATTTACTTTTTTACTTTTAGCTGATCTTTGACACTTTTATTCCTAATATTTGGGAAGTCAATATTAACCTAATACTTTGTTTAATAAACCAGCAATTCTTTCTTCATTCTTCATGGGCTTACAACGCGTAAGCTCATAAATGTTTAACATGATGTTCAACATTTTCGGAGGTTTTTAATAAAACATTGTTGTATGAGAATGTGTTATATCTTGTTCGTGGAAGCTGGCACAATCTTTATATAACTCTGTAATGGTGTTTAGCATGGGTTACACCAGAGTAAGGGGATGAAAGGAAGCCAATGACTGGGGTTGAAAAGAGCAAAGCTAATTTTCCTGCTCACCGTACAAGTCCTCGGGATGTAGTTCAGCAGTTTAAAGACGTGCTAAGCAATCATGTTGACTATCACACCAGTTGGCTACCAGACTATCATTTGCTGTTCGCTCCATTATAGGAAGTAAGGCTCATATGGAGTTCAGCACCACACAACATGCAGAGCACGAAAATTGTCTGATACTCGATCACTCGCTCTCAATTGCTCACTGTCTGATGCTTGATCGCTTACTCTTTTTGATTCTGGATCGCTTTCATGCTTGCTTACTCTCAGACACTCGTTCACTAACTCTCTGACACTACATCACTCTCTGACACTGAGTCACTCTCTCTGACACTCGATCAGTTTCTCTGACACTCGTTCACTTTCTAACACCAGATCACTTTCTCTAACACTCAATCACTTTGTCTGACACTAGATCGCTTTCTCTGACACTAGATCACTCTCTGACACTCGGTCACTTTCTGTGCCACTAGATCCCTTTCCCTGACACTCAGTCACTTTCTCTGCCACTATTACTTTCTCTGGCATTAGATCATGTTTTCTGATACTTGATCACTTTCTCTGGCACTCAATCACTCTCTGACATTCGATGACTCTCTGACACTCGATCACTCTCACTCAGTCACTTTCACACTTGATCACTCTCTTTCACACACTCGATCACTCTTTCACACACGTGATCACTCTCACACACGCGATCACTCTCACGCAATCATTCACTTTCTGACACTTGCTCTCTGATTTGCTCGTTCTCTGACTCTCATTTGCTCTCTGACTTGTTCGCTCTCACTCGTTTACTCTTTAACTCACTTTCTAGCTCACTGACACTCAGTCACTTCTTTTCTGATTTCTCATCCTTTTTCTGACCCTCTTGTTCATTCTCTAACTCTTGTTTGCTCTCTGACTCTCACTAATTTACTCTCTGACTCTCTCGTTTGCTCTATGATCCTCAATCTCTCACTATCTGACTCAATAGCTTTTTCTCTGACTCTCATTCGTTCTGACTCTTGTTCCCTCTCAGAATCTCTCATTCGCTCTCTGACTATCTCATTCTCTCTTTGACTTTTGTTTGCTCTGTGACTCTCAATCAGAATATGTTACAGAGAATGCACAGCATGGAAACAGGTCACTTAGCCCAACCAAACCTGGTGTGGTTTATACTCCACACAAGTCTTCACCCATTCCTTACTTCCCCCCCATACCCTTCTATTCCTCATGTGAAAGTCTAGCATTTAACATTTTCAAGACTGAGATAGATATTTGTTGGGTGAGGGTATTAAACGTTACGGGGCAAGGGTGGGTAATTGGACTTGAGGTACAGATCAGCCATGATTTATAGAATGGCGGAACAGGCTCAAGGGGCTGAATGGCCTACTCCTGTTTCTATGACTCTCCTTTGCTTTTTGATTCCCACTCACTCATTTGCTCTCTGACTCTTGTTCACACAGCCCTCTCCCGTTCACTCTCTTAATCTCTCTCTCGCTCACTGGCTCCAGTTTGTTTGTTCTCAGACTCCCTTCTCTTTTTGAGTATTGTCATCAAATATTTTACGTCAATCTGTGCAGGGAGATGGGACCTCGGTTTAACATCTCATCTGAAGGACGGCACACTCAACAATGTAAGAATCATCAGACTAGGCTCAGTGCTCATTATACTGATGTGGGGTTTGAATCCCGAACCTTCTGACAGTTGAGAGTGCTACCAACTTGAGGAAGACTGTACTACCATTTTGTCATCCAATGTTGTCTGATCAAATTAGAATAAGTGTAAGGATATAACTAAAGTGCAGAAAGTCATTAAAAGGCGACATGAGAGGATTTCAGGCAGGATGGTGTGTCACCATGGACAGCTGTGTATTGAGACCACCTTGCTATGTTTTTGTGTTTAATTTTTCTATGTTTGATACATATTTAAACATTTTAAACCAGCCTTTTTAGCACAAGAATATTAGTGTAAACTTTTAAAAGATCATACTTTTTATTTTTACAGCGGAAAGGACGTCCCCCCGGACACTTGGTTTCATTTGAGCGGACGACACAGAGTGTCCCAGTGTGAGTATTTTCTCCTCAAATCCCCAGTTGTGTTCCTAGAGCACAGGGAAACAATAACAACAAAATTACATTTATAGAACGCCTTTCATGTCGGGAGGACGTCCCACAGGGCCCGAACATGGGGGAGGGGTGGTGTAGGAGTGAGGGAAGGCAGAGAGGTGAGAGGGCGACCAAAGGCACAATTGAAGAGAAGGGTCTTGAGACTGGTCTTGAAGGAGGCAAGGGAGGAAGCGAGGCAAAGGGACTGTGGGATGGAGTTCCAGAGCGTGGGGGCGGAGAGGCTGAAAGCCCGGCCACCGATGGTAGGGCGGGTCAGGCTGGAAACATGGAGCAGATCGGAGCCCACTGAATGGAGGGAGCGGGCATGTTGGTAGGGAGTCAGCAGGTCAGAGAGGTGGCAAGGCCATGGATGGCCTTGAAAGTGAGGACGATCCTCTGGGGAATGGGAAGCCAAAGGAGTAGGAAATGGGGCAGTCGGTGCGGCTGCTGCTGGACAGCCAACGCTGAGTGCCGCGATGAGCCCGGCGAAGGATTCCCAGGCTGGAGCAGAGGAAGAAAGTGGGGGGGTCAAGCAGAGATAGGTGGCGGGGGCGGAGAGAGAGCAGGACAGAGCGGAAGAGTTGCAGGGAGGGGGACATTGTGGTTAGCAAGCCTGCAGGGGAAGGATGGGGGGGACAGGGGGGACAGACAGACAGAGGATGGGAGGGAGGGAGACACTGGTATAAGCTACACTGTACCTGCAGAATGGCAGGAAAATCTGGAAGTCCAAAATGGCGACTCCCCCTGGCCAGGTAATGGCCGCCACCAGATCTCTGAGACCACGGCCCCACGACACTCACCCCACCTCAGGGTCCACGAGGCCCCGGCTCAGCCTACAGCTACCGGCCCCCCACTGGTTGACACTTGTCCCGATCCCCGGGAGACCAGCCTTATGACTCCCTGCCGCTGCCTGACTTATCTTCCGTGAGTCCCGCTCGGTTTACGTGGGTTTTCGAGGCCCTGATGCTGGCTTGCTCGCGACTGTCCCTGCCGAAACTGACATGTAGGAAGTGAGGGATGAGGTGTACGGGTTCAGGGTATGTGGGATGGTGGTGGGTATGAGGGTGGGTGTGAAGGGGAGTGTTAGAGGGGGGAGGGTGCGCAATGAGGGAGGGGGTGGATATGAGGGGGGAGGGTGTCAGTGAGAGTGGGTGTGAGGGGGAGCAGTGGGGGAGGTGTAAGGAGTGTACAGTGTGAGGGGTGGGAGTGAGGACTGAGATGTTTCATGTAACCTTTACATGTAAGATATAACATTTGTCATTGGACTGTCCAGATTCTTGTTTATTGCTGATGTGTTTGGTCTCTCTTTGTATCAGATCAAAGGCAAAGATCTGTGACCCAATCAAACGTGAAGGACCAAAGGTAATGCTTTTAATTTTTTCTCTCTTTCAGCAGAATTTTATAAGTTTTGACTTATTTTTGAATTGAAGTGTTGCTCAGATGTCAGCCTGACCCCATGATATATAGAGTATAGGGTGACATTCCAGTGCTGTGCACATTAAACTTGGGTTCCACCTGTCCCTGTCCTACTGCCCTCCCCACCTTCTCTCCCTCCTGGCGACCCACAGCCTCCATCTACTCCAGCCTGGGCATCTCTCCTGAGCTCATTGTGGCACTCGTCAATGGCTGTTCCAAAACCTAACCTATCCCATCACAAGTGTTTGAGTGTTTCCACCACAAGGCCTGCCGATCCTGCCCCATGAGAGCAAACCTCGCTCATTTGCGTCCTGTGGAGAGATCTTTTAAGGATGATGACATTTAATGGACAGCCAACAGGAGGGATTCAGGAAGCAAAAAAGGACACAGGGAAATGACGATGTGTGTAGTTATTAGAATACATATGGAGTTATCTGCAGATTGTTCAAATCTTCTATCCGCTGGGACAAATGAAGGAAGACCCTTAACTTTAAGCAAGTATCCAGGTGAAGCCAAAGGCACAATCAAATGAAAAGTGAGAAACTTCAGCCGATGTCCAGTGGAAGGAAGAAATGCTATATTTGCAAAAGAAATGCAGAAATGGCCAACAACAACTTGCACTTACAGTGCGCCCTCCATGCCCTCCAGGGCGGAGGACGGAGAACAAAAGAGAACAGGAGAGTAGAAAGGAAGGCATATACAAGGGCAAGCAGATACCTGAGATCCATCATGAGTGATCAAGGCGCAATGAAAGGATGGACAGCTCAGACGTCAACGAGAGGGAGAAAGAGCACAGTATTGATGCATTGGAACTCAGAGAGAGAGAGAGTGAACACAGAAGATAGGGAAGAGAAAGAATGAATGGTATAAATATGGTGCACAAAAGTGAGGAAATACATAACATGTAATGGACTACATTGGAAAATAATGAAACGTGCCATATACCAAAATAAAGAGACAAGACCATGTGGTATTAGAGACCAGTCTGGGCATGGGCAAAAGTGGGAACAGATTTGTTCTATTATAAAGAAAATGAGTAATCATTTCATAGGAATCGATTACACATCACGATATTTTGAATATGTGGAATTAAGGAACACGTCTTCAGAAATGGTCAATAATAATCCATTTTTAATTTATTAACCTAACCCTAATTAGTAATAAAATTATTTTTCACGGTTAAGCTTTTGATTAGTGATGCTCAACCCAGGGAGTAGGCTTTGTGTTTCTCACTCAGTTTTTCATTCACATACCCAAGAGATTAGCACCAAGATGTCCCGTTTACCTGTTCAGGTTAATGTTCCAGATCCCATGACACTATTCGAAAAGAGAAGGGAGTTTCTTCCGGTGTCATGGCCGACAATCCCCTCTGTGGCTGTCTGGGTCACACTGCTTGTGCGCAACTGGCTGCTGCGTTTTGCCCACAAAGTACACAGTATATCCCGTGAAGCACTTTGAGGCGTTGCATTGATGTGATAAGGCGCTGTATCAAAAAGCAAAGATTACAAAATAATTTTTCATTTTGTTAACAATGGACCATAATTCAAGAGTGAAAAATACAGAAGATTCCCAGAGTTGGGGGATAGAACACCAGACAGCCTCCCCAGCATATCCACAGAGCATCCAAACAATAAAGAAAATGTGGGAAAAAGCAGAGGATGCAAGAGAGGACAACATTTTGCGATCTTGGCATACGGGAACACACCAATAAAGAACAATGAATAGCACACGTATTAATGTCAAAAAGATTACTTGTTAAGCTGCAGTGAGAAACCATTAAAACCAAGGTACTAGGATTGAAGAGAGATGGACGCTGAAATGAATTATTAATCATGTCTTGCTTAATTACCTTATTACTTCTCTGGAACTCCATCCCAGAGGCCCTCCACATCTTCCACTCCCTCATCTCTTTCAAGTTCCCGTCTCAAGACCTTCCTCTTTGACCACACTTTCGGTTATCTTTTCCCTCCCGCTTGGCTCCCACCCTAGCTTTTCTCAAGCCAGGAATGTCGAGAGCCTTGGGTCATCCTCCCAATGTGAACAGGCCATATAATGTAAATTTGTATTGTATTGTTCAGGTGGACAGATCCCATGACGCTATTCAAAAATAGAAGGAGGTTTCTCCCGGTGTCCTGGCCAACAGTCCTTCAATTAAAATTCGTCATTAACTACATAGCTGTTTGTGGGACGTTGCTGCGTGCAAATTGGCTGCAGTATTCACCTACAAAATACAGTCACATTTACTGTATCACATTTTATAGTAAATCTTGTGAAATGTTTGAGATGATAAGATAATGACAAAGGGTTGTTGTTATTATAAGTGGAAGTGTTTGGCCAGTCTGTAGTGTAAGGGACTAAAATTTGTCTTCAAAAGATTGATCAATGAATGAATGGGAACTAAACAACAGCTTTTTTCCTCAGTGGGACCCGGCTAGATTGAAAGAAGCGACAACCTTTGTGCTTGGATCTCGTGCTAACAAGTAAGCAGCAGATTCAAATGTTTGTCACACCCCCCCCTCAAAGAACCCTCCTTCATCTTGATGACTATGTCTGGAAATCAGGAGTTTGTGAAATTATGGCACAACTTTTATTTCAAAGAAATATAAAATATAAACCTGATAAAAATCTGCTGCATTTGCCTACAAAATAATTATAACACCTTACAGTAAATCTTGTGAAATCTTTAAGGCATCCTTCTGATGTGAAAGACACTATTAAAATGCAAGGATTATTATTATTCCTCGACGAATAATAATGGTTGAAGTGGAGTCCTGTAGCTCGGTGTTTAGAGCACTCGCAAGCGAGAGACCTGGGTTCGATTCCTGGAAGGGTGAAACCTTGGGCAAGTTTTCTTACTTCAGATGCCTGATAATAATCCCTCAAGATAAAAACCCAATAATAATTTAGTCACTTTAATCCATGACTGTGCATAATTGGCTGCCGCGTTTCCCCCACAAATATACAGTCAATTTACTTTAAAGTATATTCTGTGAAGCGCTTTGAGAAGTCTAAAAGAAACTATATCAAATGCAAGGATTATTATTATTATTAAGTTCTTGGCGACTTCAACATTCACTTCACCCCTTCCTGCTGCTTCTCCTTGGACTTGTCCTCTCTCCTTTCCTCTCACAACCTGTCCCTCCGCATCCACTCTGCCACCTACGTTCATGGCCACCCACTCAACCTGGTGATTACTTGGGGCCTCAGTGTCTTGGATATCACAATCACAGCCAAAGCCATCTCCGATCACCATTTCATATTCTTTTAACTCCTCAATCCCTCTCCCCACCGGTACCAAACCACCTCCATCACCTACTGCCCCAGGAAAAAAAGTCTCCCCGCAATCCCTCTCCACTGCCCTGGGGTCATCTGAACTCCTCCCCCTCTGGCCTACCTGCCGCACTAATTTACCCTCCTCACTCTCCTCCACCACTCACTCTCCACCACTCTTGATGCCCTTGCCCCCCTCACCTCCCGAACCACTTCCTAATTATGAACCTCACCCTGGTACACCAGCCCTCCGCTCCCTCAAGGATCAGGTGTGGGCTGCCGAACGCACATGGCTCAAATCTGATCTAATGGTCTATCAGCAGATCTGTCTGGATCACATTAAAACATACTGCTCCGTCCTCGCCTCCGCCAAATAATTCTTCTACTCAAAGATAATCTTGGAGGTGAAGGGCAACCCCAGGCTCCTATTCTCCACCACCAACCGGCTTCTCCATCGACCCTCCGAGGCCTTGCCCATTCTCTCAAGCTCTGCCTGTGAGGAGATGCTGGATTTCCTCGAGTTCAAAATCGAGGGGATCCATTCAGCTGCCTCCGCCCTCCCAACTGCCATTCCCTCCCAATATTCCCCTGAAACTGTTCTGGTCAAGGTCACAAACAACATTCTGTCCATCTGTGACCAGGGCTTCCTTGTCCTCCTCGATCTCTCTGCTGCCTTTGATACCATGCCTTCCATCCTCCTCCACCGCCTCTCCTCTCACCTAAACCTTCAAGGTTCTGTCCTTGAATGGTTCAGGTCTTATCTCTCACAACGTCTCTTAATTTGTCTCCGCCAACTGTTTCTCTTCCAGTCCCTGTACAGTCTTGTGCAGTGTTCCTCAGGACTCTGTCATCGGTCCTCCCCTCTTCAACCCCTAAATGCTCCCCCTTGGTGACCTCATCCGCAGACATGGGATCAACTCTTCCACATGTATGCAGATGACATCCAACTTTATCTCTCTGCCTCCACCCTCGATTCCTGGACAACTGTCTGTCAGACATCAAATCCTGGATGAGAGCCAGCTTTCTACAGCTGAATGTCAGCAAGACTGAGGCCCTCCTGATTGGCTCGCACTAGCACCTCCGCACCTCAGGCACTGGCAGCATCAGCATCAACAGATGCACACTCCACCTCACCAAGCCAGTCAGGAACCTTGGAGTCTGGTTCGACCCCCAACTGTTCTTTCTTCTCCATTTCCGTGCCCTGACTCAGCCACTGCCTCACCCCTCAGGCTGCAAAAACCCTCATACAGGCATTCGTCACCTCAAGACTCAACTACAGAAACTCCCTCCTCATTGGCCTCCCCAATTCTTCTCTTCACAAGCTGCAGATCTTCCAGAACTCTGCAGCTTGTGTCCTCTTCCACACCAGGCTCCGTGACCTCATCAGCCCCATCCTTGCCCGGCTCCACTGGCTCCATATCCCTCAGAGGATAGAATTCAAAATCCTCGCCCTCACTTTCAAATGTCAAGGTCCTCCACAGCCTTGCCCCCTCCTACCTCTCTGACTTGCTGACTCCCTATAAACGTGTCCGCTCCCTACGTTAAGCAGGCTCTGGCCTACTCCATGTCTCCCACTCGACCCGCCCTACCATTGGTGGCCAGGCTTTCATCCTCTCTGCCCCTACCCTTTGGAACTCCATCCCACAATCCCTTCGCCTTGCTCCCACCCTTGCCTCCTTCAAGGCCCTTCTTTTCGACTGTGCTTTCAGCTGCCCTCTACCCTCCCTCATCCCAACCCTGCTCCCCCAAGCTCGGGTCCTGATGCCTGACTGTTCAGCGCCTTGGAATGTCCTCCTGACATGAAAGAGCTTTACAAATGTAATTTTGTTGTTGTTGTCGTCGTTATTAGTATTACTAGGCTTTTCATCAGGATGATATTTTTACGTGTTTCAGAGCCTTGGGAATGGGCGGCACTCGTGGTCGAATCTACATCAAACATCCTGAACTCTTTAAGGTAACTCTTGAGCAATTGGGCTAAGACCAAACATCTGCATGTAAAACCTTCATTCGCAGTCCTTTCCTATCACCAGACTGTAAACAGTTTTCCTCTTGCACATTTCCCCTCGATGTGTGTGTCTGAGACGCTACCCCATGTGAAGCGCACTATAAAAATTCAAGTTGTTTTGTCCACTGTTTTCTCATTCCATTATGTTTTTTGTGAACATGTCTCTCCCCTTCTGAAACCTTCTCAAGCCTTCCCATCTGTCTTGTGCTAATCTTATCCTCCCTGGCTTATACGTTCAGTTTGCCTTTGCTGTTTGCTGTGTATTGTAATGTTGCCCTGTCGAGGACTCAAGATATTCACCAGAACTGGAATATAATTATATTATATCTACAATGTGTCAACAACTGTCATTGTCATAAAGTGCTCAGCGCTTGGCTTTGGGTATGTGCTCCGTGTTAGTAATGAATGTCGTTTGCTTATATGACTTATATAGAAACAAACATTTTAGCCCTGTACCACTTCTTTCTGTTCTTAGGTTGCCTTATTTGAATGCCACTTTCCAATTCTTTCCTCATATTCTTCATTGTATTTATGTGACCGATATATCCACGTAACAAAGCTATGAATATACTGCACTATTTCTGGATTTACAGTATGCTGCTGACTCCCATGATAAACACTGGCTTTCAGACAAACATCATATGCCAGCAACAGGGGGGAAGATGGTGAGTACTGACTTGCTAGGACATTGATCATAATTGCACTCAGCTGATCTGCAAACTTACCTAAAAATGGGAGAGAAAGCTTAGCTCAATACTGTCAGCATTGCTACTTACATCTTTCATCTCTTCTAATGCATAGTGTGTGAGTGCAGAAAGGAGAGGATAAAGTAGAGTGAATGTGTGGCTTGATAGAGTGATGGTGTGCAGTCACAGCTTCCTTAACAGTCGTGTTCTTTCTTCTTCATCCGTTTGTGCCATGCACCATTCCCCAGTCTTCTTTCAGCTTCTGTCAATACTCCTCTATAGCAGGTGCAGGGCGAGAGGCCCAGAGGCCTGTGACTTGCAATTGCAATTAGCAATTTTGTCCTTTCTTCATGCTTCATAGTGATATCAAGAACTCAACATTTCAAGGTATTTGATATAAAATTGAATTGCCGCGCTCTGCACAAACATCCATCAATTTTCTTTAATTCCTAAGGTTGAGACCTTGTGACTGTTCCTTCTTGCACGTCCCAAAATATACCTTATTTCTCCATGAAGCATCATTTGTACTTTTTGTAATCATACACAATCCAAAGTACAAATGTGATCGTAACCAGCACCCTCTCCCCTGGAATAGTACGACACAGAGTGTGTTACCAACTGAACAAAGCTGATGGTTAGTGTGACAATGGTCATTCAGAGTAAATATGCAGAGTGCAGGAAAGTTTGTGCTATAGGAAAACATTTAATATGACTTACACGTCCAAGCTGCTGGCAAACTGAATAAATTGTATATAATCCGATTTAATCAATAATCTGCATTGAGCATGAGTAATTCAATGAAGCCAATAAGTGCACATGTGGTGACGAGTTAAGCCTACATTTTCCGTGATTCAATGTGTCTTGACCCATCACCGCCTGTGTACTTACTGGCAAGCATTTGAATCGCGGGAACTGAAGATCTTTTGCACATGCAGCGATGGATCAAGACTACGTTTCCTGCAATTCAATGCAGCCAGCCGGTAAGTGCACGTCGTCGATGGGTTAAGACGTCATTTCCCACGATTCAATGCAGCCAGTAAGTGCGGAGTAGTGGAGCGTAGGGGGGCAGCGTTATGAGTTTGGAGATGATTAATACAATTAGTGCAAAGAAATCTTAAGTAGTTTTGATAGGAAACTGAATGGGACTTGGGTGAATGTATGACTTGGGCAGTTATACGATTTGTAAAGATAAGACTTATGCAAGTTTTACTATAGTACTTTGACCTGAAAATGATTGTAGTGAGAACTCGGGGAGATAACTCAAACTGTGGGATATGTGTCATAACCTTAACTTCTTTATAATTAGGCCTATCTGCTGCTGGAAGATGACATTCAAGAGCTTGCAGCCAGTGAAGACTACAGGTGAGAGGTTTGCGAAATAGAAAAGCAACAAACAATATTGCATAGATTTGGTGTTGCACAGGATTCACTGTAAATGATTGTGTGTGAAAGTTGTCTTTCAATCAAACATGAATAGTAAAGACAGGTATTGAAAAAATGTCAAATGTGGTGGTACCTTGGGGATTATTGGTTTTAATTGTGAATAAAACATAATTTTCTCTTGTGTTTGCTGCAGAGGCTGCCCGGAGCTGAGAATGGAAGAACTCAAACCCTTTGGTGTTCCCAACTGGATGCTGGAGAAAATGCAGAAGTATATGATCTCTGTCCGAACAGAAAAAGAATAGAGAGTAGGGTAGAGACCTGCTCCATTGGAAGGAGACAGTCGCAGCATTCAGTGAAGTAGTTAACATTTTGAGGACTGAATGTCTGCATCAAGAGTTTTCCTTTAATGAATCCTGAACACAGGAGATGGCTATTACTGCTGGCAACTGCCAAGTACATAATGGCAATGAGCACAGGAAACCTATTCTAGGAATCTGAAGAATTTAGATCACCTATTATGTATTAAAAGTTGCAGCAATATTCCACTCAGATTTAAAGAATTAATTTTACAGCAAAATTAGGAAAGTGTATACCATTACTGGGACTTGCGGCAGTCTGTCAGAAGGAGGTTGCCCCTTGATGATGTCATCCGCAGACATGAAGTCAACTTCCACATGTATGCAGATGACACGCAAATCTACTCCTCCAGCTGTGACACCCAGTCCGCTGATGTCCTGTCAGCTTGTCTGACGGACATCAAGGCCTGGATGAGCGCAAATTTCCTGCAGCTGAACGTTGGCAAGACGGAAGTCATACTCTTTGGCTCCAGTCAACATCTTTCCTGGGGGTCCGAACTCTTCACCCTCTTCGTTGGTCTCCCCAGTTCCACCAAACACAAAATTCAATTAATCCAGAACTCCACCGCCCAGTTACTAACCAGCACAAAACTCCAGGCGCCCATCACACCAGTCTGTGCCAGGCTGCACTGGCTCCCAATTACCAAACGGATCGACTTCCAAGATCCTCTCACTTGTTTTCAAATCTCTTCATGCCCTCGCACCTCCCTACCTATCCGATTTGCTTACCCCCACTCCACCACCCGCTGCCTCCGCTCAGCCGGCTCCGGCTTCTTGTTTGTCCCTCGTCCCCACAGCTCTCCCATCAGGCACTGTGCTTTCAGTCACTATGCCCCGAAGCTCTGGAGCTCCCTTATTTCTTTCGGCTTGCCCCCTTACTCCCTCCCCACTTTCAAAACCCCCCATAAAGACCTTTCGTTTTGATCGCGCTTACAGTCACCTCCCTCTGGCTCAGTGTCAGACTCCGCCACTGTCAAGCGCACCGGGATGCTACCCCGTGTGTAGAGTGCAATATAAATGCATGTTGTTGCTACTCTGCTATGCTAAGCTCCCATTTAACCCTTAATAGAGTGCAACATTTTGTATCATGAAAAAATTATAACCAAGTGTGACCCTGCAATCCTGTGAGTATAAAACTGACTTCACACTCAGTGTGCATTTCTATCATATGGCAAGAAGCCATTCAGGCCATTATGTTAGTGTCGGTATTCGCTCATCCAAAACTATCACCTTTGTCACCTGCTCCCTTACTTCACATCAAATGCTACTGAAAACCCTCAATCATAGGTCTGAATTTATGGATTTAGCTGATTATCAAGCCTGAAAATCCTCAACAAAATGCCAGCTGTCAAACTTCCATTGCGAGTCATACAAGATCACAAGATTGGTTCAGTCCTTTAACCCATTTAATCTCACCCTTCAGACCGTACCCACCCTACCATGCCCCCTGACAGATTCAAGCTATTATTAAATGTGTCTTGTGTCCTGGCCTTTACCACTCTTGCTGACAAACCTTTTCCAGTCATTAATTATTCTCTGGATAAATAAATACCTCCTTTTGTCTATCCTGAAATTTTCCTTCACAACTTCACACCTGCATCAATCTCAGTGCAAGTATGTCTCAAATCTGAATTGCCCATCACTCTTTCCTGGGGATCTCATGGGTATAACTCTAACTAAACAACAAAAAAATACATTTGTATAATGCCGCTCTTATCAGGAGGATGTCCCAAGGCTCTGTCTGGTTTGGAATACTCTTAATGGATTTGGTTGTGTCAGACACCAGCTGACCCAAAGAACCACCACATTCCCACCAGGCTGACCACATGCACATGTTTGGGGGGGTGGGGTGGGGGTGTCTCTTGTTCATTTATATGATGTAGGTGTCAGCCTGGCTCACTGTCCTGTGTCAGGACTATGAGCTCCGAACCCAATTTGACCCAATCATTTGCAATGGCTGGGGAGCACGGGACTTAAAATGGGGCAGTAAACCACCTGCACGTTCAGGTGGACATTAAAGATCCCACATCACTGTTTGAACATAGCTTCTCCTGACGTCCGGGCAAACAATTACCCAGAAAAATTGGGTAATTTTTACCCAATTGGGTAACTTCACGGCTGTTTGCGGGATTTCAAATGTGCCACGAAACACGACGGCCGTAAACGTGAGACACGATGGCCCCAAAAAGACAGCCAACACATCCCGACACTTTGGGAAGGATGTCGGAATGGGGTGTGAGATTGATTCGGATCGCGGCGCGGACGCGTGGTTCGGCCTATGAGAGCGGAGCCTGGAGTCTATGAGGCCAATAGCACATAGTCTGCCACTGCTATTGCTGCTTTCCCGCCGCTTGTCCAGTGAGGACCATCTCATCGGGGCGTTGGCTGGTGGGTCAACAGGAGCTCAGGGGGATGACTCCCTCCCCCACTGACTGGTCTGACCTCCCAGGCAGTGCCCTGGAGTATCGCGGACCGCCGGGGCTCAGGAACCGGAAACGGCGCCGCGGGGAACTGTGTCCGGATCCTCACACTGATCGACCGGGGGATGGCCCTCACATGGCCCCGCCCGCCCCCGGATATGACGCGCGCTCAATATAGTTGAGCCAATCAGAGGCCGGGATGCGGGTCAGTGCAGTTGTGCTGTTGCTATTGGCTGAGAGTCTGAGGAGCGAGATTCAAACAACGGCAGCGACCAACGGCTCGTCCACACCCACCGGCCCCGAGCCCCGACACCCACCGGCCCCGAGCCCCGACACCCACCGGCCCCGACACCAACCGGCCCCGAGCCCCGACACCCACCGGCCCCGACACCCCCGCCCGAGCCCCGACACCGCCCGAGCCCGACACCCACCGGCCCCGAGCCCCGACACCCACCGGCCCCGACACCACCGGCCCCGAGCCCCGACACCCACCGGCCCCGACACCGCCCGAGCCCCGACACCCACCGGCCCCGACACCCACCGGCCCCGAGCCCCGACACCCACCGAGCCCGAGCCCCGACACCCACCGGCCCCGACCCCACCGGCCCCGAGCCCCGACACCCACCGGCCCCGAGCCCCGACACCCCACGAGCCCCGACACCCACCGGCCCCGAGCCCCACCGGCCCCGAGCCCTGAGCCCCCACAGCTCCTGTTGTTCCCGGGAGCGATGGCTCAGAACGTGGATCCCGCCACAGCCACAGGCAGCGACTCCGGCAAATCCAGCGGCACCGGGTCCTCCGCCACCCGCGGCTCCGTGACCAGGAGGTGTGTGAGGGGGGGGAGCGGGGTGTGGGGGGGGGGGGGGGGTGTGGGGGGGGGGGGGGGGGGGGGGGGGGGAGCGGTGTGTGTGGGGGGGGGGGAGCGGTGTGTGTGGGGGGGGGGGGAGCGGTGTGTGTGGGGGGGGGGAGCGGGGTGTGTGTGGGGGGGGAGCGGGTGTGTGTGGGGGGGGGGAGCGGTGTGTGGGGGGGGGGGCGGGTGGGGGGGGGGAGCGGTGTGTGGGGGGGGGGAGCGGTGTGTGGGGGGGGGGAGCGGTGTGTGGGGGGGGGAGCGGTGTGGTGTGTGGGGGGGGGAGCGGTGTGTGTGGGTGGGGGGGGAGCGGGGTGTGGTATGGGGGGGGGGGGGTGAGGGGGGCAGGGTGTGGGTGTGGGGCGAGTGTAGGTGGGGGGGCAGGGTGTGTGTGTGGGGGGGGCAGGGTGTGTGTGTGGGGGGGGCAGGGTGTGTGTGTGGGGGGGGGGGTGTGTGGGGGGGGCAGGGTGTGTGTGGGGGGGGCAGGGTGTGTGTGTGGGGGGGGGCAGGGTGTGTGTGGGGGGGCAGGGTGTGTGTGGGGGGGGGGGTGTGTGTGTGGGGCGAGTGTAGGTGGGGGGGGGGTGTGTGTGTGTGTGGGGGGGCAGGGTGTGTGTGTGTGTGGGGGGGCAGGGTGGTGTGTGGGGGGGGCAGGGTGTGTGTGGGGGGGGGGGGGGTGTGTGTGGGGGGGGGGGGTGTGGGGGGGGGAGCGGTGTGTGTGGGGGGGGGGGGTGTGGTGGGGGGGGGGGGGTGTGGGGGGGGGAGCAGTGTGTGGGGGGGGGGGCGGTGTGTGGGGGGGGGAGCGGTGTGTGGGGGGGGGAGCGGTGTGTGGGGGGGGGGGGGGGGGGGGGGGGGGGGTGTGTGGGGGGGGGAGCGGTGTGTGTGGGTGGGGGGGAGCGGTGTGTGTGGTGGGAGGGGAGCGGGTGTGTGTATGGGGGGAGCGGGGTGTGTGTTGGGGGGGAGCGGGGTGTGTGTGAGGGGGGCAGGGTGTGTGTGTGGGGCGAGTGTAGGTGGGGGGGGCAGGGTGTGTGTGTGTGTGGGGGGGGCAGGGTGTGTGTGGGGGGGGCAGGGTGTGTGTGTGGGGGGGCAGGGTGTGTGTGGGGGGCGAGTGCAGGTGGGGGGGGGGGGGGTGTGGGAGTGTGTAGGGAAGGTTGTCTATGTGAGTGTGAGAGCCATTCTCTCTCTCTGTTTCAGACTGCAGCAGGAGCTGATGACCCTAATGGTAAGACAAGGGGAGTGGGTGGGTGGGTGAATGCCAATGAAGATAAAATCAGTTTTTACAGATCTCACTTATTAGTGAAACTCCGTCTATTTGAAAAGCTATTTGCTCCAAAATTGGATGTGAATATCTGTACATGAGAGAGTGACGGAGGATTTTTGGGGTCAGCTGTGTGTCTGACCGATTTGGGACACAGCACCAGACTCTTAGACTCTTAGTCCTGTGGATGTCACCTGCACATGGAAATTCCTGTGTCTGGAATGGAGTGTGCACTCTCCTCAGAGGGACGCATCCTGTTTACCGAAATTTGGACAGAACTGAGCGCAGGTTGGGAGGGCGCCAAGGCTTGGAGTGATCACTGGGGATAACTGCAAGAGCTTAGGGAGGCGAGAAAGAGGGGGAGGACTGAGCAACTGAGTAAGCTCGGTATGAAATAAATGGACTTAGATCTCGAGAACATCAAGAGGTGGTTGGTGAGAGCCGCTTTCCTTCCCCTGACACTGCAGTGACGGCTGCATTATTATTCCCATTCCCCGCACATTGAACTGCTGTAATGGGGGGGGAGGGGGCCTGCAGTTGGGAATGGTTCAGGGAATGGATGCAGCCTGTGCGCCGCCCAGAGTTGTATTGTATGAGGTTTAGGAATGATTGGTAAGGTTAATGTTCTCAAATTACCGGGAGGGCAATTCCTATAAACTTCATGAGTAATGTAATATAATTGTGCTGAGAATTAAGTTAAGATTTAACTCTGCTTCATATTCATCCCAGATGTCTGGTGACAAAGGAATTTCTGCTTTCCCAGAATCAGACAATCTTTTCCGGTGGATTGGAACTATTGATGGAGCTGCAGGCACGGTAAGACTAACCTTGTAATCCCAATGGATTACGTGCTAAAAACTTTAATATCCAGGTGAGCAAAATGTTGCTGACGTCACTTCATGTGTGCTGGGTCTCTTTATCTCCCCCTTCTTTCACTCAATCGTTTTTGCCTTTTGCACTGACTTATTCATCTTTTCTCTGTTCTCTCATACTCCATTCTCACTTACAACACAGCAACAAAATTACATTTATAGAGCGTCCTTCACGTCTGGAGGACGTCCCAAAGCGCTGAACAGTTAGGTGTAGGGGTGAGGGAAGGTAGAGAGGTGGGAAGGAGACCAAAGACACGGTCAAAGAGAAGGGTCTTGAGACCGGCCTTGAAGGAGGGAAGGAAGGAAGCGAGGCAAAGGGACCTTGGGGTGGAGTTCCAGAGTGTGGGGGCAGAGAGGCTGAAAGCCCGGCCACGGATGGTAGGGTGGGTCGGGCGGGAGACATGGAGCAGGCCGGAGCCCGATGAACGGAGGGAGAGGGCAGGTTGGTAGGGGGTCAGGGAGGTTACTGTCAAATTCAATGGCTCACTCTTTTCATACCTCAAACTGATTTTATCACAGGCTTTTTTTCCACCGTTCTCACTTTCTAGTTTACCTCATGTGGCGTCCTGTAGCATAGTGGTTAGAGCAATTGACTCGCAAGCAAGAGGATCTGGGTTCGATTCCCGGGCAGAACGAAATGTTGGGCAAGTTTCCTTACTCCACACGTCTCTGTAAGTAGGAACTAGCAGTAAGTAGTCGAATGGTTAGTTGAATGGCAGATCCCTTTTCCGCGGGTAATAATCCCTGATAAAAAAAGAAAAAAATGTGGACACTCAAACTACGACTGTTAGAGAGGCTTGGAAGACACCTGGCTGACCAAGAAACAAAATCTGAGAAGAGCCCATCAAGAGACAAAGTGGGTGGGGGGGGACTCGGAGAAACCAGAGGCAGAGGTTGTGGAGGTGAAGGTGTTGATAGGGGGGGAGAAAGGAAGGGCTGGAGGAGGGGAAAGGGCGGTGGGAGGTGAAGAAGGTGTCAGGCAGAGAGAAGCGGTTGGTCTATGGGCACATAGATGGGTGGGCACAGGCACTGTACTGTATATACTGTTTTACTGTATATTGAATGAAAGGATTATATATTCTACAAAAGGCAATGATTTGGGCATCCTTGCATGGTTCTTGTCTTTCATAGACATCTGTATCTTACCCTCCAGAAAATGTAATCATTTTTCCAGAAAATGTAATCATTTTTCCAGAAAATGTAATCATTTTTCCAGAAAAAGACTTAAGAAAATATGTAGACTTGTGTGTGAGTGCAAGTAAACAATCTATTTACAGTCTTGTAAACATTGCTGTCAGACTGGGGCAAGTTCACATCTGGCATTATTTTGATGGGAGTTTTTCAGTTTGGGTATTTGTATCCGAGTAAATGAAACCTTGCTGATTTCTTATGTGCAGGTCTACGAAGGTTTGAGGTACAAACTGTTGCTGGAGTTCCCAAGTGGCTACCCATACAACGCTCCCACCGTCAAATTTATCACCGCCTGTTATCATCCTAATGTAGACACAGAAGGAAACATTTGTCTTGATATTCTCAAGGATAAATGGTCAGCACTTTATGATGTGAGGACGATCCTGCTGTCCATTCAGAGTTTGTTGGGAGGTAAGCATATAAACACTGCCATCCATACAGCTGTCATTATGGGCTTTCTCACATAGAAATTAAAATCTTTCTATTCTACAAACATTTAGGGAGGTGTGTACCTAAATAATTAGCGACAACATACCACTGCTTGCGAGACCTTGCAATGGCCAGAATGATATTTGATATTCTTGACATTTGTCCTGTTTGACCTTCTTTAAGCGATCAATTGTTTACAGTCCTAACTTTCTCTCCTCTTTGTAACCCAACAGAGCCAAACATACAAAGTCCCCTGAATGTTGGTGCAGCTCAGTTATGGTCTAACCAACAAGGTAAGAACACTTTGCAGCACAAGTTCATGTACTTTGATAATACCACTCCCCACGTAATAATCACATTTGACATTGTGCCTTTCATGTTGGGAGGAACATCTCAAAGCACTTCACAGGATATACTGTAAAGTTACTGTTTTAGACAATCTCACTAACCAATTTGTGTAAAATGAATACATAAACAGCCATGATTAAACAGAATGACTTTTTATTTGGACGATTGTTGGAGAAATTCTCTCTTCAAACAAATGGGAACATAATAAACAAAGCAAAAATCATGTCTGATTGCAAAATTGAAAAAGTTCTACAACAACAAGATTACACTTGTACAGCGCCTTTCATGTCAGGAGGACGTCCCAAGGCGCTGGACAGTGTACAGCATTTCAGACCCGAGCTGGGGTCAGAGGGGGGGAAGGGGAGCGGCCAATGGCATGGTTGAAGAGGAGGTTCTTAGGTAGTAGTGGGTCAGGTAGGATTGGAACCAGGAGAGCGCAGTCCTGCAGAGGTAGATGATAATAATAATAATAATAATGATAAGAATACTCCTTGCATTTGATATAGCGCCTTATCATGTCTTTGAGATGTCTCAAAGCGCTTCACAGAATATACAAGGGAGGGAGGAGGGAAGGTCCACAGTGTCAAAAGCAACAGAGATCGAGGATGAGGAGGTAGAGGGAGTCCACGTATAAATTATTGTTGTAAATATGCTGCACTAAATTTTAACACAATCTTGTTTATCCAGCGTACAGAAAGCAGCTGCAGGAAACGTCTGGTGACCAGTGGCAATGTTGAGTGAGGTACAACGCTGAGGCTGTGCTTCCCATTCCTGTCTCTTTTGTGTTTTGAATGTCTGTCTGTGTGGCCAATTATGTAAATGAACACTAATGTTCATTTTGTGTTTATTATGTGAATAAAGTGCACTATGAGTGAATATTTTCTAATTAAAAGGCTCACGTGTGTTCCTCTGCTACATAAAGACACTAATTTGGTTTCAACGACGTTCATTAAATCTGATCAGGTCACTGCACTTGCATGGTTCAAGTCCTACTTAACTAACAGCCTTCATTTCAACTCAGCAAATGGTTTCTCCTCCCACCTCCGCCCAGTCACCTGCAGAGTACCCCAGGGCTCCATCCTTGGTCCTCTTCTTTTCCTTATCTATATGCTCCCTTTGGTCGATATCTTCTACATGTATGGGGATAACACACAAACCTACTTTGCCTCCTCCAGTACCAACTCCAGGTCCACCGATGTTCTATCAGCTTGTCTGGCAGACATCAAGGCCTGGATGAGTGCAAACTTCCGACAGCTGAATATGAACAAGACGGAAGTCATACTCCTTGGCTCCTGTCAATGTCTTCACTCCTGCGGATCTAAACTCCTCAACCTCCCTGGTCTCTCCCCCAGACTCACTGAACCAGTGTGCAATCTAGGTGTCCTCCTCCCCTCCATGTGATCCCTGACCAGGACTGCTTTCCACCTCTCCCACATTGCCCGCCTCCGACCGTGCCTTACCCCAAATGCAGTCTAAACCCTCGTGCTTATGTTTGTCACCTGCCTGAACTATTTCAATGCCCTCCTTGCTGGTCTCCCCAGCTCCACTATTCAAAAGATCCAGTTCATTCAGAACTCTGCCGCTCACATAATTACCCAAACCAAGCTCTGTACCTGCATCTCACCAGTTCTGCCCAAGCTCCACTGGCTCCCCATCACCGAACGGATTGACTTCAAGATCCTCACACTTGTGTTCAAATCTCTTCACTCTGGCATTTCCCTACCTCTCCGACCCCCCAATCCACCATCTCTGCTCGACTGGCACCAGCCTCCTGCTCGTCCCTCGCATCCTCCACCCCACAATCGGAGGTCATGCTTTCTGCCACTACGCCCTGAAACTCTGGAACACTCCCTCAATCCCTTCGCTTTGCCCCCTCTCCTTTTTCAAGTCCCACCTGAAAACCTTCCTCTTCAACCGTGCTTGTGGCCACCTCGCTCGGAGTCATGCTCCGCCACGGTTAAGTGCTCTGAGACACTACTCAGCGTGGAGGGCGCTGTATAAGTGCAAGTTGTTGTGTACTCTGGTCTTAGCTTGCTTCAAGGTCATCACACTGCAGCTTAAGCTTGTAGTGTGTAATATCTGTGTCCAAACAGTGCCTGGGAATGTAGCCCAGGGTTGCACTCCTTGCTATTCTGCCCAGTTCCAACCACCCACAAGCACGAGTAGTTCCCTTTGCTCAGCAAACGTAAACCTGTTTCATGACCCCCAACCTGCTCTGCAGCACCTTTAGTCCCTGAGCTTTCAGCCCCTAGCGTTTTGAACTCCCTGCCTTAATCCCTCCACCTTGCCCTCGTTATGTATCTTTAATTCCCACGTTAGAATCTGTCTCTTTGACCATGCCTGTGATCACCTTAGAGATCCCTCCCAGCTACTTCAAAATATTCCTTACCCTGGGACCAGGGCAGGCAACACATCCTCCTGGACTCTCGATCATGACTGGATAACATCTATCCCCTTAATTATCGTATCCCCTATAAGTACAATGTTTCTATTCTTTTTCTATACTGCTCCTCCCACCCGCCCCCTCTCTTAAACTACCTCCCGCTCCATGGTTCTTGGTTAGCATTCTGACCATCCTCACACGGAGCAATGTCATCGACAGGACTAGTTCCTGCGGTTCCTCTGTGTCTGCCTCCATTGGATTACCCCTACGCTGCACTCTTCCTGTACCTGTTTCTTATCTTCTCTTCAACCGTGCCTTCAGCTCCCCTCTCGACTCTCTACCTCCCTCCTCGCTCCCTCCCTTCCATCCCCTCACCCTGACCATTTCTCCCCTGTTCGGGTCCCGACCCAACTGTCCAGCGCCTTGGGACGTCCTCCCGACGTGAAAGTCGCTCTATAAATGCAATCTTGCTGCTGCTGTTGTTATGTGGTGTGACTTCTGGGAGTAAGTTACCAGATAGTTCTCCCCCCCCCTCCCTAATATGCCAGAGTGTCTCTCACTCGCTCAAAGACTGAGCCGCAGTGACTCCGGACGTAAGCATTTCCCCCGCGTCTCGCTGTCCACAAATAACCATACTCTGCAGTCTGGACACCGCCGGCGCTGCCATTATCTACTCTGTATTTAATGTTTATTCTGCTTATTGACTTATTGATGTCCTGTTTATTTTTATTTACTTAATGCTAGTGGTTAAGATTTTATCCCCGGCCTTTCATTTTGTGAATTTTTTTTTAGGGGAAAAAAAAATTAGTGTAGGAGAACCGCCTTAATCCACGATACAGTTAAACATTTCGAGTTTAAATACGTTTTACGCACCAAGTTGCCTTCCACTTGGGGGAGGACGTCCCAAAGTGCGATGACTCAATAAATAATTCGACGGCTTTTGTTCCTCGATTACCCGACTCAGCGCCTCCTCCCCCTCTTAAGTGACCTCGCTCGAGAGTATTTTTTTTGGGGGGGGGCTGGTTTAGGCGAGAGATGTTGAACATGATGTCTCTGCCCACCCCGAACGATTCCCCTGTGGCCCGCGCTGGACATCACTCTCCACCCACCCCCCCCCCCCACCCCACCCCCCCCTCGCTGGCGCAGGTTCTCACTCCGCCCACGTGTTTGTGTTGCTTCTCTAGTCCGTGGCTGAATGTTCCCCCCCCCCCCCCCCCGACATCTCCCACAACATTACATAACAGCGCAAAATAACACGCGGTATTTATACAGAGCCCCTCACGCAGGGGAGTGTCCCCCCCCCACCCCCAAACACACAGACCCTGGACACTGCCCCCACACCCCCAAACACACAGACCCTGGACACTGCCCCCCCACCCCCCGACACTGCCCCCCCAAACACACAGACCCTGGACACTGCCCCCCCCCCCCACCCCAAACACACAGACCCTGGACACTGCCCCCACCCCACCCCAAACACACAGACCCTGGACACTGCCCCCCCCACCCCCAAACACACAGACCCTGGACACTGCCCCCCACCCCCCCAAACACACAGACCCTGGACACTGCCCCCCACCCCCAAACACACAGACCCTGGACACTGCCCCACCCCCAAACACACAGACCTTGGACACTGCCCCCCCCCCCCCAAACACACAGACCCTGGACACTGCCCCACCCCCAAACACACAGACCCTGGACACTGCCCCCCCACCCCCAAACACACAGACCCTGGACACTGCCCCCCCCACCCCCCAAACACACAGACCCTGGACACTGCCCCCCCCCACCCCCAAACACACAGACCTGGACACTGCCCCCCCACCCCCAAACACACAGACCCTGGACACTGCCCCCCCCCCCACCCCCAAACACACAGACCCTGGACACTGCCCCCCACCCCCAAACACACAGACCCTGGACACTGCCCCCCCCCACCCCCAAACACACAGACCCTGGACACTGCCCCCCACCCCCAAACACACAGACCCTGGACACTGCCCCCCCACCCCCAAACACACAGACCCTGGACACTGCCCCCCCCACCCCCAAACACACAGACCTGGACACTGCCCCCCCAGCGCCCCCACACACACACAGCCCACACACGCAGACCCCCCCCCCCACACACCCCCCCCCACACACACACAGACCCCCCCCACACACCCCCCCCCACACACACGCAGACCCCCCCCCACACACCACACACAGACCCCCCCCACACACACACACAGACCCCCCCCCACACACAACCCCCCCCCACACACACACAGACCCCCCCCACACACACACAGACCCCCCCCACACACACACAGACCCCCCCCCACACACACCCCCCCCCACACACACACAGACCCCCCCCCACACACACACACAGACCCCCCCACACACACACACAGACCCCCCCCACACACACAGACCCCCCCCCACACACACCAGACCCCCCCCACACACACACAGACCCCCCCCACACACACACAGACCCCCCCCCCCACACACCCCCCCCACACACACACAGACCCCCCCACACACACACACAGACCCCCCCCCACACACACACAGACCCCCCCACACACCAGACCCCCCCCCCCACACACCACAGACCCCCCCCACACACACACACAGCCCCCCCCCCACACACACACACAGACCCCCCCCCCCCACACACACAGACCACCCCCCCCACACACACACACAGACCCCCCCCCACACACACACACAGACCCCCCCCCACACACACACACACGGACCCTCCGCTGGAGCTGCTGTGCGGGTGGAGTCGGTATTGCGGAGCCGCGGCCGCGGTGAGTCTCGGGGACAGTGGCGGTGTCGGTGTCGGTGACTCTCCGCCGCTGAAGCCTCAGCGCTGCTCACGATCACCGGTGACTGACACACACTGTCCGGGGCTTCGTCAAAGTGCAGCCGAGACCCCCCCACAGACCCCCACAGAGACCCCCCCACACAGAGACCCCCCCACACAGAGACCCCCCCCACAGAGACCCCCCCACACAGGGACCCCCCCCACACAGGGACCCCCCTCACACACACACACACAGACCCCCCACACAGACACCCCCCCCCCCACACACACACAGAGACCCCCCCCACAACAGCCGTCCCCCCCCTATACACAGAGACCCCCCTCCCACAGACACTACAAAACACAGACGCCACCACCCCCCACACGGACAGGTTTGTGTGTGTGTGTGGGGGGGCTGTGTGTGTGTGTGGGGGGGGGGCTGTGTGTGTGTGGGGGGCTGTGTGTGTGTGTGGGGGGGGTCTGTGTGTGTGTGGGGGGGGGGCTGTGTGTGTGTGTGGGGGGCTGTGTGTGTGGGGGGGCTGTGTGTGTGGGGGGGGCTGTGTGTGTGTGTGGGGGCTGTGTGTGGGGAGGGGGCTGTGTGTGTGGTGGGGGGGTCTGTGTGTGTGTGTGGGGGGGGGTCTGTGTGTGTGGGTGGGGGGTCTGTGTGTGGTGTGTGGGGGGGGTCTGGTGTGTGTGGGGGGTCTGTGTGGTGTGTGGGGGGGCTGTGTGTGTGTGTGGGGGGCTGTGTGTGTGTGTGGGGGGGCTGTGTGTGTGTGTGTGGGGGGGGGCTGTGTGTGTGTGGGGGGGCTGTGTGTGTGTGTGGGGGGGCTGTGGTGCTGTGTGTGTGTGGGGGGGAGGGCTGTGTGTGTGGGGGGGGGGCTGGTGTGTGTGTGTGTGTGTGGGGGGGCTGTGTGTGTGTGGGTGGGTGGGGGAACTGTGCGGTGTGGAGGCTGTGTGTGTGGGGGGGGTTCTGTGTGTGTATGTGTGTGTGCGGGGGGTCTGTGTGTGTGTGTGGGGGGGGGCTGTGTGTGTGTGGGGGGGCTGTGTGTGTGTGTGTGTGTGGGGGGGGCTGTGTGTGTGGGGGCTGTGTGTGTGTGTGGGGGCTGTGTGTGTGTGTGTGCGGGGGTCTGTGTGTGTGGGGGGGTCTGTGTGTGTGGGGGGGGCTGTGTGTGTGTGTGGGGGGGCTGTGTGTGTGGGGGGCTGTGTGTGTGGGGGGGGCTGTGGTGTGTGTGTGTGGGGGGGTCTGTGTGTGTGTGTGGGGGGGGGCTGTGTGTGTGTGGGGGGGCTGTGTGTGTGTGGGGGCTGTGTGTGTGTGGGGGCTGTGTGTGTGTGTGTGGGGGCTGTGTGTGTGTGTGTGGGGGGCTGTGTGTGTGGGGGGGGCTGTGTGTTGTGTGTGTGGGGGGCTGTGTTGGGTGGGGGGGGGAGCTGTGCGGTGCGGAGGCTGTGTGTGTGGGGGGGTTCTGTGTGTGTGTGTGTGGGGGGCTGTGTTGGGTGGGGGGGGGGAGCTGTGCGTGCGGAGGCTGTGTGTGTGGGGGGGTTCTGTGTGTGTATGTGTGTGTGTGTGCGGGGGTCTGTGTGTGTGGGGGGGTCTGTGTGTGTGGGGGTCTTCTGCGTATGTGTGCAAAAGGCTGTAAGTGGGGGGGTGTTTGTGTGTGTGTGGGTCGGGGGGGCAGTATATGAGGGAACTACTGACTGACGCTGTGTCTGACTGTCCAGGTGTCATGGCGGTCCTCGTCCTCCTCTTTGTGCAGCTGTTCAGCTTGAGCATCGCTACAGAAACAAAACCCGCCTGTACCATCCGCATCACATCATCGGGGCTGGACCTCAGTGAGAACACACAGCGGGATGGAGCGGGGGTGGGGGGGTTATTGGTGTGTAGTGTTTGTGCGTGTGGTGTGTGGTGTTTGGGGAGTTGGTGTGTGCGTGGGGTGTTGGTGTGTGTGTGTGCGCCTGTGGTGTTGGTGTGTGCGTGCGTGTGGTGTTGGTGTGTGCGTGCGTGTGGTGTTGGTGTGTGCGTGTGGTATTGATGTGTGCGTGCGTGCGTGTGGTGTTGGTGTGTGCGTGTGGTGTTGGTGTGTGCGTGTGTGCGTGTGGTGTTGGTGTGTGTGGGCGTGTGGTGTTGGTATGTGTGCGCGCGTGGTGTTGGTGTGCGTGTGGTATTGGTGTGCATGTGGTGTGTGTGTGTTTGGGGAGTTGGTGTGTGGGGTATGTGTGCAGGTGGAGGAGATGTGTGCGGGGTAACTGAGATCTCTTGTTTTATAGTCCGACAGGAAGGGCTGAATTTTGTGGCTGAGGAACTGGAGAACATAACAATCCCAGAGTTGTCGGGGAAGGAGGGGAATTTCCACTACAATATCCGCGAGTAGGTTGGGCCTGCGGGTTGAGATTGGGTCTGGGTTTGGGGGAGGGGGCTGTGGGTGGGGGCTAGGGTTGGGGTTTGGGATTGGGGGAGGGGGCGGTGGTTGGGGGCCGGGTTGGGATTTGGGGTGGGGAGGTGGTTGGGGGCCAGGGTTGGGGTTTGGGGGTGGGGGGGGGGCGGTGGTTGGGGGCCAGGGTTGGGTTTGGGTGGGGGGTGGTTGGGGGCCAGGGTTGGGGATTTGGGTGTGGGGGAGGGGGCGGTGGTGGGGGCTAGGTTTGGGTTTTGGGGAGGGGCGGTGGTTGGGGCAGGGTTGGGGGTTGGGGGGGGGGGGGGGGCGGTGGTTGGGGGCCAGGGTTGGGGTTTGGGGGTGGGGGAGGGGGCGGTGGTTGGGGGCCAGGGTTTGGGGTTTGGGGTTGGGGTCGCCTCTCTCCCTGATGTGTTTTGGTGTCTGACAGTGTGAGGATTGTGGACCTGAACCTCTCCTCGGCTGCTCTGCTTTTCCACCCCAACACTGGCCTCTGCTTCCAAGTGCACAACTCCTCCATCTCAATCACTTTCCACAGGAAGCTCTTCTACTGGCTCTTGTGAGTGTCTGACGCTGTGTTCACCCCGCACTGAGGGAGGGGGCGAGGGCAATACAATACAATGTTACATTTGTAAAGAGCCTTTCATGTTGGGAGGATGCTCCAAGGCGCTGGACAATCAGGGATTTGGACCCGAGCTGGGGGGAGGTTGGGATCTGGGAGGGTAGGAGGGTGTCAAAATCGTGGTTGAAGAGGAGGGTCTTGAGATGCGCCTTGATGGAGGCAAGAGAGAGAGCGAGACGAAGGGAATGTGGGATGGAGTTCCAAAGGGTGGGAGCAGAGAGGCTGAAGGCCCGACTGCCGATGGTGGGGTGGGCCGGGTGGGGGAACGTGGAGCAGGCCACAGAGCGGAGGGAACGGACAGGATGATACGGCCCCTGCACTGAGGGAGGGGGCGAGGGGCATGGGGGAATGTGGGGGCTGGGAAGGGAGAGGCTGGTTTCATGACTCTGAATTTTGTTGCAGTCATGACGTGGGTCAGGTCAACGCGTCAGCGGATGGAGTGAGTTTTGAGACGGTTTTGATGCTCGGACGCAATGCGGCTGGGAGACTTAAAATCACAAACATGACCTGCACTGCGGCTATCAGCAGCTTGACAGCACAGTTCTCTGGAACATTAAAGTAAGACGGCAAACACGTTTTGTGCATATTGTTCCATACATCCTGGAAAATAAAAAAACTAAATGGGTTAGAGGAGCAAAGGGATCCAGGGGTACACATACACAATTCACTAAAAGTAGAAGGTTAACAAGGCCATAAAAAAGGCAAACCAGGCATTGGGGTTTATTTCTAGAGGGATAGAAATGAAAAGCAGGGAAGTTACGGTAAACTTCTATAGAACGTCGGTTAGACCACACTTAGAATACTGAAGTTCTGGTCCCCACATTATAGAAGGGATGTAGAGGCACTGGAGAGGGTGCAAAGGAGATTCACAAGGATGATCCCAGAACTGAGAGGTTATACCTATCAGGAAAGGCTGAACACGCTTGGACTCTTCTCTTGAAAAGAGGAGGGTAAGGGTTAATCTGATAGAGGTCTTTAAAATTATGAAAGGTTTTGATAGGGTAGACATAGGAAAGATGTTTCCACTTGTGGGGGAGACCAAAACCAGGGGCCATCAATATAAAATCGACACAAATAGATCAAATAGGGAAGTTAGAAGAAATTTCTTCACATAGAGAGTAGCGGGAATGTGGAACTTGCTACCACAAGGAGTTGTTGAGGCAAATAGCATAGATGTATTTAAGGGAAAGCTCGATAGGTACATGAGGGAGAAAGGAATAGAAGGTTATGCTGATAGGCTTTAGTTGAGGAAGGGCAGGAGGAGACTCATGTGGAGCATAAACACCGGCATAGACCAGTTGGGCCGAATGGCCTGTTTCTGTGCTGTATATTCTAATGTATTCAAATATATTGCAATCCTGTTATTAGGCTGGGAGCCTCAAACCTCTCCCCACAGCCTGGCACTTGTCAGAAAAGCGCTCGGGGACACTACCCCATGTGAAGGGCGCTATATAAATGCAAGTTGTTGTTGTTGAAAGCCTTGAGGGAGTCCAGCACAAATTCACCAGAATGATACGAGAGATGGAAGGGCTAAATTGTGAGGTTAGTATAGGGACTCGCATGTAAATAGTAACTACCTTCAATTCCTCACTTTCCCGCTGTCTTTATTTGCAGGAGTGTTTATCAAATCATGTCAGTGTTCCTCACCATGGGTATACGGTTTCTCTTAAACAAGCAGGTAAGCCACCCATGACCCTCAACCACACCTCCCCCCCTCTCTCTTTCCCTGCCCACTCCCGTCTCATTCATTCGCTACCCCCACCCCTTTCTCGCCCTCCTTGCCCTCCCCCCTCCTCCCCTTCCATTTCTCTCTCTCGCCACCCCCCCCCCACCCACCCTTTCTCACCCCCCCTCCCCCTCTCTCTGTCTGCTTGTCTGTGTCTTTATCTGTCTGCCTGGCTGCATCTGTGCTTGTGTTTGTCTGTATCTGTCTCTGCCTGCCTTCTCTCTGTCTGTCTTCCCTCACTAATCCTTTTCTGTTGATGTTGTAGATCTGCCCAGTGTTGAGCCACGCAGCACTGGTCTCACTCAACACTATGATGGATACCGTTCCAGGTGTGTGAAGCTCGAATTCTCCAGGTCAATAACAATCAATGGCAATGATGGTGTCAGTGGGCAGTGTCCATGTTTAGGCTGCATTTGCAAACAACACCATCAGTTTACGTTTATAGAAAACCTTCCCCTTCGAAAGGACATTGCACACTGCAAATTGACTGCCAGGTTCATGACAAGTGCAGTCGCTGAACTTTACAGTATTTCCTGTGAGGTGCTTTGAGCTGTGTTCCTGACATGAAATGTACGTTAGCAAATGTAAAGATTATTATTTGTGGCTCGATTGCAGGAGCAAACCTAGAGATTGATGAGCTAAATGGCTCCTGTGCTAGGTTCCTATGGTTTGTGCAAAAATGGCAGGCTGCATCTTGTGGAAGGAAGAGATTTTGTGAATGTGTTTGCAGCCTAAAAAATTCAGATCTTGAAGAGAGTCTCCAGATGAAAGTTTCCCATAACATTGACTCCAATGCCTTCAAAAATAGGAATGGAGTTAGCTCTGATTGCAGGACAGCCCTCCCACACCACACCACAATGGGTTTGACTGGTTCAATAAAAACAGACAAGTATCCAAATATTTAAGAGAAAATTAATTTGTATTGACAAGATACTTTTACTTCATTTACTGCACAGGGTCAATTCCAGAAGAGGCTCACTCATCTCACTGTTTCTCTTTTCCAGTGAGAACCCCTGTGGATAAATACGTGGGGATTGATTATTCTCTTCTCAGTGACCCCAAGGTCATGTCTGACCGGCTGGATATGGATTTCAGAGTAAGAGCAGTGTGATATCACAAGTGAGCGAGTGAGTGAGTGAGCAGTGTGATACCACTGGGGTAAGTGATTGAGTGAGCAGTGCGATATCACTGGGGTAAGTGATTGAGTGGTGTCATGTTAATGAAGGTACAACAACAAAATTATATTTGTATAGCGCCTTTCACATCGGGAGGATGTCGAAGGCGCTGGATAGAGCGAGCGGTGTGACATTAGTGGAGTGTGGGATTAATAATAATAATACTTGCATTTGATATAGCGCTTTTCATGTCTTCTAGAAGTCTCAAAGCCCTTCGCAGAATATCCTGTAAAGTGAATTGACTGTATATTTTGTGAGCGAAACGCGAAAGCCGATTGCGCACAGCAGTGTCCCACAAACAGTCGTGGATTGAAGTGACCAAATTATTATTTTATATTTTCTTGAGGGGTTATTATTAGGCGTGTGGAGTAAGGAAACTTGCCCAAGGTTTCGGCCTGCTGGGAATCGAACCCAGGTCTCTCGCTTGCCAGGCGAGTGCTCTAACTACTGAACTACAAGACTCCTCAACGAGATTAAGATCTCCTTCTCACAACCCAAATTGTATTCCATTTCCTGGCCATTCTGGGTGCTGCTCGACTGGCTCTGGCCTCCTGCTTGTGCCTCATCGGCGGCCGTACCTTCAGCCACAAGACCCCAAAGCTCTGGATCTCGCTTCCTGAATCCTCCTGCCTTGCTCCCTCCTTCCCCATTTTCAGATCATGCCTTAAGACCTTCCTCTTTGACCGTGCTTACAATCCGCCCTGATTGGTAGTCAGGCTTCACCATCGTTAAGCGCTCTGAGACATTATCCTGCATGAAGGGCGCGATATAATTGCAAGTTATTGTTGTTAATATTACTGGAATGAGCGAGCGAGTGGTGTTATTTCTGGAGTGAGCAAGTGGTGCGATGTTTCATGCTCGCTGTGTCCTGTTTCAGGGGATGTTTTATCCACTGGAGAATGAGAATGAGACACTGGCCTACAGAGGGGTGGTGCCAGTGGTGAAGGAGATGAACAGGATGCTGCACATGGCCGTTTCTGAGTACTTCTTTGACTCGGCCATGTTTGCCTATTACACGGCCAATGTTCTAAGGATTCAGATTCCAGAGAGCCAGGTTAGACGTTCACTCCATTCTGAATCATTCACTTTACTGCAGTTTCTGGAATGCCCTCATTACAATGATTGCTAATTGCAATTTTCACGGGTTTAGATGTCGCTGGATTTCGCTTACTTGTTGAGGACAACATTCTTTGGAGCAATTGTTTTTCAGGTCAGTGATGTTTACAGTGAGCGTCTGTCACTCCATACAGTTAGCGTCTGTCACTCTATACAGTGAGCGTCTGTCACTCTACATATATATATATATATGGTCTTGCCCCACCCTACCTCTGCAACCCCCTAACCCCCTACCAACCCACCAGTTCCATCCACTCAGCTGGCTCCGGCCTGCTCTAAGTCCCCCGACCCACCTGCCCCACCATCGGCGGGAGAGCCTTCAGCCACTCTGCCCCCAACCTCTGAAATTCCATCCCCCAGTCATTCCGCCTCGCCCCCTCCTTAGTCTCCTTCAAGCCCCGCCTCAAAACCCTCCTCTTCAACCATGCCATCGGTCACCGCCCTTCCCCTCCCTTCTCCCCCGCTGACCCCAGCTCGTGTCCAAAAATCTGTACACTGTCCAGCAACTTGGGATGTCCTCCCGACGTGAAGGGCGCTATACAACAACAACAACAACAACAACAAGATTCCATTTATAAAGCGCCTTTCACGTCAGGAGGACGTCCCAAGGCGCTGCACAGTTGGGTCATGACCCGAGCAGGGGGGAAATGGTCAGGGTGAGGGGAGGGAAGGGAGGGAGCGAGGAGGTGGGAAATGGTCAGGGTGAGGGGAGGGAAGGGAGGGAGCGAGGAGGGGGAAGAGAGTCGAGAGGGGAGCTGAAGGCTCGGTCAAAGAGAAACAAATGTAATTTTGTTGTTGTTGAGTGACTATACAGTGCCACATAAGAGACTTGTCAGGAAAATAGAAGCCTAAGTTATTAAAGGGACAGTGGCAGCATGGATACAGAGCTGGCTGGGAGACAGAAAGCAGAGAGTGTTGAAAGGTTGTTTTTCTGACTGGAGGGAAGGGTGCAGTGGTGTCCACCAGGGGTCGGTATTGGGACCACTGCTGTTTTTGATCCGTATAAATGACCTGCACTTGGGTATAGGGAGAACAATTTCCAAGTTTGCAGATGATACTAAGCTGGAAAAAGTAGTAAACAGTGAGGAGAATAGTAGCAGACTGCAAGAGGACATAGGCAGACTGGTAAAATGGGCAGACACGGGGCAGATGAAGTTTAATGTGGAGAAATGTAAAGTGAATCATTTTGGGCGGAAGAGTGAGGAGAGGCAATATAAGCTGATGGTACAATCTGAGGGTTCATATAAGTAAATCTTTGCCAGGACAGGGAGATAAAACTAGGCTTTATAAATAGGGGCATAGAATACAAAAGTCAGGAGTTATGGTGAACCTTTATAAAACACTGGTTAGGTCTCAGCGAGAGACTGCGTTCAGTTCTGGACCCCACACTTTAGAAAGGATGTCAAGGCATTGGAGAGGGTGCAAAGGGGATTTACCAGGATGGTACCAGGAATGAAGGACTTCAGGTATGAGGAGAGGCGAGAGAAGCCAGGATCTGTCATTCTATACAGTGAGCATCTGTCACTCTATATAGTGAGCGTCTGTAGTGTCTGTTGCTATACAATGAGTGTCTGTCACTCTGTACGAGTCTGGGTAATGTGGATGGGAATAACACTGCTTTCCTCCTATTGTTGCTGGTGTCCAGGCCCCAGTGACGTCCCCGACTAAGGCTCCTTTGCTGTTGGAGCTGTCGGTCACGGCTCCTCCTCACTGTACCATCAAACCCTCCGGTGTCATGGTCAGTGTGAGCGCTCTGATGAATGTCCTCCTCGTGCCCTCGAACTCCCCCACAGTGACGCTGGCCACCATAATCATGGTAATGTTGTGTTCCTCCACCACACTCTGACAACATCAGGATGCAGTTTCTTTTTCAACAATTCAATGCAGATAAATACCTCATATAGGACCCAAGAATAGGAACCACATGTACTCAATCGCTGGATAGACGTTATCAAAGGGGGGAAGCTGAGGGAGATCCTGGGTTGTTATTCGACTCATCACTCACTATGTAACACGGTGTGAGGCAAGAGTAAACAAGGCAAACATGATGCTGGGCTATACTGTATGGCTAAATGAGGTTGGGTTTAAGGTTTAAGATCCCCAGACATCATACTCAGGTTGTTCGAGGATCTGGTTGAGGCTACACCTTGAATACTGCATTGAGTGCTGGTCACTGTGACATAAGGGGCTCCCCAGAGTATAGAGAGGGCAGAGGAGAGCAATGAGGATGATCCCCAGGATTAGAGGAATGAGCAACGATTCCGGCAAGCTCAGGCTCTTCAGTCTTGAGAGATGAGTCAGAGGGGACTTTATAGAGGTTTATAAAAACCTAGAACCTAGAGTATCTCAGATACAATGAGGCAACAAAACAAAAGGACACAGTGAGTCCAGTGCAATATTCAGACACGTCTCACTTCGGGTTAATCACTGAGATTGTTATTGTTTCAGGAGGCGAAGTTGAGTGCACAAGTCACCATGAAATCAAAAAGCCTCTCAATAAAATTAGACTTAAAGAGGTGAGTGTGAGAGGGGAGTGAGGGTTAAGGTGAGGGGGGATGAGTGTGAGAGGGAGAGTGTGAGAGGTGGAGCATGGGGGGTGAGGGGGCGGGAAGGGTGTGTGACAGTGGACAGGGAGAGGGGATTGTGAGGTGAATGTGAGTGGCGTGTGAGAGGGGTGTGCGAGAGGGGCATGTGAGGGAGGGCGTGCGAGAGGGGAGCGTGAAAGGGGAGTGTGTGAGAGATGAGTCTGAGGTGAGTGTGAGAGGTGAGTGGGGGAGGGGAATGGGGAGGGAGTGTGAATGAGTGGTGGCGGGGGAGACACTGCCCATTGGGAATGATATATTCAATCACTTTGTCTTCAACAGATTCAAGATGTTTTCACCAAAGTCAACCCTGGAATCACTTGCGGTCTGTATCCACCATCAGCTGGGGGCCTGAACCCACACATTGCCAGGCTTGACGCATGTTCCTGTGTAATTGTGGGACGTCGCTGTGCGCAATTGGCTGCCGCGTTTCACCCACAGAATATACAGTTAATTCACTTTACAGTATATTCTGTGAAACGCTTTGAGACGTCTCGAAGACGTGATAAGGCGGTGTATCAAATGCGAGGATTATTATTACCATGCTGACCCCTGTACCTGTGTAATTGCCAGGCTCACACCTGTTGGCAGTACCTGTTGGTGAGTTGGAGGCTAGGCTGATAGGCCCTCGCTGCAGTCGCAGCATCGCTCTCCCACAGTGTACGAGTGTCAAGCGCCTCACCCAATGAAAGTGTGCAAACAGTGTGCATTACTGTTCAGTGCTAACTCATGTCGGGAGGCGATGTGGCCAGCCACTGATATTTGCTTTCCTCTTTCAGCTGATCCCTCTGCAAACTCCAGTCAAAGCTTTCCTGAAAGTCAGCATCCTGCCAATCGTCAATAGTATGTACACACATTACATGCTCACTGCGCTGTGAGCAAGCGTTCATACACAATACAGGTTTACATTTATATCACACCTTTTATAGTGTTGGGAGGATGTACTAAGGCGTTGGACAGTGCAAGGTTTCCCTGAGGTGGGTCTGGGGGCCAAGGGTGTGGGGACAGGGCGAGGGGGGAAAGATAACCAAAGACACGGTCAAAGAGGAAGGTCTTGAGATGGACCTTGATGGAAGTAAGGGAAGGGGAGAGACAAAGTGATGGACTTCCAGAGGGTGGGGGCAGAAAGCTTGATGCTGTTGGTGTGGCGGGAAGGCTAGGGACATGAAGCAGGCCAGTGCCCATCAAGCAGAGGGAGCAGGCGGGTTGGTATGGTTTGAAAAAGTCAGAGAGGTGGGAGTGAGGCAAGATCGCTCCCTCCGGCTCATCAGGTATCAGACACCTCAGCTGATCATTGTAACGGGTTTCCACGTGTCAGGCACCCAGCAGATCAATGTGATAGATTTGAGTTAAGGGAAGTCAAAAAATTTGGAGTGGAGGAGAGAATTGGGAATAAGGAGTAAGTATGTTCAGAATAAATATCAGGAAAAGCTTCTTTGTACAGTGTGATAAATGTATGGAATAATGCTCAGTATGTGCTGGTGAAGTCCTGCTCCAAGGAGCAGGTTTTTTTGACTTCCTTTCTTGTGAAATTAGAACCATCTCCCGGGAGGTTGGATTTATTGCAGTCCCAATAAATATTGTCAAATCAAGTTGACAGTGATATACAGTCAGGCATGCGTGTGACTGAGACAGGAGGCTCAACTCACTGAGGTTCAGTTACTAGCCTGGATGGTTATACAATGTCTCATACACATGGAGACACATGGTCAGTATATGTCAACATGCCAATGGTCCAAACAAGAGGCACCCTTGAGTAATAATAATCCTTGCATTTGATATAGTGCCTTATCACGTCTTCGAGACGTCTCAAAGCGCTTCACAGAATATACTGTAAAGTGAATTGACGGTATATTTTGTGGGCGAAATGCAGCAGTCAATTGCCACAGCAGTGTCCCACAAACAGTCATGGATTGAAGTGACCAATTTATTATTTTTTTTGGAAGAAATTATTGCCCCGGAAAAGCGATCCGCCAATTGACCAACAACCGGGTTCCTACTTACTGCTAGGTAAACAAAGGCGTGTGGAGTAAGGAAACTTGCCCAATATTTCACCCTGCCAGGAATCGAACCCAGGTCCTCGTTAGCGAGGTGAATATTCTAACCACTAAGCTACAATACTCCACAAAAGGTTTTCTTTACCCAGAGGATAATTAACAACTGGAAAGGTGTTTGAGGCTAGGACACTGGATTTGTTCAGTTTGTGGTTGTTGAGGGGGGTTTGATTGGTGGAGTGAGGGAATGATCAGATGGGTGTTTGGAAAGGATGAGATCAGATGGGCCAAAGGCCTTCTTCGTAAGAACCAATGTTTGTGGTTGAGATGCTGCAAACTCTCTTCTTATGTTTCCATTTCCTTTTTTGACAGAGAGAACCATGAGAGGAGTCCAAATTCCACTTCCTGAAGGCATTGACCTCATCAAAGAGGTCATGGAAAACCATATGGTAAAAGCTGACTAATATATATTTCTCCACAATGAACTGAGAACATAGTCTGAGCAGAATGGAGCCAGAAGAGAATGGAAAGAAGCATAGCAGCAAGTGCAAGGGCAAGTTTGAGAGTGTAGGGTGGGGGCAGTGGCAGAAAAAGTAGGTGAGATAGAAGGCATGGGGGGAGTGCTGGGGAACTTAGGGAAGAGGATGTAACCAAGCAGATGTTGTCTATCTTTGAGACGAAGTCCATGACCTCTTTGCTATTGGCGTTTGAGGTGAGGATCGAGGGAGCTTGAGGAGGCGTGTGGAGGTAATGTGGGTGGAGAACAGGAGCTTGGGATTGTTTGAAGTGTTAAGCGGCAAGCTGAATGAAGTGAGTGAAAAATTTTAACTGTGGAATTATTGGCCACGACATCAAATAGCGCTAAGGCATTTTTAACGTCCACCTGAACAGGTAAGCGGGACCTCGGTTCAATGCCTCATGCAAAAGGTATCTGACAAGGCAGCACATCAACTGCACTGGAGCCCCATCTTAAGTCTATATGAGTTCCAGGTCCCGATGAGGGGCTTGAACCTACGTTTCGACTTGGGAGACGAAAAGCCAGAAAGCCAGGCTGACACGTGTAGTTAAGCGCTCTGAGACACTATCCTGTGTGAAGGGCACTATATAATACAAGTTGTTGTTGAATAGTGAGAAGGATGGAAAGAGACTGCAGGAGGACTTGATTAAAGCAATGGGCAGAGCAGTGGCAAGTGAAGTTAATGAAGCAAAAATGTGAGTTCATTTTGGAAGAAGAAACAGGTTCGGGAGTACATAGTGAATGACTGTCTTGCAAGGAATGGACAAGCAAAGTGACTTGGGATTGCACGTCAAGAGGTACTGCTGATTGGTCACTGAGTAGCTGCCACAGTTGAATCTGATTATAAAATCTTTCATTTCAGGGCTTTCTGACGATTGGAGCTGATTTGCATTTTTACAAAGGTTTACGGGAAGTTATAGAAATGAATAAACAGGTTCAGCGCAACGGATCCACCACTGCCTGACCCCCAGCGGGGGGACAGACGGATAATGCTTCACAATATTTACTCACTAACGAATTTGTACTCAATGTAAACCTTTAATTCATTATTATTATATTATTTTATGAATAAATCTTGTACCCTCTTCGTAACAAGCGAACCTCGACAGCTCTCTGGCAGGGATGTGCTGGGCTGACCAGACTTCAGTAGCGGGTACACCCTCTAAATTAGGTTATTGCATTATACAACTTTGTAGATTTCAATTCACAACAAACGTACATTATCATTGTAAGATTTAGTGAATGCCCGGAGCTAGAAAATTTAAATTGGTGTGAATGCTTCTTGCACCACCCATTGGTGAATAGCAGAACTTGGCAGATCATTTTAGGAAAAATACTGCCAAAAGTTAGAACTGTATTGGCAGCACTAGTTCTTGCAGTGTTCAGAAGTGAAGGTTTCCATTGGCTTTGGTCGGGCAGTTAAGACCTTCTTGTACAATTTGTGATCTTTTTGCTCTCACATCCCTTTAGAATGGATGGTCTGGACCACATTTCTGAACAACTAATACACTGAAGCTCAGTGGCTACACAGTTTCTATTTGATTAACCTGGGTAATTTCTTGTTGCGTAGTAGTATGACATAGTGCAGCTGGAGAGAATTGTAACAGGCAAGTCATAAATAATCCACATGATCGTTGGCAGCTCAGATATTAATAATAAAAGTTATCCCAAAGCACCAGAGGAAATTGTGCCCTTCAGTAATAATAAATAATCACCCTTGCATTTGATACAGCGCCTTATCAGTTCTTCAAGACGTCTCAAAGCGCTTCACAGAATATACTGTAATGTGACGACTGTGTATTTTGTGTATATATCATGGCTGCAGAGTACTACAAACAGAAATTTTGATGTGCCAACTTAGTGGATAAGATTTTCGATTGTACAAATATCCCAGTAATACAATTTGCCTATGAACTGTGTTGAATCAAATGTCTGAAGCAAATAAAGAACTTGCCGGTCATTGTAGTATCTCTAACTTCAGAATATGATTAGTCAATATAAATATAGCAAAATTACCAAATGAACCTAATCTTGGATTGCCATAAACTATTTCGTGCTGCATAAAAACACAGAAAGTTTCTTTTTTGAGTTTTTATTTCTATGCAAATGATAGATTTCCCAAAGACAGCATCTTCAGATTTTTAGATGGTCCTAGAAAAAAGAAAGGGACATGTTACAACACAATTCAGATAACACCAAGCTTAAATTGCAGCTCTCATAGACCTTACAATGAAGCCACCCGTAAATTTCCTTAACAGTCTAACATGACACACAAAATGTAATTGATCTTAATACTGGACATACTTGACGTTCATATAACCAAAGAATCTGCCCACCAGTGCCGTTCAGTATGACACCTACTGCACTGTCCATTACAGAAATTTAAAAAATGGCCCCTTCTGTGTTTTTTGTAAAAAGGAAATGGTCAAAATTTCGTAATCAAAATTACTGCTGTTGAAAATTATTCTTTTGTCAACTTAAGCTGATGGTACAATCTTAAAGGGGGTGAAGGAACAGCGAGATCTGAGGTGTCATATAAGTAAATCTTTGAAGGTGACAGGACAAGTAGATAAAGCTGTTAAAAAAGCATACGGGATACTCGGCTTTATAAATAGGCGCATAGAATACAAAAGTCAGGAGGTTATGATGAACCTTTATAAAACACTGATTAGGCTTCAGCGAGAGACTGTGTTCACTTCTAGGTACCACACTTTAGGAAGGATGTCAAGGCATTGGAGAGGGTGCAAAGGAGATTTACCAGGAATGAGGGACTTCAGTTATCAGGAGAGGCGAAAGAAGCCGGGATTAAGAGGAGACTTAATAGAAGTTTTCAAAATTCCGAGGGGATTCGATAGTGTGAACAAGTAGAAACTATTTCCACTGGCGGGTGGGTCGGTAACCCGAGGGCACTGATTTAAAATAGTTGTTAAAAGGAACAGAGGGGAGGTGAGGTGGATTGAATAGGATAGCTCTTTTCATAGGATAGCTCAAAGGGCCGGCACAGACACAAATGGCCTCCTTCTGTGCTGTATAATTCTATGATTCTATGAATTGAGTTTGTCTAATTAGAAAACACTGCATTAAAGTAGGATCAACTGTAACATTGATACGTGAATGTATTTTCATTTAGAAAACACGTTGTTCATAGCTCCCTACTGTACAGGAGCCTACTCTTTTCAGGTGATTGCTAAAAAGCAGACTGGGGTTACAATACTGGTTGAAAATACATTAATTTGTCATTCAAATGGACGAAACAGTTCACTTACTTGGTAACAATACCATTGTTTTTCGACAACCTCAGGATGCAGTCATCTGATTCCCCCTATAATGGACAAAGTGTTTAGAGCTGAAGGCCCTCTGCCAATACATTGCATTGTTTCAATCAAGACTTTCTTTCCTCTCCAAAACATTTCTGAGATAACAAACCTATGATAAAACTTTTTTTCATGGACACAACATAAAGGGCATTTAAAGAAATAATCTCTGCACCTTCAATTGGATTTCAGCAGTAGATAGGAAATTTACATTAAGAGTGTAGTTAGCAGGAATCCTCCTCCCCCCATTGCTAAATTGGTAAATACAGTGGTCAATGTCAAAATACATTATACAGAACAGAAACCAGCTGATGGATCAATTAGCTATGGCATGCATGGCATCAGCACTCTTGGATTTGATATAGCACCTTATCATGTCATTGAGACATCTCAAAGCTCTTCACAGAATATATTACAAAGTGGACTGACTGTATTTTGTTGGCGAAAAGAAGGAATTATTGAGGGAAAATAAACTAACCAAGGCCTCATTTCTGATGAATGTACACATATACTGCTGGATAATTTCCCCCTTAAGACTATTTTGTACTTAAAATGGTGAAACATTGATGTGTGGAGTCCTGTAGCTCAGTGGTTAGAGCACTCGCTTTGCAAGCGAGACACCTGGGTTCAATTCCAGGCAGAGGGCGAAACCTTGGGCAAGTTTCCTTACTCCACACAGAGCCTAATAATAATCCTCCAAAACAAAACAATAATAAATTGGTCATTTTCAATCTACGACTGTTTGTGGGACACTGCTGTGCGCAATTGGCTGCTGCGTTTCGCCCACAAATATACAGTCAATTCACTTTACAGCATATTCTGTGAAGAGCTTTGAGACGTCTAGAAGACGTGAAAAGCGCTTTATCAAATGCAAGGATGATTATTATTATTATAATAACTGTAAAGTTTAACTTAAATATTGAGCTTGCAGTTTTAAAAATTCCCAATAATTGAGTTCAAGTGCCTCAGAACTATTCGCACGCAAGAAGAACGATTGATCGGTTTGCTTACCATCCTACGGATAGCCCACAGATGGCATAGGTTCTATGTTGACCATTGAATCTTCCTGTTACTTTGTCAACCTATGATAAAATTAACAAGAAGTTAAATGGATTAAAAATACTCAAATTAATATCAGCCTCAAATCTTTCACTCTTGATTCACACATCATTGATTCCATATTAATTTAGAACTCCTCTCCTTGAAACCTTTCAAATTTAAAGGCAACCCAAGCTTAGAAGCACACAAGTCATATAAAAATGTTTAAAAATGTCAATTGTTTAATACACACTTCTACTTTAGGAGCAGCTTTGATTCACTCCCATTATATTTATGGCTATTAAATCCAAAATAGCTTTAAATAGTAATACACAATTTCTTATGATTCTTTATATAAATATGAATTACGCCAGCAAACTAGAAAAGTAGTATATTTATACAATTTGATTAAGATTGAAACAGTTTAATTAGTGTTATATAGGGCTATTCTAAATAGTTTTAAAATATACAAATACTCAATTCAACTGGAATAATACTTTGTAAAACCACTGACACTAAATTGGAATGTAATATTTACAGAACGGCTACGTATGTATACCCAAAGGAGGTCTACGTGTCAAAATTAAATGTTTTCTGGTTGACACAAGGCCAGTTTGGAATGAAAATAAGGATATAGAAGGAAACATGATAAATCTAGAATGTTTTTAATTGATCTGCAGGTCAGTGGCAATATATCACTGAAATCTGCCAAAATATTGAAAATATTCAGAACATTTAGTTCTGGATACCATTTAGCATTACGCATATTACCTAAAGAAATGTCAGCTACAAATGAAATTTCCACACAAGTCACTTCTTGTAATAATAAACTGAATTTTTACCTTGATGTGTATCTTTCAACAAAGATCACTCTGGATTTACAACATCTAGACCGATCCAAGACTTAACTCACCTCAGCAAGGTTGATCTGAATGGAGGCATGGTCTTTAGCCGCAATAATTCTGTTGCTGGCAGAGCTAAAAGGGAAAATTCATAATTTAGCAAAGTGCAACAGCTACATGCAATGCAAAGGATATTGCAAATATGTTATACTTACCACTTGCGTGGAACATAAAGGTCAACAAATTCACCAGCGTCGTTCTGCATTTTCAATGCCTTGTTACAGCAGGACCTAGAGACGCCAAAAAAAAAGACCTGGAAATAGATAGTAAATGTGATCAAATATGTAAATGGTAAGCATCACCAAACCTACAAGGCTTAAATGAATTGCTGCAAATACAATCTTCAATAACTTACGTGAAGATTATGAAGTATTCCTAAAGTATTTCATGTATGTTCAAAATCACACTGGTTATACTATCACTAGTAGCTTTAATAATAATCCTTGCATTTGATAATGCCTTTCAAGCCAGGAGGACATCTCAGAAGTGCCTCACAGAAATCTGCTCTACCATTAAACTGGATATTTTTGAGTTAGCTCAAAAAATAAACTATATTGAAGGGCACCCATCCGAAATGTTAACCCTTTTTTTCTCTTCCAGCTAGCGATCGATCATCTCTGGCCTTTTCAGTTTTCTTATCACTTCCCATATTCTGCGACGGTTTCCCTCGAACAGTTACACGCACAATCGCTCATCTTCACCCACAAATCGCCGGCAAGAATCCACTTCACAGCGTAGCCCCGTGCGGTGCTTTTGAGACGTCGCGACTGTATGCGACAAAGCGCGATATCGAACGTATTATTATTATTATTATTCCCTAAACGCGGCAAGAAGTTGGTTAGAAACGAACCCATTTCTCGGGACAGAAATGAAATGGCTCGGGCTATCTGACGACCAAGCGCCAGATTGGGGGGGGGGGGGGAAGGGGCGACAAACCCCTCGCCCACAAACACACAGTCAATTCGCTTTGCGGTCCATTCTGTGAAGCGCTTTGAGACGCGTAGAAGACAAGAAAAAGCGCCGTATCAAACGCGAGGATTGCGATGATGATGATGATGATGAATAGTGCTATTAAAACCTGCGGCAGTCGGTCGTATCGCGAGCTTTCATTGCCAACGTTACCGGATACGAAGTCCCGGCGAGTGTCGGAGGCCCCATGTGTGAGACGGGGTCTATGGGCCCCCCCGCAGCAGCCCAGGAAAGCCTGGACCCACGTGCGGCTCCCGCCCCCCCCCTCCCCACACCTCCCTCTCGGGCTCCTCTCAACCGGGGCCTCGGTGACGATTTCTCAAGGCCTGGGCCTTGGGCGCGTGCGGGGAGAACACGCGGCCCCCACCGGGCGCTCAACCCGCCGCCTCCCAACCCCACTCCAGCCCCGGGGCGAGTCTCCCCGCCGCCCACCGGGGAAGGGTCACGGCGGGCGGGCGGGCAGTGGCCGTCACTAAACGCCGCGGCGCCGCCGCCTCGCGCTCACCTCCGCGTTCGTCAACGGCCACCACCGAAAGAGGGAGGGCGGGCGCCGGAAGCGGGGTCGGCTGTTTCCGGTGGACCGCCCGCCACCTCAAGCGGCCACGTGATCGGCGGCGGCTGCGCGCGCACTGAGGGGCAGCGGGGCTTTCCCCCTCCCAGCGTGCGGGGCACCGAGCGCCACCTGCCGGCGCCGCGGAGGGTTGAAGTGGCAACAGTAGCAACACTGGGGGGGGAACCCCGGCATTTGATACCGGGTCCGCTCCCTCCACTCGGCCAATACATTAGAATATATTTGAATACATCAGAATATATAGCTCAGAAACAGGCCATTCGGCCCAAATGGCCGCTGGTTTTGGTCTCCCCCACAAGTGGAAAAATCTTCCCCATTTCTACCCCACCAGAACCTTTCATAATTTTAAGGACCTCCATCAGGTCAAAACCCTTTCGGGGCAGAGTTCAGTCTGGAGCTTCAAACACGGGCAAAATGAATGAGAATTGACATAATTTACATTAATAACAGTGCCTTTCAGATTGGGAGGATGCCTCATTGGGAGGATACTTCACACGATTGCCTGGGAGCCCAGGGTCGGTTGGCATGGAGGAAAGCTTGCCTACTGATGGTGGGGTGGCAGACATGAAGCAGACCGGTATTCGGAGACATAATGAGTCAGTTGTTCCGCGTACCGTTGCCAGGCCATTTGGTAAAAATCCTAATCGTTGAAAGCTGTCTCAAGGTTTCATAAATGCAATGGGATTTTCTAGCTGCGGAGTTTTCAACGTACCAAAGTCTCTTCCTGCAAAGTAACCAGAGCCCACCGTATACAAATTACAAATTTTACTTGGAAGTATTGCAGTTCCACTAATACAGAATAAAAATGTGGATAAACTTGTATAACAGACCAATTAAAGCTTTTTAATTAATCAATGTGTACAACAAGAGACACGGTGCGACATAGCTTAGAAAAATGCCAAAGATTATTTAGAATTACCTAAATAGTTCTCTGCTTGTCTACAGCAACACGGAAATGGGATAGAAAATAATGCAGGTAACAAATAAGTGGGTTCTCATTTTTTCCCTTAACATACAACAAATAAATAGGCATAGTACTTTATAAACCAAATTTGATCTGGAGACTCCATGAAGTAAAACAATGCACATTTCAGCAACAGTTAAGTAACAGACTAGTTACAATCGGGAGTTGAAAACCTTTGTAACAGAAATTGCAAAACAAAAAGAGAGAAGACACCTCAACAAATAGGTGATTGTATTGTGCTTTTTCACAGTTTTTAAAGAATTGCTGTCCAACAGCTGCAAACCATCGTCTAGTAAAAGTTGGCACCATATGCAAACTTCCGAATTCATCTTCCCCTGGTTCCACTACTAAACCATGAAATTGTCATACAATTCCGAAAAAATTTGCCTCAAAAATTAAGATGCAATATAGATTTGGATAAATTGAATACACATTTTAAAGTGTACAACACATCAGAACATTTAAAGCAAACAATTTAGAGTTCCCAATTAAGTTTAAAGGAGTCAAATTGGATTTTGACATTACAATTTCCAATAAATAATCATTAATAATCATTTCAATTGATAATTTTTGGTATAGTGGTCAAAGCGCATCACAGGATTTTATTGTGGAGTGACCATTTGTAGGAGAATGCGGCAGCTCATTTGCACATAGCAATCTTCCACAAAAAGTTAATGACCAATTTAATTACTAACACATTATTAATTTCCTAACTACCTCCAATGCTAAGGTTAAGAATTGGACCATGGAAGATGTTGCAAATTTATTAGAAGGAAAGTTTTTAGATGGAGTTGACATAAAAAGTAGTACAATTTTTATTGAAAACTAAACATTTTCACATAATATATACATCAGAGAAAAACAAAAATTTCCCAAACATATTTACCGCTTAGCACTATAAATGTGCTGAATCAGTAGCTCTAATGTAGAGTGCTTGCTTAATTGTGCAACTAAGAGCAGTCATTATTTACCATTACAGTAGAACAATGCTTGGAAGAAGAAACAGCATAGAAAGTGAAATCACAGTAGCGCCAGTCCAGGAACGTTGTGGTACCCATTCCTCAATTTTTGGTATAGTTCTCAATATAATCATGTCACGTGACATAGAACAGATGCTACATAAATATATCAGTTCACGAGGTTCATCCAATTATATAAAAGTGCTTCCACATTAAAAAAAAGTGGCACAAATCTGGTATTAAAAAAAAACTGATGGCAGCTGGCTGAATCAGTACTTTGCAAGTAACTTCTTGCTCATTATGGGAAAAGAATCACAGTATAAACTATTGCAGCATTTCAGAGTAAGTCTTCCCATTTGTCCTAAGTTTGTGGTCTTCAGTAGGAATGTAGTCTTGCCTAAGATTGTTGGACAAGGCGCCTGTAATGAGGAAACACTTTTTTCCCAGGAAGGTAGAGGCCGAACTCTAACGCCACAAGTGTTGCAAATTCAAAAGAGACCAGCTCTTTGGAGTTTAATCTTAATCTTTCTTCCAGTTTCTGTATAGACGGATTCAAAGAATAGAAATTAAAATGGAACACATCAAATAAAACAAGACTTCAAGATCTCAATAATTGCTGAATTAATCTTTTTGGCCAGATGGGTGCCTGACACACCCTGGATCTCCTTGCTCTCTCTCTCTCTCTATATATATATATATAAATAAATATAATGCTCAAGAGCCTCCCAATTACAAATACTGAGAACAACAGGAGTTTCTGTTTGCCAGTTTCGTTGTGTACAATTTCTCAACAAAGAACACACACACCCTACTGGATTAATCTTGGAGAACACAGCTGCACTTATAAGGGAAGATATCAGGGCCTCTTAAGTGTGCCTTAAAGTGTGTTTCTAAAAGCGGGGGCATTGCTGGAATTTAACCACTTAAGCCCATGAAGGTTCTCAGTATGAGGTAATAATGAGGTTCCGAAAACTGAGCAGGCAGGTTTTCTAAATACTGTCAGATGTGCATTATTCTGAGAGATTTACATACAGCAGTGATTCACTTTCTTTCTGGAGCACTTTATGTGGGTTCTGACTTTAAGTAGTTTTGGGCTAATACATCAAAACTGAAAGCCTGAATATAAACTAATATGCCTATTCAATGTGTGTTAACTTATAAGACAAATCCAGAAACAAATGCAGCATAAATTTGATTACTCGATTTATCTATGCTATGACTTTTTTCTAAATTTATTTTTATACAGTTACATTTGCTACTTTTACGTTTAATTCTACAGCAAATAAGAAAGTGATTAATGCTCCACTTACATCAATCAGATGTTTAACCTCGTGCTTCTTGAGATCACTGCTGATTTTGGCTGCTAGCAGTAAGCAGGCACCTGAGCAAAGCTTTCTGTTCTGCTTGTTGACTTTTCCTTGGAGTACAAGCTTCTCAAAGTAAACAAAAGATAAAGCTACAGTACAGGGTTCCAAGTTACATTCTTCAGCTAGGTTCCGCATCTCCCGTTTCAGGCTAGAAAGAAAACAAAATGTGTAGACTCAAAAAAAAGTCTTTTTGTAACGTTTGAAACTGCTTAACATAAACACTTCCAATTTGCATGCAACACTAACAAAATATCTCTCATTCCCAATTAAGCCTTCCAGCAATCGCAGTACACAAGTCAATTCATGATTACAGCTTTAACTATCATTTCTTTGCTTGGCTCATGAGAGGATGTCTTCATTGGCTCATGAGAGATTGTTTTCATTGACACAGATGTATTCATTCCCATATCATATTTTTTAAGATACACACCCACAAGCACAGAGCAATCACGCTCTCATGTTTTGCCCACAAAACACACAGTAAATCCACTTTACAGTATATCCTGTGAAGCGCTTTGAGACATCTCAATGACATGATAAAGTGCTATATCAAATGCAAGGATTATCATATTCTCAATTGAAGTCCTGTCGAGTCTTGTAGCTCAGTGGTTAGAGCACTCGCCTTGCAAGCGAGACACCTGAGTTCAAGTCCAGGAAGGGCAAACCCTTAGGCAAGTTTCCTTACTCCACACGCCTAATAATAATCCCTCCAAAAAACAAAACAATAATAAATTGATCATTTTCAATTCACAACTGTTTGTCTGACACTGCTGTGCGCAATTGGCTGCCGCGTTTCGCCCACAAATATATGGTCAATTCACTTTACAGTGTATTCTGTGAAGCGCTTTGAGAGGTCTAGAAGACATGAAAAGCGCTTTATCAAATGCAAAGTTCATTATTATTACAACAAAAAAATTGTTGGCACAGAAATGTCCAGCGTTGTCTCAACAAATGGACATTTAAGACAGTCAAAAGTACGCAGTGCAATTTACCTTCTTATCTTACTGAGTGTCAGCTTAATGTGAGGAAACTTCTCTTTAAAGGTTTCATTCATGTCCTTTTTCAAGTCAGATGGTTTCACATATTCAATTACTGTTGTCTGATGGCAAAAAACAAGAACATTTCCTTGTGAGGACCACACAGAATGATATACAGTATATTGTGACTGCACTATAGAGTTGAAAATTATAAAGATCCGCACTGATGGGATGCAAATGTGATGGGAAATTGCTTTAAATTCTCAAACTTTCAAAGCTAAGCACATTCATGTCACCTGTTGTAACTTTACAAAAAGAACTGAAAATCTTTTGTGGCTCTAAAAATTAAATCTTTTGTTTTTTTCCCTGAAAGATTTAGCATAGTAAACAGCAAAGAATATATGGGCAGTGTTTACCAGACACTACAAGTGAGCACTCCTGTAACTCCAGAATGTCAATAGAACCAAAAAATAAAACATTCGTTACTGTTTAGCGGTGATTGAATAAACCAAAATGTTTGTCCAAGTGGGATTCCAGGATTTATACCTGCATTTTGTGGTGTGTGTGTGTATGGGGGGGGGGGGGGAGAAAAGAGAGAGATCATTACTGGGACGTTACCTGTTCGCAAGTCACTCATTACTGTTTTTGTATGGATTTCCATCACTCCCCTAAAAAGATCAAACACCGCGAGGACCGTGGACACCAGGGTCATGCACTAAATGTATTTTCAATATATATTTGGGCCAAATAGTATGGTAGGTCTTCAAAGTACCCAGTGAGGTAGAGAAACAAGCAAAGCAGCAACAATCAGAATGACTGGTGACAGAGAGGCCTAGGGAGCGATGCTGAACAGCTGAGCAACTTCCAAACTAACTGGCACAAGGTCAAAACCTAGGAATGCTAACAGCATTTCAACAAATAACATTTAGTGTATGTATATATATATATATATCTATACAATAACAAGATTACATTAAATAAATATATATATGGTTTTATTGAGAAAATGAAGTGAAAGGACTATAGAGTATCAAAACATTCACAATTGGAGGGTCCAAAGCACTATTCAGAGATAAAATAGCACTAAGCTTAAATTAGCACAAGGTTCTGTAGCACAAGTCTAAAAAAAGCCACACAAACCCCATAACAAATTCCAAATTGTTTGGCAAGGTTACCTCTTAAAAATCCTTTAACTATATTTATGTAACCTTCAGTTAATCTACCTGTAATGCACCAATCTTACATAAGCTGCTCAATCACCCAACAATCCCTCACCAGGAGGTATGGTATTTTTCCATTGTTGTTATTGCTTTTTTCTTAGGGAATGTATTTATATTGCAAACAAAAGGATCGTAAATACATTTATTTTTAAACAAATTATGCAAAGTTTGAAATCGATTGGAATAAGTGACAAAAATGTCAAAGGACTAAAATAACATTAATCTACCAGATGTAACGTACTCATAGGAAATAAGGATACAGACAGCTGTGAATGGATTAGATTGGAAACTGGCTGTGAATAGCATGACGTAGAATAAAGGATTTTATTGTTCATCATATTTTACTAAACTAAACCTGCTCTGACACGAAACGTATTGAAAATTCATACATAGCCGATCACTGATTTTAACTTTCCACGGAAGCATAATACTCTTTGGTTAGATTTCTGCCGCCACCTCCATAACTTACACTGAGAGAAATACAACAGAAAAATGAATGGAAATGTTATTCGATAAAGAGCAAAAAAATTGCACACCAGAACAGTCAACAATTTTTGCAACAAAAAGTGCTTACCATGTAAGACGCAAAGATTAAAACCCTTTTGTGTTTTCCACATGGCCACTGTGGATCGTCCAGAAGATTAGGATCATATTCTATCAAGTCTCCGGATTCACTCCCTAAAGACAAAACAGAAAGCAAAATGAAAGGTGTGCATTTTCTTTGCTAAACTCTCATACCATAGTGAGAGTCTGTTCTGTCACTGATTTAAAAGCTGTAAAGGCTTCAGGGTGGAACATTGGACAGCTCTTAAGTTTTTATTTAAACATTTATGTAGCCATGAGTGCTCCTGGCTGTTTAAGATCTTTAATAACTTAACCTGAAATTCAGTGTGGTGTACTGGGCATACATTTAAGTACTGCTCTCCTTTAACTCATCTGCTGAAAATGATGGCACATCACACCCATGGAACAAATAGTACATTATCTGTATCTATCTGTGCTATATCTGACCTCATAATGATGCAAATACTGGGTAAGAAAAAGAAATTGCATATTTGGCCATATGCAAATATAAACACAGACAAATTTCTTTGATTCCCAAGTATGAATGGTTAGAAAATGGTAGTTTGGCTCCATGAAATCAGACTCCATGTTATCATGGACCATGACAACTGGGTAACACTTCCAGGTCAGCAGGTTGCTGCTGATGTTATAATAATAATAATAAAGCTGTGCATGTGCAATTGTTGTGATTACTCAGATTCTGGAAGTGTTCTGCACCTAAGCAAAGGAAGCTGGCAAGTCATTGCAGGAAGTATATATACACATATATAAATAACCCTGATGTACCACACCACAAGTCCATGCTACATCCGGGTTATATATGGACCAGCAGTATATCAGGGTCTGTAAATTCCATCATATTAAAAGATCCGTCTTTATATCAACGTGGCTACCTACAACCTTGTTAAATAATGGTTGCAGTTGAGGTTAGAGATTTGCATTATTTAATAATCGTCCTTACATTTGGTACAGCACCTTTCAAATTGGGAGGATTTGTGCTTTACAGAATATAGTGTAAAGTGGCGTGACTGTATTTGGGGTGAACGTGGCAGCCAATTACCTGATTTCATCTGAGGGACACTTGAACATTGTAAATCAATGGAGATAGTTTTCTTTGAAAAGAAGAAGTCTCATACCTAATTCCATTGCTACTGTGGCATTACTTATTCTTCCAGATGCAACATTTCGATGCACGCTAGTTCGAGCAGGTAGACATGGACCTGAAACCTCCGATACACTCTTTTGCGTCACAAAAGCATTGGTTGGATACAGAAATTGTGCATATGAGACTGACTGAAACAGGAAGAAATATACAGTAAATAGTCTTGCATATTACCTAGAAGTCCACTGCGATGCACAAAATAACTTGCCTATTATTCTACAATTCCATAATTTGGTAGCACAAGGGATAAATAAAAAGCAGTAACATTAAACTTTGCATATTTAACATCCCTCCAGATATATGATGTGGACCAAATAAATCTTTTGTGCAATTTTTACAACACAAACATCCAAGCCACTGCAAATTCAACCGACACAGACTGGGAGTTCACATATTGCAAACCGCTTGATGACTGACTGAGGATGTTAAATGCGACCTTTCACAAAATACCCAGGTAGTCATGGATTATCCAATAAAATTGAAAAATTTAATCTGACTATCAAACTAGCCATGACTGTCACATAAGTAACCTTATTTTAAAACCTTACCTTTCAAACTACCATTCGTGTGCTTATACCTTTCTAACATTGTAGAAGCTGCTAATATCACAAATTGTCTATCACTTTAAAGCTTCTTGTATAATCAAGATTGACAGCAACATTTTTAACTGACAGAAAGAACCTTTGTGAATACTCTTAATGATTTATTTGTTATCGTCTTGTTATAAAAAATACAGAACAAAGCCTTCAACAGGATCTGATATCACACACATGTGAAGAAGTTTCCATTTCCAGTTATACTGATAACAATATAATTCCTCTCAAGGAAGATCTGTGTGTGTTATAGTTTGTGATTCACTCTCTTACTCTGTCAACTCAGCAGTTCCTCCAGGGCTCTATTTTATCACGCTTCTTCCTTCTCTTTATCAATGGCTTCTAGCACCATCCAACTCTCTGAGCACTCTTTTGCTGAAGAATCCATTCCATCAACTTTCGGCAGACAGCACACTCTCGATGCACAGAACCTACATTCCTCCTCAGTGCTGTCCAATGGCCGAATCACTAAACCTTAATTGTCTCAACAGCATTCAGCAGCAATGACAATCTTGGTGCTTTTATTAAAGACAGTTTCTTCATGTCTATCACAAGTTCAACCATCAGCTTCCACCTCTTACCTTTAATGGTTCCACCTTTAGTCCTTCTTCATTTATTGATATTCTTGGCCTCACACAGTCCTGGACAGATACAAGAAAAAGCTCGTAGTCTTATGGGTGATCCCTACCTTTCAACCTCTGATCTTTCTGCTTTTAACAATACTATTATGGCCATTGCTCTTGTGAACATTCTGCCCTCATTCCTCCATGCTCCAACTACACCATCCAACACTCTTCCTCTGTGCATCCCCATTGTGTTTGAATCACAGCTCTTACTTCAACTCATTCTGTCACAGGGACTGAAAACTGAAGAACACTCTATATTTCTCAGTTTCCTGAAAATCTATCCAGAATGTTGGTTCATCTCATGCTTCTACTACTCTCTGCAAACCTGTGGTGTCCTACACCGTTGACCTGGTTTTCCACCGAGGTTTCAAAATAATTGTTAAAAACTACAGAACTACAATAGGATAAGTGGGGGGAGCAAAGCGGTGTTGAAATGAACTGCACCTATATTCCAAAAATTGCAATTTATAAAGTTATAAATCAATCCTGGGGGCAGACAGGGAGACACTAGGACTTGAAGATATGGCCAAGGATGGAGTAAAGGTGAGCCTGATTCATTGCCCTAGATATTCTGTTCTGAGGAACAGTGCTCTTATCAACAGTAAAGGATGAATTTAAAAACAGGCGGGTGTTCATGAAACTAGTAGCTGTCTCAATGCTGTAAGCCTGCACTTAAACTACAAATAGAATCATCAATTTGACAGCCCCTCAGAACAAACATCTGGAATACTACATAATTTTCACTCTCAACTTTTACCAGACTGTTCTAACCTTCTCAGGTCCTGAAGTTTCTGGCGCACATCAGATTTCTGAGTTCCAAGTCTGAATATAGGTGACATTTACTTCAACATTCAGCATCTTTCATGTGCAACATGTTTATAATGCTACTGGCCAACTGCAAGCAGTGAACCCGTGTCAGTAATTCATTAAAGTGCTCATAGATTGAAAGACAATGCAAGCTGGAGTATTAATGGTAAAATGTGTCAATATCTGCTGCTTTAAAGAGTTTCAAAAAGAATTGAAAGTAACAGTCCAAATATTTTCACCATACAAGGTCTGTATAGCATTCGATCAAACAGACAATTTTACAGACAGATCCTGATCATTCCAAATTGTTTTGAAAAATTTAGGGGTGTGTTATACTGTTAAACTAATGGTCTTCAATTAATTTTTAGACTTGCACACATTTTCCAACTAAATTTTCGAAATTCACTCAACATAAAGCTCATGCACACCTATTGTGAAATGCAGATCATTTTTACCTTTCCGTCCGCACCCAGTTCAACTCCATCAAGTCCCAAAATCATGTCTGTTGATGAACCACCACCACCTGAAGGATTGCGTTGCCTTTGTCCTTCCAACTTATTGTCACTATATGAAGAGAAGGCCAAACCAGATAAATTTACAACGGAATTAGAAATTGTTGTGAAGTTCTTGAAATCATGAAAAAAATAATCCTTGCATTTGACACAGTGCCTTATCATTTGAAGAGTTTGAGTGTAAGCGAACATGGCAACCTTTTTGCACACAGTAATATCCCTCACAGCCAAAAAGTGAATCACATTTTATTTGGAGGACTGTCGGCCAAGATACTGGTGGAAACTTCCTTCTCATTTCGAATAGCATCATCTTTAATGCCCACCTAAACAGGCAAACCGACCTTGGTTTAAGTCTGAATGACGGCACCTCCAACAATGCAGACCAGCCCCCATCACGGCACTGGAGCGTCGACCTAAACTGTATGCTCTGGTTAATGATGCCATTAATCTATATTCTCTGCAGACATTCATAAATCTATACTAACAGAAACTTTAACTAGCCATCTTTCCAACCTTACAGTGCTTTTCAACTGGAACATTAGCAGTCAGCTTGATTTCTAAATACCAATTTCTATCAATTTTTTTTTTTTTTTACTTTCTGTGCCAAAGAGATCACAAGCTTTTACACTGATAATGAACAAAACATTGCATAAGTTTCCTATGGATCTGCCAACCTCTAACTTTCCATTTAATTCCTTTGTAGAATTTATGGAGTGCCTGTTGCGATTTCCTCTACAAAGCATCCGTTCCCATTGGTTTGTTCCCATCAATCAGAACGGATGTCAACAACATGCTAAATTTAAAGTGAAGGAAATTTATATTCAACAAAGTGCTGGACAATCAAAAGCAAAATCTTGGAAAATTCATATATTATTGAATATAATGAGAAACTGAGTGCTATTGATCTAAAATTGACGTAAATCCAGATCCAACAAAGAATTAGGCAGTATTATCTTCAGTCTAATGCATTGTCTCCGATCAGCACCAGAATAGTACCCAGTGGCAGAAGAAAACCATTTCAGCAATTAGCAAAGCAGGGTTTAACTGAAATGGAAATTGACCTACAAATACAGAATCACTACACTTTAGTGTGTCTTGTGAAGTGCTTTGCAATGTTTCAACAATATAAGGCGCTACATCAAATGCAAGAATTATTATTCTAAATTAGAATGATGAGTGTGTAGGTTTGATTCTTTTAATAGTAATTTGAAATATTAAATTTATAGAGCAAGAGCCAAAAACTTTAACTAGGCCCATTACCAACCTTCAAATATCAGACATCTGAATAAAGCAGATTGGTTCGCTGTGAGAGAGAGAACCAATGCACATAAAGAAGGAAAATAGTTCACATAATTTTGTTTCAGAAACAGTGAACAGTTGATAGTTTGCATGTTCTATGTCTAGTATAAAAAGACTGTACAGACAATTATTGTTGCAAATTGGAGCTGAATAGATAACATTTGGAAATAATTATTTAGCTCTTTGTATGGGATTCTAACTTCATTATAATAATACAGGAAGTGTCTAATTACTTACATTTATTTGGGGATATCAAACTTTTTAAAGAGACAAAAAGTTCCTCACCTATTGTTAATGAATTCCCCATAAGGCAATACAGAAAAAGCTGAGCACAGTGACCTTTTTGCACAGATAAGAACGATCCTGAAAAATCAAGAAGATCATATGTCAGTTCACAATTACATTCAAGACTGTACATGGCAGAAACCCAAAAAATCCATCAGTTTACACAATCCTTCCATGTCATAATATTGATACTTAGCAAAGGTTTCACTGGGAATAGGCTGCAAGAAACACAGAATACAACAACATTACATTTATAGAGCGCCTTTCACGTCGGGAGGATGTCTCAAAGCACTGTACAGTCAGATCTCGGGACCCAAACATGGGGGAGGGGTGGTGTAGGGGTGAGGGAAGGCAGAGAGGTGGGAGGAAGACCAAAGGGATGGTCGAAGAGAAGGGTCTTGAGACCGGCCTTGAATACTTGTATTTCATGATGACCCGACTACAATATAATCCACTCGTTGGTTCAATACACATGGTTCACAACAAGGTTATACCATGCATATATTTTATACTCCATGGTCAGAAAGGCCCCACCAATGAATTTATTTTAAAATATATCTGCAGTCAGGTCTTAGCCTGCATAAATTGAGTATCTAATCCTGTGTATAATTCCTGAAATACAAATTGCCAGAAGTACTTTACAGTATTTTGTTTCAAGACAAGCTCAGGCCAGTTTCACTTTGGAAGAGAGCACAGAATAAAAAAGACTGCATGTTCTTATTGCCTGGAGTGTCGATGTCAACTTGAAAATGGGTTGCAAATTAAACATTCCTGATTGATCAATACTGACAAAATGATTTAGAACTTCTACAAACATAGGCTTGCGTAAATCATCTAACTGCCAGATACCCAACATTTAACATAATATTGGTATTTAACATCTTAAAAGTTCTTACAGTAGGCCAAACTCTCCTCATTTCTAGTTTTTTATGGAACTAGCTAACTTTGGTTACATTGCATGACAATAACGACACACAAAGTTAAGACCAATGATAATACATACTCCTAAATAAATTTTAACAACCACATTTAAACAGGATACAGCGCAGCGAAAACACATTCTGATAAGCAATTACCTGCTGTTTCTGGTGTCATATTGGCGCATGTTTTTGATAAAGTGAACTTTCTTTGTGTTTTTTGGATGAGGAGATCCTGATGATGTTCTAGATCTGTGAAAATGGAAAATAGCTTTGGTGAACTAACAATACCAAATTACAATGAATGGAGTAGCACTCTTTCAGAATTAGAAATTACCAGTCATTTAAATAACACTTGCGGACGAAACATTCCCTCATCCTTCAAAATATCCAGTAAAAATCTACTAGATTAGACACCTTCTACACATAGATTCAACCATAACACATGTTAACAGACTTTTCCCCAGCAATTGTTTTCAGGTTCAGACAATCTTATTTGACCTTTGTACATCTGAATCTTCTTTCTAGGAAGCAGTGATCCACTGACCTACTTTTCTGTGATCTAGTTTGGTGTATTTTTGTTAATTCCACTGGACACAAGAAAAATGCTTTAGAATTGACCATATAAAATTGGTCACTTCAATCCACGACTGTTTGTTAGAAGTGGGAAACTGGCCTGTCAAAGGCTGCAATCAAAAAACAGCCTGAGTACAAGCCTGAAAACACTACTAAAAAAAAATCAATGAAAGTGGGGTGCAAATCTGGAGGTTCTTTCTTGCTTTGATTAAAGATTAAACTGTAATAAAAGGTTAAACTTGCAAGTCTACTTTCCAACAGAACAAAGCAACTGAATTTGACATCAATCAGTTGGCAGCCCGAGTTATTCCACTTGTTTACTGTAAATGCTAATTATATTTATAAAGATATCTAAAACACAGTTGAGTACTTTTCTAAAAATCCAGCTTTTTTTAAAAAAGAGAACTCTAAGTACATCAATCAGGCTTCATGAACTGAGGAAGCAGTTTACCCCACTATCGTCAACTATCGCAAATAACAAAAGTCACCTTTCAGGAAATCGAAGAAGAAATGTTCTCAATGTTGTTCCTGTATTGTTTATTTCCACAATACTTACATAACATGCACATATGCTACTTGAAAGTAAATTAAATTTAGCCCTCCAAGAATGACCTTGAATTCCAGTGAAGCTTTTATGTAATCATGACCATATGGTATTTGCTGTTTACTCTCCAGCCGAGCAATAACCCGAAGACATAACCTTTTTCAACAAATCCTCTAGAGGAATCTATTCAGCAGTCTTTCCCATTTGGGCGTTTTTAAACTCGTACAATTGTGAACTTTCTGCATAAAGTTGTGACACGATGGCATTTAGTCAGTCACTCTTATTGCGTGACAAATCTAAGAAATGATCTTAAGGACAAAGAGGCCAAACCGGACCATTCCAGAATAAGGAATACCTAAGACCTGCACTTCAATTATTTCCATACAGTGGTTGGGGTCCCCAGTGGGAAATTCATCAATAGTATTTCTGTGCTGGATTCACCAGCCTCAGATTCATGGTTCAACTAAGGTTCATCTCTACAACATCTCTGCTTTTGTCCACATCGTTTAATCTTCCTTACTCCGCTCAATGCTCTCTAATGTATTTCTAAAGTGGTTTGAGATTTATCCCAGATGAAAGGAGCTGAATGTTATTATTCCCACTGTAATAATTTGACAGCCAATGTTTAATACATTTCAATTAACTAGGTACTCCTGAACAGAACGGCTTAAATGAACCATATTCTAGATTTACGTCAAAACAAAGGTCAGGAATCCTTTGCAGTATCAGGCACAACTCAAAATAAGCTAATAGAAATACTACTTTATAGAATAAAAATGACTGGCATCGTTACCCAACAGTGAATGAATGAAACAACGATAAGACTGTTCAATTTGCTATCATATTTAAGGCAACACAATTGCTACTTTATCGACACCGTATATTTAAAAAGTGAAGAGCCATTCTGAAATCACCACAAAATAGTGTTTCAATTCCTCTTTTGCCGTGCTGGTCTTTGGGAACACGGCAGCAGATTTTGCACAGAATCTCATCTCCACTGACATTGAGTGTGTCTAAGAAACAGTGTGCATGGAGTCGAGGAGATCTGAGAGCAGTTCCATACCACGCGACTGCAGTGGGGTTTGTACACAAAACGTCAGCTTCCAAGCTCTGTCTGTTCAGCAAGTTGTAAGCATAAAACTTAAAAGAATCCTACTTGCATATTTAACATTCATTTCTAATCATATTTTGCAAAGCACCTCAAGATGTCTATTTTATGCGAAAAATGCTGTATGTAATTATCGTACCAGTGCCACAATCATGCAAAGTTGCGTGTTTGGAATTTAGTATACGACTTGCTCAGCAGAATTAATTTCTCTTCAAGTCAAAAGGACAATGGTGATTAAAACCTTTGTTAGTGCTCTAATGTACGAAATCCTGCTATCATTTCTATCCAATCCCTTTTAACTGATTGCAATCTTTCACTTATCTATTGGTTTCTCTCAACATGTCTGTGTCAATCTAGCTTGTACACGTTCATGCTAATGCTCCTGTATCACAGTCCAGTTTCTCTGAAGCGATCTCCTCGATGTGAACACTACTAACCTGCACACATAATGATAAGACAACAATCCACGGAATCAGAAGAGATTGAAGGAAAATACTAATCCTAAAAAAGGCCTTGTAATTTTTTGTTTGAGGTATGAATTGGATCGTTCATGACTTACATTCGCCTACGTTCATGGCACATTTATTTTCTGTAAACCACTTCATCCACGTGTGCATCTTCCATTTACATTTTCTTTCAATGATGTGCAGTGATTTGCAATCGGTTCAACAGCTCTGTTAAAATTACTCATATCACAAGGAGAGCACAATGTCAACAATATTAATCTGTCTCTTTGATAACCACCCAAAGAAAAGGAAGCCTGAACTGAAGAAATATATAAAGGTAAAATATCACGGCTCATATGACACAAAAGGAATAACTGGCAAGGATCACTGGAACAAAAAATAAATCACTTGAGTTCATAAAACACACACTCAATGTCACACAATTCTTTTTGTTATCCAACTAAGAATAAGCTTTTGTTTATTGTGAAGTATTTTGCAAGGTTATCAATGTACTCCATGAATTATTTTTAAGGATTCTATCAAATGCATAATATATGAACTCAGCCACACAAAATTTACAAAAGTTTTTACGTGCACAAAAGTTTCTACTTCTATATTTAAATAGTTGATTTGTATATGTTGTACAAAATTAGATCAGTTGATAGCAACTTGGGAACAGAAGGCTGTAATTTCAAGCTCCACATTAAAATAATAATAAAATGAATTAAACTAAGGATTTAGAATAAAATTGCCTTTGAATGAAGAGTTACATCAAAGAGTCATTTTGCTAAAGGGCCTTAAAGATCCCATTACACCATTTCAAAGGAGAATAGGGAATTCCTACCAGTGTCTTGATCACTCTTCCAAAATAATACATTAATTAGCCATATATCATGTTTGCTGCTGGTATGGGGGCCTATAAGCTCTGTGCATTCATGGGGTCAGGTACAGAATCAGGTTGCTAGCATCACAAACCATCTCTCGCTATACAAGCCAGTGCCATCAAAACAGGAACCATCTGCATGGAGACAGGATACATATAGTTATATTCCCTTACAGTCTTCTCAATCAAAAATAGTTTGTCCCCAGTATGAAGACAAATTAGCCTATTATCTTTTTTTAGGAAAACAAAATGCAGCCGGATAGAAGTATAATCATAAATTACTTATCAAACAACACACAAGATCGGATTTAAATAGCAGCCAATCAACTAAGTGTCAATTTTCTAGTGAGAGGCGAGATGGAAAAACATAGGTTATTTGCAAAACCAAAACTCGATTAACCTATCATTATCAAATGATGATCACCAACTACACGTTTCTTTAAATAATTTCTGAATGTAAAATTCCTCTGCAAAAGCATATTTGCAGGTTAAGTATTCAGGTATTTGATGATTCAACAACAGCCTGGATTTTAAAGGTTACATTAGCAGAAAACATACTTGGTCTAAATTCAAAAGTCTTCAATGGATTAAATCAGTAGGCAGCACTGTATATTTAAAGCATTCGGCATTGAAAAAATAAAGAAGTTTGCTCATCACAGGCTACAACCTTTAAAGGCAAATATACGTCTCAAGAGTAGCCAAGCTTCAAACAATGTCAGTGTTGTCAGGCTAATGCAGATCAAGTTTAAGAACGTAGGAGTGAATACAGTAGAATTATTGTATTCACAATGAATACCTGAGTTGATTTTGGCAAAGACAGAGCTGATCACTTGACGTTTCGAAAGAGGACTATTTGAAGGGCTCCTTCAAACAACAGTTGCCTGAGATGCTACATACCTTGATAATAATAATCCTTGCATTTGATATAGCGCCTTATCACGTCTTCACGAGACATCTCCAAGCGACAAGTGAAAAGAATACGTCAATCTGACAGAAAGGCCACTTAATGAAAATACTGCAGATGCTGGAATTCTGAATACAAAAAAAAAGTCGCTGGGAAGCGAGTCAAGGTCGTGGACCCGAAACGTCGACTCGCGTTCCTCTCTCCATAGATGCTGCCTGACCTGCTGCGTGTCCCCAGCGACTTCTGCTTTTGTTTCAGAAACACCCACTTACACTGGAGGAGCCCAGACCAGCCCGAGCTCGCGTGGGTCCCTTTAACATAAACAAACCGCTGTCCAGCCGATCAGCTACATACACACAGCCCCCACCACAACACCCCCCAAACCCCCCCACAGCCCCCACCACAACACCCCCCACAACACCCCCACAGCCCCCACCAAATCCCCACCACAGCCCCACCACAACACCCCCCAAACCCCCACCACAGCCCCCACCACAACACCCCCCCACCCCACCACAGCCCCCACCACAACACCCCCAAACCCCCACCACAGCCCCCACCACAACACCCCCAAACCCCACCACAGCCCCCACCACAACACCCCCCAAACCCCCACCACAGCCCCCACCACAACACCCCCCAAACCCCACCACAGCCCCCACCACAACACCCCCCCACCCCACCACAGCCCCCACCACAACACCCCCCAAACCCCACCACAGCCCCCACCACAACACCCCCCAAACCCCCACCACAGCCCCCACCACAACACCCCCCAAACCCCCACCACAGCCCCCACCACAACACCCCCCAAACCCCCACCACAGCCCCCACACCAAACCCCCCCCAACACCCCCCAAAGCCCCCACCCCAACACAACCCCTAAACCCCCCCACCCCAGCCCCCACCCCAACACTCTCCACCGCAGCCCCCCACCCCCACCCAACACCCCCCACAACCGCCAAACGCCCCACCACAACACCCCCCCCCACCCCACCACAATCCCCACCCCCATAGCCCGCACCACAATCCCTACCCCACCACCCACAACCCCCCCAGCACAGCCCCCACCACCGCAACCTCCAAACCCCCCACCACACCCCCCACCCCCCTCGGGGGCTGACTATCCCGGGGATTAACAACAACCCCGCGCCGGTCTGACCTGACAGGACAGCCGGGGGGGGGGGGAGAGGCTGCCGAGACCCGAGTGACTGTTTGACAACGATGACAAACCCACCTCTGCTTCTGCAGGTCCAGGCCGAGGGGACCGGCCGCCTGTGCGGGCGACAGCAGCCCCGGAGCCGCGCTCTTGAGGAGCGGAGTCCCCGTCCCCGTCGTCCCCGTCGTCCCCGCCGCTCCCGCCGCCCCGGGGGCCTCGCAGTTCCCCTCGGCGGCCCCCTGGGCCTGGGCCTGGGCCTGGGCGCACAGGCTCGCGTCCCTGGGAAGCACGAAGACGGGGCCGGCGGCGTACGCGGGGGCCGGGGCAGGCCCGGGCCGGGGCGTCTGCGTCTGCGTCACCGCCGCGCCGCTCGGGACGGCCGAGATGCAGCGGACGCAGCCCAGGCCGACCGAGGCCAACCCGTCGTCGAGCGGCGGCTCCGGCTCGGCGAACCCGTTGGTGACGTCCAGGGGCAGGCGGCCGTCCAGCGAGATGTTGCTGAGGAAGTGCAGGGCGGCCTGTCTCCGCCGGGAATCGCTGCGTTTCCTCGCTGACTGCTGCTGCTGTGGCGGTTGTGGCGGCGGCGGTTCCCCTCTGGCGGCGGCGCCGTGTCTGAGGCCCGGGAAGCGGTGCGCGCTGCCGTGACCGCACGCGGCGGCGGCCATCGTCCGGAATGAAGAGCAGCGGCGCCGCTCTCGGTTTGGGGGAGGGGGGAGGGGGGGAGGGGAGGGGGGGCGCCGCGCGGCCCCGCCCTCAGCGCGCGCTTCGTTCGTCCCCTCCCACCGCCACCACCCATTGGCTCGTTCTCACCGCGCTCGGTCCCATCTCCTGCCCCCGATTGGTTCCCGAACCTGCCACTCACCGCCACTCCGCTGCTCGGATTGGCCGAACGTCTCTCCACCTGTGTTTTGTGTTTAACTCCTGGACTTTTCCTTCTTTATAATAATAATAATGAGAATATTAATAATAATAATCGTTGCATTTGATATAGCGCTTTTCACGTCGGGAGGACGTCCCAAAGCGCTTCACAGAACACACTGTAAAGTGAATTGACTGTATATTTATGGGCGAACGCGGCAGCCAATTGCGCACAGCAATGTCCCACAAACAGTCGTAGATTGAAAATGACCAATTTATTATTGTTTTTGGTTTTGGAGGGATTATTATTAGGCTCTGTGTGGAGTAAGGAAACTTGCCCAAGGTTTCGCCCTCTGCCTGGAATTGAACTCAGGTCTCTCACTTGCAAAGCGAGTGCTCTAACCACTGAGCAACAGGACCCCAATTGCAATTGCAGTTAATTCCTGGACTTTTCCTTCTTTATAATAATAATAATGATAATAATAATAATAATCCTTGCATTTGCTATAGCGCCTCATCACATCTTCGAGACGTCTCAAAGCGCTTCACAGAATATACTGTAAAGTGAATTGACTGTATATTTTGTGGGCGATGCAAGGCGGCCAATTGCGCACAGCAGCGTCCTCACAAACAAACCCGGATTGAGTGACTATATTATTATTTTTAATTTTTTTTATTAATGTTTATTTTTTTATTGAAGGAATTATTAACCCCAGGAAAGTGATCCGCCAATCAACTAACAAACAGATTCCTACTTACTGCTAGGTAAACACAGGCGTGAGGAGTAAGGAAACTTGCCCAACGTTTCACCCTGACAGGAATCAAACCCAGGTCTTTTGCTTGCGAGGAGGGTGCTCTGACCACTGAGCTACAGGATTCCACTTTCTTTGCAACACCTTCATTTCTCTCTGCTACCTCTGCCTTGCCCTCTATTCTTGCATACATTGGATTAGGCAGCACATTTCCCTCCGTAGTCCAGGGTTATTAAGGCAAAACGAGTTTGAAGGTGCGGAGGGAGAGATGGTTAGGGGCTGGAATGGGAGTGGGAGATGGGGAGGCTGTAGCAGATAGAAGGGCAGAGGCAGCTGAGAGGATCCCCTCGACTTTGGTTTTGAGGAAATCCAGCATTGCCTCGTGGTTGGCATTGGAAGAGAGGATGGGCTAGGCATACGAGGGTGGGCGGAGGAGTTGGTTGGTGATGGAGAAGAGGAGCCTGGAATTGTCCTTGGCCTCCGAGATTGTCTTGGAGTAGAAAGACGATTTAACAGAGGCGAGGACGGAGCAGTAAGATTTGATAAGGTCCAGCCAGATCTGCTGACGGACTATTAAGTTGGATTTGAGTCAGGTGCGTTCAGTGGCACACACTTGTGCCTTAAAGGAGTGGAGGTTGCTGGTGTACCAGGGTGACTTTCGTGAGTAGGAGACAATTTGGGCAGTGAGGGGAGCAAGGGCATCGAGAATGGTGGAAAGGGAGCTGTGGAGGAGAGTGGCCAAGGCGGAGGCAGCCCAGAGGCAGAGGAGTTTAGATGACTCCAAGACAGCGGAGATGGAGGGGGGAGGGGAGATTTTTTTCTGGGGCGGTAGGAGATGGAGGTGGGTTGGGTGGTGGTGGGGAGAGAGATTGAGGAGTTAAGGGAGATGAAATAATGGTCTGAGGTGGGTGGTGGAGTGGATGTGGAGGGAGAGGTTGAGGGAGGAGAGGAGGGAACAGTAGTCAGCAGAGGTAGCAAGGAGGGGTTGAAGTGAAGTGAAGGAAAATCTGATGAGGAGGCATTCGGAGCAGAGGGAGAGGGAAGATAGGAGGGTGGAGATGTTGGGGAGGAAGGTGGGGGAGGGCTTGGGGGGCGCGATAGATAAGGAGAATTTTGAGTGAAAGGTTGGAGGGGTGATAAAGGGTAAGGTGCTCAAAGGAGGGGAAGGTTCCAGAAGAGTAAGGGGATAGACCTAGTGGGGACCGGGAGATGAGAGCCACCCCACTACCACGAAGGTTAGGTTAAGTGTGATGGAAAGTGCAACCGGGTGATGTGGTTTCTGTCAAAGGGAACGTGTTGTCTAGAGTGATCCAGGTTTCAGTGAGGGCGAGAATGTCGATGTTTTCATCGACAGTGAGGACTTGGATGGTAAGTGTTTTGTTGGAGACGTAGTGGACATTTTACAGGCCAATGCGGAGGGGACAGTTGGTGGTGGAATGTGGGGGTGAGGGTGGGAGGATTGACAGGGAGGGTGGGGAAGTGGATGAGGAAAGAAAGGTCGGCCCGCAGGGTCAGGGACCGATGGGCCTTGCGGTGAGAATGGGGGATGGGGCAGCCAGCGGCGACTCCCACGGTGGACCCGAAGGAGGATTTGCAGGCTGGAGCAGAGGGAGGCTTTGGGATGGTCAAGCAGGGATAGGAGTCAGGGAGGATAGTGGGAGAGGAGGACAGAGTGGGAGTAATGGAGAGAAGAGGACAGGGATGGGATCATTTTGGGGAAGCAGCTCGGGTTGGTGATGGTAACCAAAATGTGCACGCCGAGACTAAGAGCGAACAGGGTTGGCGGGGGTGGGGGGGTGTCAGAGTGGCAGGGTTAGCAAGGGGAGGGGGGGACAGTGCTTTACTCCCAGTGAGTCCAGGCTCAGAAATTCAAAAGTGGTGGGCGGATGTGATGTCACACGACAACCGATGTCAGGTTGGACGTTCACCAGGAGAGTCAGCAATGGCCGCGACGGCATTAAAATCCAAGTACTTCATAGAACTCCATTTGAGTTGCCAGGCTTCGATTCATGTTTAAATAGCGCCTTTCAAGTCAGGAGGATATCTGAAAACACTTCAAAGGTTGACTGGAGGCACGGGCACACTGGGAATTTTTTTTTGGTGGGGGGTTGGGGGAAGTGGTCAAGAGCGTGGGCGAAAAGATAGAGGGAGAAGGGGACAAGCGAAGGTACTGCTGGATGGAGTTGGGAGAGCAAGAGCACAACCAATCATACAAAGCACATCAGATTGAAACGTCTATTTGAATCTTCATTTGGTCCTGCTATTTTTCAATGCAGTAAAACTGGATTTTTAAATTGATTCAAGGGCTGTATAATATATTTTTGACAGTAAAACATGTGGTTTCAGACCGAAGAGATTCTGCATGTGGGAAAGCGATTTTCACTGATAGCCATTTGATGTCAGTGACTGATGTTATGAGTGAGCGGTGGAACACAAAGTAATGGTCTAACGCATGCTTATACATGAAAACATTCCTTAAATTCAGAATAAATCTACTTGATGGCAAGCCTTAATTGATAAGGTTTTGCCCCCGTAATTGCAGTTGTGACCTTCACATTCTTAGTTCACTTCTGCAACCCTGGGGTCAATGATTCACTGCTGTAGTCCTGAACTACAGTCAATATTTGTGTAATAGGATACTGACAGTTTAAACTGATGGTTTCTAAGACTGAAGTCAATAGCTAAATCATTTACTGATAGAGACGTCGTCAGAATTAAGTCATAATGGAAGTTTTCTGTTTTGACACTATTCAAACTGTGTTTCTTTACTTTCAGCAATAGATTGACTATGGAAATGAAGCTAACATTTTAGCAACTAGATGAAATACGGGTTGGAGGCAATAAGGAAGATGGAAAAGGAGGCATGCTTCAGAGGAAAATGAACAGCATATTTCACCCTTGAATCACTTACAATCAGCTGTGTGAAGAGGTCTTTGGGCTGTCCTCCTGACTCTATATCACATGTAAGAATTATTATTGTTATTTATTGGAGTCTTGGAAAAATCAAGTAATAAGTCTGATTTATACAGAGATTTACTTCATCATAGTGAAAATAAACCTCCATTAAAGAACAAAAAACATTCCAAATTGGTCATTCACTTTGTGGCTATTTGTTGGATGTTTCTGTATCCAAACTGGTTCACCTGCAGACATACAGTCACTAGACTTGACAGTAAATCCTGTGAAGACACTTTGATGAGGCACTCTATAAAATACAAGGATAATTATTATTATTAGATACTTGAGAATATTCAGTGTGTATCTCAAAATATTCTGCCGTATGTCTGCCCTCTAGGCACTGTGTGATCCAGAAATATGTTAAGAAAACGGAAACAGGAAGAATATAATTAGGAACATTTAATGTTTTAGATTTTAATACATTTTCGCACAGGTCTTGTAAACAATCACTGTTTGTTCTGGTTATAAAGTTCAATGAACAAATCCCTAAATGTGACAATCGAAATGGGAAAAGAAAATGTCATTTCAGATGGCTGTTTAGATGTGAAATAGATTGCGATGTCTATACGCCGGTAAGTGTGCTAACATTGACGGTGCCTTGGCTGTTTGGTGAGTAATGGTGTCTGATTTTCTTGAGCTGACCCAGGTGCAGTGTGAACAAAGAAAAATGCATGAAAACAACTGACCTGAATTTCACAATTGCAAAGGCAGAGATCAACGACAGCTCTGTGCTCTCTTACAGCCCCGTGCTAAAGTCTTTTGTTATGGAAACAGATAAGAATGTTTCTCACGTGAAGGCCATGTTTAGAAATTATTGAAAGAGGCTAATATACTCGCACTAATTACATGTTAAATCTCAACAGCTGTTGCATTTACTCGCTGTAGTATGTACTCCATTCACATTGGGGAATGAATTGTAAATGCCAAATGGCTATAACTTGTGCATCTATTTACACTGCTACAATTCACATTAGGGGTTGAATCAGATTTTTTCACTTGTCCTTTTACCTCTAAGGGCTGGTAGTTGTTAGCTGATCTCTGATAGTTGTCAGAGGTGCCATCCTTTGGATGAGACATTAAAACTGAGGTTGTTGTTGTTGTTGTTGTTCTGCATTACTGTTAAGGCATACATTTCGCCACAAAATATACAGCCAATTCACTTTACAGTATATTGTGTGAAGCGCTTTGAGACGTATCAAAGACGTGATAAGATGCTATATCAAATGCAAGGATTATTATTATCATATCAAATTCAACGATTATTATTATATACATTAAAAATCCTATGGCACTATTTGAAAAGAGAAGGGAATTTCTCCTGGTATCCTGGCCAACAATTGGCCAGGTTTCTCCTGGTATCCTGGCCAACAAACAGAAAAATAATTGGTTAAAAATAATTCACCCACTGGCTGTTTGCAGGTACAGTAGTATACAAATTGGCCGTCATATTCGCTTGCAAATACGGAAATCCTGTGAAGCACTTTGAGACATTTTGCTGATGAAATGCAATGTAATTGCTATTCTAGCTGCTATTGGTAACCTTAAAGGCCCTCCACGGTTTTGCTCCCCCCGACCTCATAACCCCATATCAGCGTGTCCGCTCCCTCCGCACTGCGGACACCGGCCTGCTTCAGGCCCTCCGCACTTCCCAACCCACCATTGGTGAACGGGCATTCAGCATCTCTTCCCCACACTCTGGAATTCTATCCCGTAATCCCTCCGCCTCATCCGCTCTCTTGCCTCTTCAAGTCCTATCTGAAGAGCTTCCTCTTCGAATGTGCCTTCAGCCACCCTCCCACTCCAGCCCCCCTGCCTTCCTCCCCTTCTGATCCCAATTCCCCAAACTCCTGATTGTCTAGCACCCTGGGATGTTTTTCTGACATGAAGGGCACTATACAAGTGTAATTTGTTGTTGTTGTTGTTGTTAACTTCCTTCAATTCATGGAAAGTCTTCAGTCTTCACCTTAGCAGTCTTTGAAATAAATGTCTTCTTCAGTTTGGTCTGGAAGATAAAACATACGACGAAGATATAGTAACCAAATTCTGTAACATACAAGGTCACTGAATACTAATTCACAGCTCTATTGGTATTTCCTCATCAATAACTATAAGTCTTGACAGAACACTTCCTTCAAAACATTACCTGCAGACAATTTAAGGTGAGTAAATTCATCTTTTTGCGACCCAATGATGAGGTGACCAATTGTACCAATTGAGGTCAAACTGCCGGGTTGTGCACGGGCATGCCTTTCCCCCCCTCGACTCGTATTTTCTCTCCTTCGCCACTCAAGACACGGACACCATGGGCACCAACCGGCCCTACTATTGGCAACCATATGAATTGTGTCGGGCAGCTGTACAAAGTTATTCTCCATTTTGTCCACTGGGTGGCAGGGAGCTAAACCATTATTACCTACAGGTACAGTATTGTCATGGAATTTATGAGGACACCATCTCAGGGATGTGAAACACTGAAGGCAAGGAGATTAAAAACGCTCACAGCCTAATAACTTTGGTGTTAAAAACTGGGCGGAGAAATTCCACCTGGTAACTTTGAGCTCATTGCCTTGCTCAGAACTGAGGGAGCGGTGCATTGTCGGAGGCGCTGTCCTTCAGATAAGACGTTAATCCAAGGTTCCGTCTGTCTGTTCAGGTGGGGTTAAACTTAAAGTTCACATTAAAAAAATAGAAGGGAGTTCCTGGCCAACATTCCTCCAGACACAATTGGTCATTCACTTCATGGCTATATGCAGGATATTGCCCTGGGCAAATTGGCTGCTACGTTTCACCTACAAAACACAGTCATTAAATTCTATAGCTTCCCTGGAGCTCTTTGAGTCATTTCAATAACACCATGTGGCACAATGTCAAAAATGCAAGGATTATTGTTGTTCTTTTTTTTAAGCATTTCGAGTGTCCTAGAATTTGGTAATGTCTTAATTGGTAAAGTTTTAAATACAGTCTTAACTTTCAAGTCGGTTTTCTTCAAGTTCTTTTAAGAATCTCAGATAAACGGTTTCAAAATTAAGACTGAACTTCAACAATTTTGCCAAATTCTGGTCACTCGAAAACGCTGAGAAAATAGAGCAAGTCTAGACCCAGGTGAAATTTCTCTCCACATTATTTCAAAAAGTTGTAATACAAATTACTTGCCTTGGATTTTTTTTTACAGGCTACTGATATGAACTTTCTTTACATTCCCACCTTCAGGTTGGCCTGAAGACCTCCCTCTTCGACCATGCCTAAGGTCAGCTCCCCCCTCCCCCTGGCTCGATGTTGTGCTCCGCCACTGTCAAGTGCTCTGGGACTCTACCCTGCGTAAGGAGGGCTATATAAATGCAAGTTGTTGTTGTTGTTGTTGTTGATTTCGTCATGCCATTGAATTACAGATCCTGACCTACAGCAGTGCATCTGTTCTGGAGCCTTAGATTACTTGCGTGATTTAAGCCTAATCAATCCTTACCTCTCGAGAGTTAAATCTGGGAAGCTGGATAGGCTGCTGTCCAGAATTTCTGTGCTGGGTTGTGTGGAATGTGTGGAGATTGGTTCTGATTTGGGTCTTTTGGGCCTTCGTCCTCTCTTGTATGATGCTATAAATAAAAATAGTTATAAGGATGCAGGGAAAGAGGCCATGTAAATCTTCAGAACTTTTTTCCTTGTCTCAGAGTTTTAAATAAATGCTCTGCCTGCTCCTTGCCTGAAAGGGGCAAATTACCCTGGGTTGAGGTTGCCACAGGTGTTGGCTATTCTCCAGTGCTTTGTACAACTGGTTATTCTTCATTTGCGATGTTGTGCTACAGCCAGCATTAGTGGACTATGCAGTGTGTGTATGCGTGTGTGTCTGTATATATGGGAAAGGCGGAAGTTGGATCACAACCAAATCCCAATGATGCCTTCACCTGGGGCACACATGATTGGTTTGGACGAACAAGACCTTTCAGCCCAATGTCCTGGCCTCCACCACTCTTCCTGACAACCTGTTCCAGTTGTTAATTTCTGAGTAAAGGAACCCTTCCCGGTGTCTGTCCTAAAATTGCTGTTTGTCCCAAAATACACAGTCACTACATTTTCCAGTAAATCCTGTCATGTGTTTTGAGACACCTCGACATTGTGATAAGGTGCTATATCGAACACAAAGATTATTATAATAAACTTCTTTAATGTTTCTTTATAACTTAATTTCCTGAAATGTTCCTGAAATTATCTTTGTTGCTATCTTCTGAAGGGCAGCTATGTCCTCGATAAAGGATTTCTCACCAGAATATATCGTATTGTACACCTTTACCAGAATCTACAACATGTAAATAAACTTGCAAATACTAAATAAATATGCTAATCAAAGCTATAAATGGCATGGATCTGTTTTTAGTTCCAGAACAGAATTCCATTAGGACTTCAACCTCCATTATAATATTTTTGAATGTAAATAAAATCATTGCTTACCCACACACCACATTTCCATTCACTGAATGTGCTGCTAATACATTTTAGTTCACGTTTAGATTAGTTTAAACTTTATATTTACATTCTTCAGCATCCCTTCCTTTTCACAAAGCGATTACAAAGCAATTCACTCTTGTTATGTAATAATAATAAATAATAATCCTTTCATTTAATATAGCACCTTTTCATGTTGTCGAGATGTCTCAAAGCTCTTCACAGGATATACTATAAAGTGGATTAACTGTGTATTTTGTGGGCAAAACATGGCAGACAATTTGCGCACAGCAGTGTCCCACAAACAGCAATAGAGTGAGTGACCAATTATATTTCGGGAATTGTTGACCAGGAGAAACTCCCTTCTCTTTTCGAATAGTATCCTGGAATCTTTAACGTCCACGTGAACAGGCAGATGGGACTTCGGTTTAACATCTCATCCGAAGGACAGCACCTCCAATAATGCAACCCCCTCCCTGCCAGCACTGCATTGGAGCGTCAGCTTAGACTATGTGATTCCGGTCCCGATGTGGGGCTTAAACACACAAACTTCTGACTCTGAGGCAAGAGTGCTACCAACCGAGCGAGGCTGAAACACTGATTGTCACACTTGTGGCTTGTAGTTTAACTTTAGGGATTAGGTTTCTTCCCACTTGGCTCCTGTTATTAACTCTGCAAGCCAAAGCCCTAACAAGTAGAATGGTGTTTATGCCTAATACTCTCCAGAATTAGGTAAGCAAAGTGTGTCCCTCCAGCAAGAGAATGCGGATTCCAATCCAGACACGGAAATTCCCATGTATGCAGATGTGGAACTCTCAGTATAGTTTGGATGCTCTTAAGCATAGCCATGGGTTTGGGGGCATGTATCAGACCCCAGATTGACCGTAAATAAATATTTAGTTTTTCTAAGTGCATTTTATTTTTGGATTGAAAGGCACAGCAATGGTAGAGGGTAATCTCTGATCTTTATGACCTGTCATTTAGCTGAAAATCTCATGGTACCCTAATTATATGCAATGTTTGAGTTGCAAAATGACAGTCGGTTTATTTGGAACTAACTTCAAACAAACTCTGTTTGACATGTTTGACGTGGGAAACAAGGTGTATATAAATACCAGCCTAATGACTGCCTCACCCATTCTGCACATAATCAGTGTTAGCAAATTCCATAGTGAAGTTTAAATTTCAGGGCTATGTCTACCCAGGGGCAGACAGGATGGAGGTAACGGATACAGCTATAAATTCAGCACCTTCTTAATCAAGCGAGCCCGTGCTCGAATCTAATAAATAAGAAGTCTCGGCAGCTTTTGTATATTATCTCCAGAGAAAACATTTTCTGAATATGTCAAATGATTAGCTAGACAAACAGATCAATTTCATAGCGAGGCCACACGTCAGATTGAGCAACTTTTGGTCTCTTCACAGAAAACAATCATATATGGAACAAGTGCTTCCGGGGAGACCATTAATAGGTTGTAACAGAATCAAAGGTTTCATGTGGTATTAACTTGGGAGAGAGAGAGGTCCTGGCTGTTTACAGGGGAATAAACTGGTTTATTCTTGATGGTTCAGTTTTTGTGCCAGAATTAAGTGGCAATGACACTCTGAGTGCCCAAATGTCACACTGCATTGAATTGCATTGAATCAGTTTTGTTTAACTACAATTTAGACAGTTACTACACCCCTGAAGCGCTTTCAGATGTTTTCCCAACTTGAAAGCTGGTATATCAAATGCAAGGATTATAATTATTATACTTTGCCGACTGTAAAGTTAGGACCGGCTGCATTGTGCTACTGGAATATTAAAAGTGGCTTTTAAAGAACGTCTGAACTGTTTCATTCTTTAATAAAGTGGTGTTTGCGTGTGTGTGTGTTGGGGGGGTGGAGAGTGGGAGAAGGAAGAAACAGTCTGACAATGGTGTCAGGGATACGTTGGATTTCATTGATCTATTTAATCTCCTGTAATATAGTCCTGTAGCTCAGTGGTTAGAGCATTTGCCTTGCAAGTGAGAGACCTGGCGGGGCAAAACCTTGGGCAAGTTTCCTTACTCGAAACGCCTGATAATAATCCCTCAAGAAAAAAAAACCTAATTATAATTTGATCACTTTAATCCACGACTGTTTGTGGGTCGCTGTTGTGCGCAATTGGCTGCCGCATTTCGCCCACAAAATATACAGTCACTTCACTTTACAGTATATTCTGTGAAGCGATTTGAGACGTCTGAAAGACGTGAAAAGCGCTATATCAAATGCAACAATTATTATTATTATTATTGTTGTATCTCAGTTTAAAAAAAATTAGGAAGAGGGAATACCCTCTGCAGACACTTAACCACAGTCAACCATTTTTTCATCCTTTTCACCATAACCTGGACAGATCTCCTCAGGTCAGCAACTACACTTGTACACAGCTATGTACATCACACAGACAGACACTCCCTCCACTCCTCTTCCCCATTAGATTGCTGGTGTGCTTAGACGATCGAGTAATAGGTGCAAACCTGTTTGTACAAGCTATACACACCCATGCCTACATCCAGTTTTACATTCCCTCATGTAAAAGACATGGCTTGTCTCCATGCCTGCTTTGCCTGTGTTGAACCCAGAATGGATTTAGAGCCATGTTCCTGTAGCACATTGTGGCTGTGACCTAACAAAGTAAGAAATTGTAAATGACTCATATTCATTAAGCAGCTGCCTTATTGAGACCTCAAATCTGTTATGTCCAGCGGTTCTGTGTCTGATTATAATTATTCTGCAGATAACAGTAGAATTGGGTGGTGAATAGAACAATATTCCTCCACGAAAACTCAGTCCTCATAATCTGGGCTGCATTACAGCGCATTCTTACCTGAAGTCCAATAGTGCTGCATTCGTTTCTTTTTCTTTTTTTTGAGTTGTGCCTCACTCTTCTCAGATTCACCCTTCACGCTTTCAGATTTAATCTCTTGGTTTTCTTGCACGTCTTGAAACTCCGTGATCTAATGAGAGAAACAGATAATACGATTAATAATAATCCTTGCATTTCATACAACTCCTATCATGTTGGGAGGACGTCTCAAAGGGCTTCACAGGATTTACTGTAAAGTGTAACGATTGTGTATTTTGCAGGCGATCGCAGCAGGCAATTTCCACACAGCTGCAAAGTGAATGAATAAATATATCTGGAGGATTCATGTCCAGGATATTGGGAAAAACTCCCTTCTCTTTTCCCTTTCTCTTTAGAGCTGTGAGATTTTTAACATCCACCTGAATAGGTAGACGGGATCTTAGTTTAACGTCTCATCTGAAAGACAGCACCTCTAACAATGCAGCACTCCCCCAGCACTGCCTAGATTGTGAGTCCAAAGTCCCATCGTGGGGCTCAAACCCACATCTTTCTGCCTCAGAGACTAGAGTGCCAACAAGTGAAAAAAACTTAAAGCAAACCCGCCGCAAAAAAGATTCTCCCAGAAACTAGTGCTTTTCATTGACTTTTTTTTGCGATTAACAAAGGAATTCAATTACGCATTGTTTCTCTCCACTATTATTTTCTATTCTTATTTTTCATACTCATAATCTGAGCAACATTACAATAATCATGAACCAGGTATTTTAAATACAATCAGGTGGCCTTTATTTTCGAAGGCATCAGTATTCAACATTCATACTGCTAAAGTAAATTGTAACACTTCTAAAATGATTGAGGTTTGTATTTTCTTTTGGTGAGTGTCTGAACCCATCTACATGCCTGAGGGCATCCGGACTGAGAGTTCTACATACGCACATATGTCACTTACATGTGGAAATTTCCACATGTAAGTATCTGGAATGGAATGGAATGGAATGAGCAATCTCTCCCCGGAAAGGCGCTCCCTTCAGTAATGCAGTAAAGTATTGGCTGCAGGTTGGCACAAGTCGAGGCTTGGGGATCCCAGAATGTGTGCGGAGATACAGTTGGAGCTTAACCAGACAAAGGCCATAAGCATTGTCTCGCAAGCTTCCCACTCCCTGTCCAACTAGAAACATCCTAATACCCATTCGAGCTTCGGCTTGCAGTTTTAAAAGAATCCAAGTATCAAAAATCAGGCACAGAATACAAGATGAGACCAGTGACATTATAGCTCAATCTAATCACGCTCAAGAGTAATTCATGTTTTTGTTAATTAATTAATTAATTTGCTAGTTAATTAATTGATTAATGCTCAATCCACAACTGTTTGTGGGTGCAAGTACCTGCTGGGTTTCACCCACCAAAGTCAATTCTCTTATATTACAGTATATTCCTGTAAAGCACTTTGAGACGTCTCCACGACACAATAAGGTGTAATATCAAATGCAAGGATTATTGTTATTAATTTTCACGAGGATTTGATTCATTTGTGGAATTCAACAGTTCCCTTTCTGCAGCTTAATCATTTCACTTTCCAACTTCCTGAAGAATTATTTACTGACCTTGTATGGAGTGGTCTCATACGGGTCTGAAGGCATTTTCAAAATTTGTAGATGAACTTCCACTGATTTAAAAGAAAACATAAAATATTATCACACTATGTTGCATAGAAAATGATTATCTCCCACAGTTTTTCATCCCTACACAGCGCCGTATGACAATGGAAAGTGAAGTTGATGCAAATATTATCCAGAATTTGAAATGAAATATCCTTACCTCGTTGACTCCCAACATTCTCGGCCTTGGGATCTATGGGCCTCAGATTCATTTTCATTCTGGAATCATCTTCTGCTTCCCTGGAGCCAGTTTTGCTGTTATACCGTGCCTGCAAGCAGATCAGCCAATCCTCCATCTCAGCTCATGCAGCATAGTTCACAAATGACAGTATAGTACATCGTACACCATTACTGATAGTGAGCAACAACAATGACAACAACTTGCACGTATATGTATAGCGGCCTTCACACGGGGCAGCATCTCGGAGCGCTTAACAGTGGTGGGGGCCTGACGCCACGGTTTTTGAGGGAAGGGAGGAGCTAACCGTAAGCACGGTCGAAGAGATCAGTCATGATCTAAAAGAGGGGAAGGAGAGGGCAAGGCAGAGGAATTGGGGGAGAGAGTTCCAAAGCTTCGGGGCATTGTGGTTGAAAGCAAAACATGGAATCTTCAACTTTGTCTTTAATGAAGCAGCTTAACCAAAAAGGAATCAGTGCAAAATCTCCCAAAGTATTAAATCGAAACGTGTTAGGGAGTTGGTGCTTCTCAGCTGTCATTATAGACTTGTGTCCCTGGAATGTAACTGTTAATTCAACATTATGGAATTCACCCCATTTACACTGAGAGGCGGATTCCACAGCATCAGGTGCTACAACAGCAGCAACAACAACAATTTACATTTATATGACGCCGTTCAAGCGGGATAGCATCCCGGAGCGCTTGAGGTGCAATAAAGGACTAACCACATGTATGCATGTTCCTGTGCTCATAGTTATGGATACTTTGCAAAATGGAAATCCATCCCACCGCCCCTACCCTCTAAACCTTCCAACCTCACCCTCTGGAACTCCATCCCGGAATCCTTCCACCTCGACCCCTCCCTTGCCTCTTTCAAGGCCTGATTTAAGACTTTCCTCTTTGATCGTGGTTTCGGCCACCCTCCGACCCACCCACTGTCATCCATCCACCCCTTTCACTCCACCCCTCTTGATTCTAACCCTCAGCTTGGATGCAAGCCCTTAACTGTCCAGTGCCTTGGGACATCCTACTGATGAGAAAGGCGCTATATAAATGTCATTTGGTTATTTTGTTGTTGTTGTGTGGTAATCCGTCAGGGTGAAAAACACATGGTCTGTGTGTGCGGGGCATAGCCTGCCTGCGCGGTCAGTGATTATCTCACCCACAGAATAAACAGTCAATTCACTTTACAGTATATTCTGTGAAGCGCTTTGAGATGTCTCAAAGACGTGATAATGCGCTATATCAAATGCAAGGATCATTATTATTACTTTAGCTGTTGGCAGTGCAGTTGCAGGGAAAGCTACGAAACCCATCTCTGGAGGTGGGTAATCGCTGTATCAAAGACAGCAGTGCTCTCCCAATGTACGTATTCCAGTGTTGTCAACAACACTCAGTTACATGTAAGTGGTAGCCTTGTAAAGGGACCCCAAAAAGGCTCAAGATATTAATCTCACAATTTTGAGAACTGTATACCATTTTCCCCCCATCGTTCTCATAAGAAGATATTCAAATATAACGTACAGAAATGAAGGTAATGATAATTCCACAGCTCAGGTATTTTATTTGTTGCAGATCACAGTAACATACCTCATTGTTCAAAGGTTAGGTTAGCTCTGGCACACAGTGTCTTCACTGCAGTTAGATGGTATTCTATCTTTAGGCTTGATAAAGCTAACCTTATGCTTATTGGATTGTTTAGCACTCACCACTTTGGTGTCTGTTTCAAAACAGTACATATTGTTCTGGGATTTTACGTTCAGTGACTTTCCACCCATAAGACATTTCTTGTGTTGTGGCTCTTTCAATCTTGGTTTCTTTGTTTCCGGTTTAAGGAACAATTCATCTTTGCTTGTAGACTGAAGTGACCCCTTATTTTTACTGCAATCTGATAAATCTAGAGGCTTCTCCATAACATCCTCAGCAGTTGGTTCTTCTTTCTTCTTATTGAGATCACCGGTATCATGGTATGCCCCAGTATTTGGATGCTTCATCATTTCTGGTTCTTCTGTGCTGTTTCCATCTTTTCTGCAGGGTGAAAAACAATGCAGTGCATCCCTGTAGCCAAGAAAACATAAGAGATAAGTGGTTGCCCATACAATATGGATCAGTGATCTTACTATTTATTATTTATTATTATGATTAATAAGGAGTACGCGTTTTATTACTTAAAAAACATTAAATATCACATACTTAGAATGGCTCTGCTCTTGGAGTTCTGCACAAGAGTTTGTGGCCTGGTCTTGCTCTGGGCAGCTGGGACATCTTTTGCCCTCGGTTATCAATGCTATTGTTCCATGTAAATGATTAGATATCCTTTGAGGATGCTGGAATCAAAGATCAAACCGAATGCAATATTTAGGTTTCCAACTAAACGTCAGTATGTTATACCGTGCACTATGCTGCTCAGATTTCAATCCAAGTTATTTGAGTTATTATTTGACAAGCCACAGCATGCAGAATGGTTCAACCCCAATAGCTGTTCACCTTTACACTGCATGTAAAGGAAATCGATCCCTGACCAACCACCACCAACGAACAAGAGCACTAACTGAGCTCTGTTAAATAATCAATTGTAAGCTGCTTTAAGAAGGCTAAGAGGGGATCCTGTTGATGTCTACAAATTCCTGGAAGATTTTGAGAGGATGGACAATGAAGGATTATTCTCATTACTTGGTAAATTGGTAACAAGGAGACATAAAGATAGAGTTAAAGGGGAGGTTAGAAGAAACCTTTACATGTTGACGAGTCCTGGAGCACAGAATTATGCAGCTGAGTATAACAACGTCCAAAAAGGAATTGGAGAAATGTTTTAAGATAAAGAATAAATAAGAGCACAGGGAAAGAGCAATGAATTGTGATTAGAGCATATGGCTCTAGTGGATGAACTAGTACCAGTTTAGGCTTGACAGGCAGAATGTCGATCTCCTTTGCTATTATTGTATGTCACATATTTATATGATAGTTTCTATATGCAGCCCAACCTAAATTCACACTAAACAAATTTCATCGATATTATAAATTTGTAATACATTGACATTATAACAACAACAACTTGCACTTATATAGTGCCCTCCATGCAGGGCAGCGTCTCAGAGCGCTTAACAATAGTGGACCCTGACTCTGAGCCGGGGTGGGGTCATAAACACAGTCGAAGAGAAAGGTTTTCAGGCGGGACTTGAAAAAGGGGAGAGAGGGGGCAAGGCGGAGGGATTGAGGGAGAGTGCAATTGTCAAAACAAACAGCTGGCCAAGGACCTTGCATTTAAAAACGTATTGCAACAATATATGTGCATGCTTACCACATCGAAGACGGGTGAATCAGGAAAATGACAATTTGGAGAATGTATAGAGGGAGTGGGGCTTCCTTGAGACAGAAACAGAAATTAGACAATTCAATAAAAGCTTCATATTGACTATAAATATTAATAATAATCTTTGCATTTGATGTAGTGCCTTATCAACGGCTCAGTTGGTAGCGCTCTCGCCTCCGAGTCAGAAGTTTGTGCCCCTCGTTGGGATTTGGAATCACATAGTCTAAGCTGATGCTCCAACGCAGTGCTGGGGGAGCGCTGCATTTCTGGAGGTGCCGTCCGTTTGATGGGATGTTCAACTAAGGTGTTATTCAAAAAGATAAGGGAGTTTCTCTCAGTGTCCTGGCCAACAATTCAAGTAAAAAATGGTCAGTGAGGGCCACTGTGGTGCATAAGTTGACTGCGGTGTTCACCCACAAAACTCACAATAACTGCACTTTATAGTACATGCTGTAAAGCAATTTGGGACAACCTCCCGTATGAAAGGTGCTTTACCAAATGTAAGGATTGTTATTATTTACAGTAAATCCCATAATGCGCTTTGAGACATCTTGATGACTCAATATCAAATGCAAGAATTATTAATTACTGTTGAGCACCTCACAGCCATCATGTGAGGCTAGATCCAACAAATTACCTTCCGTAAAGTGCCTGAGCTCCTGCTCATCCCTTTGATGATTTGACTGTAAACTGAAATTGCTGTTTGAGCTTTGGTTCCTTCTGTAGTGTGAGGAGGAACCAACATGTACATTGGTGTCTGACAAGAAAAGGGTTTCCCAAGACTGAACCTGCTTTTTCCTCTCCCTATGAAGGTAAGCACATTCAGACTTAGTACAACAAAACACAAAAATAAAGAAATCAACTGCTGACAATGATAATTTGGAAGGAACGATAATAAAATATTTTCCCTAGAATCCAAATAATGGATTTACAATTATTTGCTAAAGATAACGAAAACTAAAACTGTCCAGCAGATTTTTTTTTTCTCCCACAGTCTATCCTGTGAACCGCTTTGAGACATCTCAACAATGTGATAAGGCTCTCAGCCTGCTCCACTCCTCACCTGCCCAACCCGCCTTGCCCCACCATCAGCAGTCAAGCCTTTAGCTTCTCCGCCCCCACCCTTTGGAACTCCATCCCACAGTCCCTTCGTCTTGCTCCCTCCCTTCCCTCCTTCAAAACATGTCCCAAGACCCTACTCTTCGACCACGCATTCGGCCACTCTCACATTGGAAGAAGGTCTTCCTACATGTGCGTTATGGGAGGTGCAAGAATTATGCTACAACACAAAAATTCTTCATGGAGAATACTTACATCATCTATGCTGACTCAGTCAATCCCAAATGCAGCAAGCCACCGATTGAAAGAACATTCTCCTCTTATTCTTCTGCCTACAAAATTTATCTTATTTCATATTTTATTTTCTCCCTTGTGTACTTACTCTAAGAAACATTTCAACTTTCTCAGGTCCACTTGAAGCAGTGTGTTCTCTTCTTTCAGTCTATTGATTTCACAATCTGCGAAGAGAAGAAACGAAAAGGAAACTGGGTGAGATCCAGAGGCCTTGCGAGTGAGATTGTTCCCAAAATCTGGAGAAATTGTGACAATTGGTAATGTTTCCAGAGTTCTTACTGAGAAGCGAAATGTGCCGAAAACCTTGAAGTTGGGCGGTTTCAAACTCCTGCTGCTTTTTTCGAGCAAGTTCTTGTGTGACTGTACATCTGTCGCATAATCCTGCTCGCAATCTGTCAGAAACATGTAATCAGCATGTTTTCCATAGAAATATGAGACAAAATAACTTCAGGGTAATAATAACCTAGTGTAGTGGTTTGCGTGCTTGCCTCGCAAGTGAGAGGACCTAGCTTCGATTCCCGGGCTTGGCGAAACTTTAAGCAAGTTTCCTTACTCCCCACGCCTCTGTTTACCTGACAGTAAGTAGGAACCCCGTTGTTAGTCAATTAGCGGATCGCTTTCTAGGCTAATAATCCCTCCAAGAAAAAAAAATGGTCATTCAATCCACGACTGTTTGTGGGACACTGCTGCGTGCAATTGCCTGCTGATTTCGCCCACAAAATACACTTTACAATATATTCTGTGAAGCGGTTTGCCACGTCTCAATGACGTGATAAGTTGCTGTATCAAATGCAAGGATTATTATTATGACCTCACTTAACTTTGGATTTACTAACTACAGTGAAATCCTTTTTAAACATCCACACATTTTAAGGATGGTGCCGGAACCTCAAATTGTTAAGCATACAAATTCTGTGATCTCTATTAAATTCAGACCATTAGTTATGGATTGTACATTAATTGGAAGAAAAAACTCATATAAAAAGTCTTCTTTAAATGCACTAATGTTTAAGGGGGAAATCTCGGCTTGGAAAGGATACCGGAAAAAAAAAAGGAACTCTCTTTGCTCTCACCTATTTTCTAAAATCTTCACATTCTCATTAAGGATCTTCTGCTGTTCTCTCAGCTGATGGTTCTTGGCAAAAAGTTCTTCCAATTGTTGTGAGTCACTGTGTAACACAAAGCTCTTGTTATACCATGGATAAACACAAGATTTGGTTGTTTACTCCTGACATCGCATGGGGTGTAAATCAAAATAATATGGGAATGGATTTTGTGGGGGATTTGTACATATATCATTGGAATTGTCTACCTTGTAGAAAAGAAAATGCAATGTTATAATAATAAATAATAATGATCCTTACGTTTGATAAAGCGCTTTTCATGTCTTCAAGCCATCTCAAAGCGCTTCACAGAATATACTGTAAAGTGAATTGACTGTATGGGCCTCAACTGTTTACATGTATATCAATGACTTAGATGAGGAAATACAGCTTAATGCATCTAAATTCACGGATGATACAAAGCTAGGTGGGAAAGTAAGCTGTGAAGAGGACACAAGGAGGATGCGAAAGAATATAGACAGGTTAAGTGAGTGGGCAACAAAGTGGCAGATGGAGTATAATGTGGGTAAGTGTGAAGTTATTCATCTAGGCAGAAAAAATAGAAAAGCAGATTATTTTCTAGAGGGGAATAGTGTTAGTATTCAGAGGGATTTAGGTGTCCTTGTACACCAATCATAGAAAGTTAGGATGCAGGTACAGCAAGCAATTAGGAAGGCTAATAGCATGTTAGCGTTTATTGCGAAGGGGTCAGAGTACAAGAGTAGGGAAGTCTTATTGCAATTGCATAGGGCCTTGGTGAGACTGTACCTAGAATATTGCATGCAGTTTTGGTCTCCTTATCTAAGAAAGGATATACTTGCCTTAGGGGGGAGAACACCTGACTGTTCAGCACTTCGGGACATCTTCCCAATGTGAAAGGCGCTCTATAAATGTAATTTTGTTGTTTTTGTTGTTGTTGAGGGGGTGAACGTAGGTTCACTAGGTTGGTTCCTGGGATGAAGGGGTTGACCTATGAAGAGAGGTTGAGTAGACTAGGCCTATAATTCTCTAGAATATGGAAGAATTAGAGGTGATCTTATAGAAACCTATAAGATTCTTAAGGGTCTTGACAGTGTAGATAGTGTGAAACCGTTTCCCCTGGTTGGAGAATCTAAAACTAGGGGTCATAGTCTCAGGATTAAAGGTCAGCCCTTTACAACTGAGTTGAGAAAATATTTCTTCACTCAGAGGGTAGGTAATTTATGGAATTCTCTACCCCAGAAGGCTATGGATGCTCAGTCCTTGAACATATTCAAGATTGAGATCGATAGATTTTTAAAAACTAAAGTGATTAAGGGATATGGGGATAGGGCGAGTAAATGGAAATAAGTTAGAAGGTCAGCCATGATCTTATTAAATGGCGAGGCAGGCTTGAGGGGCCAAATGGCCTACTCTTGTTCCTATCTCTTATGTTCTTATGTATACTTATGGGCAAAACATAGCAGGCAATTGCACACAGTAGTGTTCCACAAACAGTCGTGGATTGAGTGTCCAAATTATTATTTTGTTTTTTCTTGAGGGATTATTATCAGATGTGTGGAGTAAGGAAACTTGCCCAAGGTTTTGCCCTGCCAGCAATGTTAGGGTATATTGGAAGAAACAAACATTCAGGGGCAGTTATCTACCATTTCATAGCAATTGGCTGGATAGTCTGGCCTTTGTGTTAAATGAGATTATAACACTCGGGATATTTGTCTCCTATTCTGGTCTCTGCACTTGTATGCCTAGAGATGCAAAGGGTGAAATCCAACCTGTATCTCAATTTACTCCATTTATGCCAATCATTCACCTTTTCATAATCTGTGATCTGTACTGAGCAGAGAAAAACACTCCTGCTTTTGATTTAACTTATCACCTGCTGGATAAAAATGAACTGGTTGGTCCAGCTATTGTGATTTGTTCTGTGGTTTTATGAAAAAGGACCCTGGATCAGACTCAGGTTGATTGGTACCTTTTATAAACTTTTAACAACAATTGTGAAGTTAAAATAATGAGATTTCAGATAATACATAGCTTTTAAAAGGTGGGAGTGCCTACATGACAGTGAATAGAATTCCAGGTTTTGCATTTAGCAGCATAGAATATAAATGCAAGGAAATAGCAAATCTATACAAGACATTGATTAAACTACAGTTAACTGCATGAATTTCAGGGTGGCCCATTACAGGAAGCAGAGATTACAAGGCTATTGTGAGCTATTAACATGGATTATACTGAAGGAGGCATGGTAATCCACAGTTTGATGTATAATTAATGGCCATTTTAGAAAAGAAATATAGGATTCTGTCTGTAATTAATTTGAGAACCAAATTTAACAGTCCTATCTAATGTGGAGCCCAATGGTTAGAGCGCTCGCCTCACAAGCGAGAGACTTGGGTTCGATTTCTGGCAGGGTGAAACGTTAGGCAAATTTCCTCACTCCACATGTAAGAAGGAACCCGGTTGTTAGTCACTTTTCCAGGGATAATAATTCTTTTTAAAAAAAATTGGTCATTCCTTTCCCACCAAATATACAGTCAATTCACTTTACAGTATATTCTGTGAAGAGCTTTGAGACGTCTCGAAGATGTGATAAAGCGCTATATCAAATGCAAGGATTATTATTATTATTTCAGCATGCCTAGCGTTTGGCAAATTCTTGACTACGGCCTTAATTTAAAAAAAATTAATTTTCTGTAAGTCCCCTTATTTCCTGTTAAGTAAGTAACAATATTATCAGAAATGTCGCGATTTTCCACCTATTTTCACAATAGACGAACATTTGGTGAGATGGTGTAAATAGTTATAACCATTCCCCTTCAAATCATTGGATTTGTTTTGTTTGCGTTCTACTTATGGAATGAGGAAAGTTTTACAAATATATGATGTTATTTCACTATCCTTTCAACTTTTGATATCTCAAGAATCTAATCTAACTTCTTATCTCTCTATTCCTGCCAATGGTTCAAAACACGAAGCAACTCAGAGAGCCTCCCAGTATAAAACCAATCAAATTGGGTAGAGATTACAATATGAATCTGTTTTCAAATGTCTTAATGGAGTCCTGTAGCTCAGTGGTTAGAGCACTCACTTTGCAAGCGAGAGACCTGAGTTCAATTCCAGGTCAGGGCGAAACCTTGGGCAAGTTTCCTTACTCCACACAGAGCCTGATAATAATCCCTCCAAAACCAAAAACAATAATAAATTGGTCATTTTCAATCTACGACTGTTTGTGGGACATTGCTGTGCGCAATTGGCTGCCGCGTTCACCCACAAATATACAGTCAATTCAGTTTACAGTATATTCTGTGAAGCGCTTTGAGACGTCTAGAAGACGTGAAAAGCGCTGTATCAAATGCAAGGATTATTATTATTATTATTATTATTAACTGATGGGAGAGAGGATCAAATCATTTTAAAACTTTTAATAATAGTAGTAACAACAACAACAAATTACATTTGATTAGCGCCTTTTATGTCAGGAGGATGTCCCAAGGTGTTAATAATCATATGCATAATCATAAACTCAAGATGAATCCATTCTAAAGCTAACATAAGGTCTTTTACTCACAGACATCTTTCCACATTTAGTTCGGTTAATTTTGCACGCAGCCCTAGTGGAGGGAAACAAAGAAAAAAATCCCTGTTAAAAGCAAAGTAATCATCTCACTCACTGATACCACATTGTTTTCGTTGGGAAAATATGTGTTAGATTAGAACACATGTTCTCGCACAAAAATAATAAGCACTTGTTAAAATAATAAAAATGATAAGCACTTGTTAAACATTTCAAATAAAGGCATAATTTAACAGTGCCTTTTTATATAATGTATCTATAATAATAATAGTCCTTGCATTTAGTACAGAACCTTTCCCATCAGGAAAACGTCTCAAAGTGTTTCACAGGATGTTACTGTGGAGTGACTGTATTTGTAAGTAAATGCGTCAGTCCTTTACGCAGGTCAATGTCTTATAAACATCCATGGTTTTATGTATAATTATGATATACAACAAATGTCTTGAAGAGTTATCAAATCCATTTGATAATTAATTACTGTACCTTGCACTTCCCGGTCATGTATCTCCTTGATCTTTGTCCAGACCTCTGTGAAGGCATCCATGGTTGTTCAGTGTTGTCCTCAAGCAATCACGCTGACTTTCGACTCCATATCTGCAAGAACGTAAATGGATTACATTTCAATGTGGCAGACGTGTGGTGACTGCAGTACACATGCTTGTATCTGGGAAGCAGACAGATTCCTATTGTTAGAAGCCTTCTGCTTATGTTTTCTGAGATCAGAGCTAATTTCTTCACACAATTGAGCACAATTGATCGGGATGTTTAACAGGGAAATAGATAGATGCCTGGTCACTGAAGCAGATTAAGATGTATGGAGAAAAGGCAGGCAAATAGGCTTGAAAGATGATCTGGTAAAACTAGTAGAGCAGGTCTGATGGGCTGAATGGCCTTTTCCTTAGTATCGCTCACAAAATACACAGTCAATCCACTTTATAATATATTCTATGAAGCACTTTGAGACATCTCAATGGCGTAATAAAGCACTATATCAAATGCAAGTATTATTATTATGTTCCTATTTCATCCTCTTTGTGGTGTAGCTTCAACGATCCAATCTAAAATGTCCTAAATGTTACTCCATATCTAACTTGCCAACCAGGAAGCACATGTTAGCACTACAGGGAAGGATTAACACGCTTTTTAAGAAGAAAAGACTTGGTCAGATCTTGTGAAACTCATGCTTTGGAGATGGCTGGCTTTGGGATGTCAGAAACTGAAAAAAACTCGAGCCTAGTTTGCAGCTTGCAACACAAGTTTTAATATTTTATGTTATATCACAACTAAAAGAATAATCATTTGGCATATTAAGTTGCTTAAATGTACCTTAATTACCTTAGTACCTTAGTCATATTTTTAGAGAGAGTGTTGTTAATTGTGTTAATTCCAGTTTATTGTATTTGGAAGCCGACGATAAAAGTACTAAAACTAATTACTCAAAAACTATTTAATGTCAAAAAATACTAGACAACAGCATCCGCACTTTCCAGAAGTATGTGGTTTAGTCACTTCACAGCACATTTCTCCACAGAATCTCTGGGCACAGAGAAAGTGCCCAATTCTCAAACTGTGCGTCATTGGCAAGAACATTAATCCCATTTACACCCAATCTCTGCTCAGTATCTCCTACCAGTTGTCCAGTCTGATCTTGAACATTCATCACTATACCTGAAGGTTGTATATAACGATATTAAGCCACACAGGTGGAACAAACAATCTCCAGTCAGTTTACATGAGAGGTGCAGGAGCTCGTAGTTCCAACAAGACGTGTGGAGTCGAGACTAAAGGAACTATGGCTATAAAGTCAATGAACTTTGCCTCTCTCGTGTTAATGATCTTTCAGGGGTGCAGTGTTGTGTCAGGATTTTTTCGCTGGCTACATAGTACTTGCAAAGCGTATCTTTAAGTGGCATTGACACAATTTAGGTTTACAGGGTAATAAAGTGTTGCATCCGAATGCTGACCTGTTCTGGGGAATTTTAAAGATGATGGTAGCAATGCAAATTGGTTGAAATTTTACAGCATCACTGAACACAAAGTAGCAATCTCCGTGAAGCTTGTATCTTTGAAACTGTTCAAAAGTTGCAGTCCTGTAAAAACTACACAAACTTATATCATAATAATAATCCTTGCATTTCATCTCCCCTCTCGACTCTCCACCCCCTCCTCGCTCCCTCCCTTCCCTCCCCCTGACCATTCCCCCCCCACTGCTTGGGTCCCGACACAACTGTCCAGCGCCTTGGGATGCCCTCCCGACGTGAAAGGCGCTCTATAAATGCAGTCTTGTTGTTGTTGCATTTGATATAGCGCTTTATCACACCATTAAGACGTTTCAAAGCATTCACAGAATATAGTGTAGAGTAGATTGACTGTATTATAATATTAGAAAAATTATTATAAAAACATGTTTGATTTCCCGAAACAGATGGGCAATGTTTGAATGCCGAACGTTTCCTCATGCATTGTTGCATTTTTGTCCTTTTAAAAATACATTTGAATGGTTTATACTTTATATTGCGTACGGAAATTACTAATTCCTGAAACTTAGTGTATTATTGCATAGTGCAACTTTTCTTCTCAGCAGATGACCTTGTACTCTGTTCACAAGTAGTTATAAAACAATCCCTCCTCCTGCCACCCAACTCTGAGATACATTGGGAAAGTTTCTTTCTGACTGCGAACATTTCCCTCTTCACTGAATCTGCTTAAACTGACAGTTTAAGAGCAACACGCAAAGCCTTACGTGCATGTGAACACTGTCACACTGCAACTCAATTCTCACCACACCAAGCCCTCCCTGTCACAGATCTGGGAAGGAGACCCTGGTGAGTATAAGCGTAATAGTGAACACTCCTGCACAAAGAGAGTTGGCCACTCATTGCTACCCTTCCAATATAAATGCAATGTAAGCTACATAATTCTTAAAATTCTAATACAGTTCTAAAATGGTAGCAGAAAGTATATTACGTCTCTGTAACCCCTACTCTTGATAAGTCTGCTTGCTTAAGTGAAACAATTTGCTTTCGTTCGTGTGGCATTGAAACCTTTGGGGGGGGCAAGGAGTTCACTGGTGAGCTGTTTTACTCTAAATATTTTACCTTCTGAATAATTGTAATGATCAAAGTCAAGCAAGTAAAATTATTAAAAGGTCCACACCCATTATGACTGAAGACATCACAGTAAGCAAGTAAATTAACACGGAACCAATTTCTGCAGATAGTGAACAAAAATATTGCAGTGATGTTTATAAAGATTATTTGACAATAAATCAGACTTTGATACATTGATAGCATTGATTAATTAGTGTGTCAGCCTGGCGCAGTGGTAGCACTCTCGTCACTGAATCAGAAGGTTGTGGGTTCAAGCCCAACATCAGGAATTGGAATCATATTAGTCGAAGCTGACACTCCAGTGCAGTGCTGGGGGAGTGCTGCACTGTCAGAGGTGTTGTCCTTTGGATGAGATATTAAAACAAGGTCTTATCTGCCTGTTCAGGTGGGCATTAAAGATCCCATGACACTATATGAAAAGAGAAGGGAGTTTCTCTGGTACTCGGGCCAACAATCCCCCAAATAAAATTGGTCACTCACTCCACGGCTATTTGTGGGACATTGCTGTGCGCAATTGGCTGCCGCGTTTTGCCCACAAAATACACAGTCACTACAGTTCCTAGTATATCCAGTGAAGCGCTTTGAGACATCGTGATGACATGATAAAGTGCTGTATTAAAGTTTGATACATAATATTTTTGTTATTGATAGTAACAAATTGTGCCACTATCTTTGTTTCCTGCTGTAATTTTTACTTTTTGACTTGGTGTCGCCTTTACTTTTCTCTCTCTCGCTCTTCCTATTCTGTCTTTTTCCTTTCTCTCTTTTGTTTTCTCTTTCCTCCCGTTTTCTCTCTTTTTCTTTCTCTCTCTTTCGTTCTCGCTCTGCTTCTGTGCAACACCTGGATCCCAGTTTCCACGAACACGCAGCTCACCAAAGATTAACAGAAGAAAGGCAGGGTTCAAATCCACGATCTTTGATAACTTTTGCACCACTTTAGAGATTAAATGTCTTCAAATACCTCCACAATTAGTAATTGCAAGAAACCGAAAGGGTTTTCTTTTTGGGACTGGATTGCAAGATGTAACATGCCTGTGCCACCTTTTTTTTGTTTGTCTCCAAACCGCTGTCTGAATCAATTTACAAAACTTACGCATCTTTACATCTGCCAATGTCTTATATAAAACCGCCTTCAAAACAGAGAGAACACTTTAAGGAACTCTTGTCTCACAGCCTCACCAAACGACACATGACATGAAAAGCGCATGTTAATTTTGTTTTATTCAAACATTCAGCTATTTTAGCATTCCCCCATCACAAAAAGTCAATGCACTTTTCTTTTGAACTTTCCCTGGGTGCCATGCAGCCAGAAATGGAACATAAAGCGATGGTGGAAGTTAATTTTTGGGAGTCATGCAGTAAAAAAGCACACACACAAACAGCAACGTTACATGTTACACAAAGCACCCCCCCCCCCCCCACGACGCACACTCAAGTTAGTTCAAAAAACAATCACGACAGCTTTAGAGGCAATGTCAATTACAGTACTTACACTTGGAACCAAAACTGCAGCTCGGTCTGTGCTCTCCTCAAGAGTCCAGCATCTCCACCCCAAACGCAGACAGCAGGATGCACACCAATGCCTTCAGCTCACACATTAAGTAAGTACAGCACTTGCAGATCCAGTTTACGCGTCTTTCACTGGCTCTGGCAGCTGAACTGGAGAGAGCAAAGTTACCATCAACTTGTCAAACAGGTTTCCCTATAAAATTATAACAGGTAAAACTAGTCCACCTTCAACCCACAGAATTAAAAGTTTTCCTTCGCAGTTTACTGTAACTGAACCTACTTTTCTTAGGCTACTGTTTTGGCTTAAAAACACAATCAACTTTTTTTTTCCCAGAGAAACCCCCTCTCCTCAGCCCATCCCACCCTAAAAATAAAGCACTTTGGTCCATACAATTTGTTTTGAAAGTACACGTGTTCCTTTGGTACTGTTGAATTGAGCTGCCAGCCCTCCCTGAATCTATTTGCCAGACTTACCTTTACGTAATGTTGACATCCAAAGGTAACCTGATTTTTTTTTCACATGTGACTTTGAGCTAATTTGCGCGTTATTTTTGTGGTAAACTTTTTTTTCACGCTGGGAGTCACTTCTGTTCGAAGTGGCATTCGCAAAAAATTGTTGTGTCAAATTCTGGCCAGCTGATGGGAACGTTCTGCTGGCAACCCAATATTCTGCATGTTTGGACAGGAGCGAACATAATGCCTTAAGAGCCAAGAGGGAGAGGAATTTTAAAAGATTCAAAGAAAAATGTACAACTTTTTTTTTAACCTAGGGCAACACCTAGCTTACAAGGAGGGATCATTCAATAAAATTACTTCAGTGTCACGAGCGAAGCTTGAATATGTTTGTGAAGCTTGAGATGAATGACATGCTTAACTTCATTGACATGTATCTGTTGTATTGATTAATATAATAAAATAATAATAATAATCCTTGCATTTGATATAACATCTTATCACGTCTTCCAGATATCTCAAAGCGCTTCACAGAACACACTGTAAAGTAACTTCATATAATAATCTTTGGATAAGATATAGCACTTGCAATATTGAGAATACTGCACAATGTTTCTATAAAGCGTAGTGACTGCATTTGTAAGCAAACGTGGCAGCCAATATGTGCACAACGTTGTCCCACAAAATCATAAAGCAAATTACTAATTTCATCTGGAAGATTGTTGATCAGCACAATGGAAGAAACAATATTTTCTTAATGAATAGTGCCATGGGGATCTTTAACATCGACTTGAACAGACAGATGGGACCTCAGTTTACCATCTCATGTGAAGGATGGAACCTCCAACAATGTGGAACTCCCACAGCACTGCATTGGAGCAAAAAATCACTGTCAGGAGGAGAAGGAAATAGTGGGAAATGTGACTTGTTTAAGTGCTCATCAGTTTGGTTGATATTCGGTGCACTAGGGCTGAATTTAGAAATTTGTTTACAATGGTGTCATGGGATCTTTAACGTTCACTTCAACAGGCAGACGGGACCACAGGGTAGCATCCGAAGAATGGTACCTCAAACAATGCTGCACATCTCCAGGATTGGATTGGAGTGTCAGTTTAGACGTTGAAATTTCAAGTCCTGACGTGGGGCTTGAACCCACAACATTCTGTCTCAGAATGCTACCCCTGAGCCTGGCTGACACAGTCTATAAGGTCCTTTCTTGAGACTTTTTCTTTCAAGATTGAAGGAACCCAGCTTGTTTAATGATTGCTCACAGCTGATTCCACTAACACTGGGGATCATCCTCGTTGCTCTCTTCTACTCTGCCTCCAGGGACCGCGCAACCCTTTCATGTCATGGTGACCAGCAGTGTGTGCAGTACACAGTGCACTAACCCCCGACCTAACCTCCTACCAACCCGCCCGTTCCCTCCGCTCAGCCGACTCTGGCCTGCTCCACGTCCCCCGACCCACCCGACTCACCATTGGCGGGAGAGCCTTCAGCCACTCTGCCTCCAACCTCTGGAATTCCATCCCCCAGTCACTCTGCCTCGCCCCCTCCTTAGACTCCTTCAAGTCCCGCCTCAAGACCCTCCTTTTCGACCATGCCATCGGTCACTCCCCTTCCCCTCCCCTCCCTACCCCCCCTGACCCCAGCTCGGGTCTGAAATGCTGTACACTATCCAGCTCCTTGGGACTTCCTCCCGACGTGAAAGGCGCTATACAAATGTAATCTTGTTGTTGTTGTTGTATTATAGGTGTTGCCTGACCAGAGCACAAAATGGCTTCTGGACACCTGAACGCACCTGATTTGGCAATATAATCCAATGTCCTGTTTGCCATGGTTATTGTAATGAGTCAACTAACACCCCGCTTGAATTGGAAGCTTCACAAAGTGGCTTTGTGAAACCCATTCTAAGTTATAAACAGAACCTGTGCCCATACTTTCTTCATAACCTGGATGACAGACTGGTAAAGCTGACCTGAATGTTCGCACCGTATCCTAGATACCTAACCGGTCTAGGTGGGGCTGAATTATGATAATCATTGCTTTTATATTTATTGTGCAATGAAATAATCTAAAACAATGGATTTATTCTTTTCTGATAGAGGAGAATTGAAAACAACTCCAAAAATTCTTGCTACTACATTACCGTATAAATTGGACGACAGCTACTTAAAGCTAAATGTCAAAATTGTGGTTATTGCATGAGGTATTATCATTGGGACTGCTTGATAGTTTTAAGGACAAAGCCAAGCTGTAGGTAGAATCAGTAGTGGAATGCCTGGGGATGTGCCAATGCATTAGGCTCTGCTACTCCCAGTAATCGTCCACCTCCAAATCACACGAAAATCTTCAACGGAAATAGTGCAGCGAAGCGATTGAGTCTTACTAAGGAACCGTTCATCCAGCGTTCAGGCACTATATCAACTACAAGGAATTTGTTATTGTGACATTGGAATTTCATATGTAATAATAATAATAATAATCCTTGCATTTGATATAGTGCCTTATCAAGTCCTCGAGATGTTTCAAAGCGCTTCACAGAACATACTGTAAACTGAATTGACTGGGTGAAACACAACAGCCAATTGCACAACAACGACAACAAGATTACATTTGTATAGTGCCTTTCACATTGGGAGGACGTCCCAAGGCGCTGGACAGTGTACAGCATTTCAGACCCGAGCTGGGGTCAAAGAGGGAGAAGGGAGGGGAGGGGAAGAGGGGTGACCGATGGCATGGTCGAAGAGGAGTGTTTTGAGGCAGGACTTGAAGGAGGCTAAGGAGGGGGCGAGGCGGAGTGACTGGGGGATGGAATTCCAGAGGTTGGGGGCTGAAGGCTCTCCCTCCAATGGTGGGGGGGGGTGGGTCGGGGGACGTGGAGCAGACCGGAGTCGGCTGAGCGGAGGGAACGGGCAGGTTGGTAGGGGGTTAGGAGGTCGCAGAGGTAGGGTGGGGCGAGGCCATAGAGGGCTTTTTAGGTGAGGACCAGGATCTTGAACTGGATCTTCTGAAGGATAGGGAGCCAATGGAGTCGGGCGAGAACGGGGGAGATGGGGTCACGGAGTTTGGTGCGGGAGAGGACACGGTTGCAGGGTTCTGGATTATCTGCAGCCTATGGAGGGAGGAGTTGGGAAGGCCGACAAGCAGAGGGTTTGCAAAGTCGAGCCTGGAGGTGATGACAAAGCAGTGTCCCACAAACAGTCGTGGATTGAAGGGATCAAATTATATTGTTTTTTTTGAAGGAATTATGTTACTCCCCTGTACTCTCCTGGAGCAAATGTTACTCCCCTGTACAAAAAGGGACAGAGGGATAAACCTGGGAATTACAGGCCAGTCAGCTAATGTCAGTAATGGAGAAACTTCTAGAGATGATAATCTGGGACAAAATAAATTTTCACTAAGAAAAATATGGGTTAATAAAGGACAGCCAACATGGGTTTGTTAAGGCAAATTATGTCTAATTATGTCTGTTTTTTGATGAAGTAACGGAGAGGGTGGATGAAGGTAGTGCAGTTGATGTAGTTTATATGGATTTTCAAAAGGCGTTTGATAAAGTGCCACATAAGAGACTTGTAAGAAAAATAGAAGCCCACGGTATTAAAGGGACAGTGGCAGCATCGATACAGACCAGGCTGGGAGACAGAAAGCAGAGAGTGGAGGTGAACGGTTCTTTTTCTGACTGAAGGGAAGTGAGCAGTGGTGTCCCCCAGGAGTCGGTATTGGGATCACTGATCTTTCTGATCTATATAAATGACCTGGACTTGGGTATAGGGAGTACAATTTCCAAGTTTGCAGATGATACTATGCTAGGAAAAGTAGTAAACCATGAGGAGCATAGTAGCAGACTGCAAGAGGACATAGAAGACTGGTAAAATGGGCAGACACCTGGCTTAAAGCTTAATGTGGATAAATGTAAACTAATGCATTTTGGGAGGAAGAATGAGAGGCAATATAAGTTAAATGTTAGAATCTTAAAAGGGTGAAGGAACGGAGAGACCTGGAGTGATACATGAGCAACACATGTAGCAACACCTGGAACAATCTTTGAAGGTGGGAGGACAGGTAGATAAAGCTGTTAAAAAAGCAGACGGGATACTAGGCTTTATAAATAGGGGCATAGAGTACAAAAGTCAGGAAGTTATGATGAACCTTTATAAAACACTGGTTAGGCCTCAGCTGGAGACTGTGTTCAGTTCTGGGCACCACACTTTAGGAAGGATGTCAAGGCATTGAAGAGGGTGCAAAGGAGATTTACCAGTATGGTACCAGGAATGAGGGACTTCAGTTATCAGGAGAGGCGAGAGAAGCCGGGATTATTCTCCTTGGAGCAGAGAAGGTTAAGAGGAGACTCAATAGAAGTTTTCAAAATTATGAGGGGATTCGATAGGGTGAACAAGGAGAAACTATTTCCACTGGCGGGTGGGTCGGTAACCCGAGGACACCGATTTAAAATGGTTGTTAAAAGAAACAGAGGGGAGGTGAGAAGAAATTTTTTCACGCAGCAAGTTGTTCAGATCTGGAATGCATTGCCTGGAAGCTGATTCGGTAACAACTTTTCAGAGAGAAGTAGATAATTATTTGGGGAGGACACATTTGCAGGGCTATGGGGAGAGAGTGAGGAACTGGGATTGATTTGGATAGCTCTTTTCAAAAAGCTGGCACAGAC